GTGAGGAAGCTTACGGACCAATTGCAGACCTTAACGTACCTATCGAAACCAGGTTCACTGTACCCGGATATTTCGACGTCGTCTCCATCCTCTTCAGAGTCCGAATCCGAATCGTCGAAATCAAAGACCTGTTTCAACTTTCCCTTCTTGTACCAGGCGCATTTTCGGCTTGTTGACTGGTGCGAGGTAAGGCCTTGTACGGTTTTGAATGTGTGGTTGCAGGCGGCGCAAGTGGTCCCGAGGATGTCTTCTAAAGACCTCTTTACCATCTCTATAAAAGCTATGAGTATTGATAACCAGTAGCGGCACGCAAAACTCACTGTTGTCGCGGAAGCGGAAGGTTGTATACTGCGCGCGACGCCCGTCGTGTTCGACTCTGTCGGACTCCTCGGCTCTCCTGTTCTTGTCAGGTGATCGCAGGCAAGTTCACTCCTCCATCTTCCTCGGGACGGTACTCTCCTCTTGATTTCACCTCTACCTCCTCCACCACCGGACATTGTATCATATCCATCACCCCTAATGCTTTATATTATCAGTGCAAGATTTTTACACACAATTATGAGTATTCTGTAACTAGCAGTGGCACGCAGGACTCGCCGAAAGTCAAGGAGGGCTCTATGACGCCCTTCCTTCGATGATGTCCGTCTTTTCCGCCCTTACGTCCTAATGTCAGGTGATTGTGGGCTTCCATTCATTGCTATTTCCGCGCTCGCACCGCACGCACTTCTCTCTCTCTCCACCACCACCGACCGCTTTCGCGTGAAGTTCGTGAAGACTTTTCATTGTTCAAAGTGAGTACTGCCTCTTGTCCCTTTCCTTTTGGGGCATGACACCGCTCGGTGGCGTTTGATTACCAATCGTGGGGCATACCCCGTGCCGCCGCGGCGCTCCACGTGTGGGTGGTTGCCCAACGATTTAAACAAAGGGGGCAGTGGCCGGCCGTAGTATCGCCTCTCCCAAGCAATTCCCAGGCTGCATTAAGTATATAGCGCGTGTCAGGACCCTGGTTGTTGCTCGAGTCACTCTGCAGAAGCTGTCCCGCGATCGCTCCGTCCCTTCGCCCGCCATGTCTTACGTTCACGTCCCCATCGATCTTTCCTCCAAGGATCCCGACTCTTGCACTTACCTGCATCGCCAGCTCGCTCGGGAAGATACTTCCTCAACCCTCGACGGTGCAATTGTTGTCACCGACCATCGCGACCCTTCGCCCGGTAAGTCCCCATAGATCCCGCCCATCGCCCACATACCACTGACGATGTCTACGCAGTTTACTTTTCACACCCCCCGAGCTCTGAGTCCGGCGGCACGCACAGTGCGAACGTTTCGAGCCCTGCTTCCAGCGAGCTCGAACTCCCGGACATAGCTGTTGAGATCAATCCGCTGCACCATATCTTTGGGCACCTCCTCGACGATCCTCGCTGGCCCTACATTCCCGCGGTCGACAAGGTAAGCGTGCAAGACTACGGGTATTGCCAGTCACTAAGCATCGCATAGACCGTCGAAGCTACTCTAGAGGATTGGATAACCCTCTGTCACTGCATCCGACGCGATCCGTATACTTTCAGGCTTTGGAGGTGAGTGTGGCACGTCAGCCACGCCACATATGCTGATTCACATGAAATGATAGTTTCACGTACGATCTTCAAAAGCAGACTATCCACATGTCTTCCCCCTTGCCATTGCACCAATTCCTTATCAACAGTTTAAACCAAGTTCTCTGGGCGGCAGTAACGGTAGGGCTCATCAAGGTCCGCACATGGACACCCACGGTCGTCGTGAACACTGCCCAGAGCTTGAAGGGACCGATACCCGACGCTAAAGACGGGTATTGGGGAAGGCCGGAGGGACGCGCCACGAGTTCAGCCGCGGCAAAAAAAGAGAAGAACCTGGCGGCCAGGTCGATGACCCCTGAGCAGAGGGCATTGGCGGCTGCAGAGGCCGCTAGGCTGAAAGCTGACGAGGCTGTAGCCAAGGCGAAGGCGAAGGCGGAGAAGGCTAAGGCCAAGCAGCCGAAAGGCAAGGCGGAGAAGGCTAAGGCCAGGGAGGATGAAAAGGCTCAGGAGCAGTTGGATTCGCGCTCGAAGAAGAACAAGAGGAAGGATCGGCAGGAGGTGGCACGCAAGAGAAAGCGTTCGGAGGATCCCCTCTCCGGCGTTGATGGCCCCTCCGACGTTGGTGGCCCCTCCGCTGTTGATGATCACGATCCTCACGCCGATGCCGACCCTCTCGCCGACGTTGACCCTCACGCTGACGCCGACCCTCGCACTGAAAGCTCTGGCGCTTCTGGAGCCAAGTCGTCCGCTCCTGTCCAAGTCCCGTCGTTCCCTCTCAGTCACATCCCAGACACCATCATCTCAATCGTCTTCCCTTCTGGGAGCACCGTAAACCTTGTGACAAATGAAATTGCCAAGGCCGAGAAGCCGGACCACCTTTCTTTCCGGGTAAGTATACACTCTTACCCGTCTGAAATGTCGGGAACACTAATGGCCCTTGTAGTTGGTTGAATACATGCGCGCCCCCGTCGACAACGCCTGGGGGGTACGTCTCCTGCTCGTCTTTGTGAATGTAGAAGAAGAGAAGAAGTACGAAGCTCCGAAATATTCCGACTACGTGAAGAAGTGCGCAAAGGAGAGTGTAGCCACGAAAACGGAGAAGGAATGGGCGCAAGGTTGGATCGAGACCTGCAAGAAGGTGTGCCTCCAGGAGAGGCTTTTCGATATGGGCGATGATCCGGGCCCAACTCGCGACCAGCAGCCTTGGCTCACCCTTCAGCACCTCATTGACGGGCACATCTTCATACACCGTCAGCGCGCATGGCTTACGTGCTCCGATCTCTCTGTGCCTAAGCACGTTGAGGAGCTGGAGCAATTGAGTCGCAGTAACACGGCTCGGACTCCGGCCACCTGGGAGGAGAAAGGGCTCGGGATCGTAGGTGCTCTTCGTTCTATGCTCCACACTTTACTGATTCTTGACGTGCCAGGCAATCCAAGACTCATACGACTCGAAGGAGACTGCCTCACGGCGCGACGTCTTTGAGATACGTTGGAGTGCTGCATTGCAGAACCTCTCACGGCGTGTCTTTGATGTTTGCTCCAAGGCCTTGACTGGCCAATTCTTGGCTAATCGGCGCGCATTCTGTACACAATACGGCATCAGCAGAGAAGAGTTCAAGGACATTGGGGATCGATCCAAGCGAGGACTTGACGTGCCAGCGTCTTCGCTGAACGAAGTGCTTGAAGACCTGAGTCGAACTGTCCGGGTGGGATCTACTCCGACAGCCACAGCACGCCTGAAGAACTTCGCCTATGACCTCGCCTTCCTCCATAAGCTGGACCCACCGTTGGAGAATGCCCAGCCTGAGCCCAATGCCCCGGTGCAGCAGCCTCTCGAGTGGGAGACACTCCAGAGTTTATACGATGAGGCGATGGATGAACATGTAGACAAGAAACAGCGGTTTGACTAGGGCTGTTTTTTGCAACTGTTCGCTTGCGCGTTTGCATCGCCCACTGTGTACTCTCCACATCGCTTTCGTATCGCTTTTCGTATGTACATAGTGGATATTGGCCTTTCTTGTTGCGCTCACTGTATAGATCTCGCTCTGACTATGCTATCTTGCGCTCTCGTACCCTCGCTGTCGTTGTATCTTGCAGTTGTCGTATCTCGCAGTCGTTCGTAGTGCCTTCGCTCGTGTAGGGTATTGTCTCGGTATCGTCATTTGTACATTCTGCCCGCCACGCAGGCTATATACAATCTTTGATGAAGCTATTACGTGTTCTAAGCATATGCAGATGCCCCGACCCCGCCGCCAGACATGGGTGGCGGGGTCGGGGCACGATGCCTTACAATACGCGCAACGTCGCGCGTATTGCTACCCTCCTAGAGCAAGTGCCGTGCCGGCCCGCAGCGCGGCCCGCCGGGAGGGGGTGGCGTGGTTTTTTCCCCGATACGCAACGCGTTGCGTATCGGGGAAAAAACCACGCCACCCCCTCCCGGCGGGCCGCGCTGCGGTCCGATCGTCCCGCGCGGCTCAGGCCTTTCGCCTTCAAGCTTCTGCGATCAACTGGGGCGTTCAAATCCCAACTTTCAATCTTTACTCAACCAGGAAGGTAGGCCTGCCTACCATGGCACTGATAATGACATATCTTACTAGCACCATGAACAGACAGGAATGCAGTTGAATATTGCCGAGATTAGGGAACTAACCGGGATCCTGGCGTCCGTTCCGACATCGACTTTGAGTCCCAATATGCAGTCACTATTAATGCGACTGCAACGTGGTAGAGTTTATTGCTTCAAATGCTCCGAATACACTTGAAACTCTATATATCTTTGTAGAACTCACAGAAACGGAGACCGTCACACCTTCTGGACCACTGTCTTCGACATCGCAAGGTGAGTGTCTTCTGCTGAAGCATCAGTCTAAAACGTTCTGATACCTGGTTCCCGCTCTTCATAGCCCCTGGCATCTCACAAGTCCAGCCGAGCGGAAAGAGCACTCAGAAGCGTTCCGAGGCTCGGCGGAAGCTGGCTCAGACGCAATATGACCCTGCGTCAAGACCTGCTCGAGTGAAGCAGGCTGCTCAGCCTGCACCACCTCGTTACCCCCTTCCGGCGCCCTGTCCCCGAAACGGAACACAGTACGTTGCACCTCAGAATCAGCCGGCTGCTGCTTGGGAATTGGCATCACAGCCACATGAGGCTAGGAGCACCACGATCAACATTTTCTTGCAAACGCTCACAGCGTACGACTTGCAGCATGATATCAGCCGATGTGGGGGTGTTCTGCTATCAGCGCATCAAGCATCATACGGCGGAGGGAGCGAGACCCTGTCTGAGATTGCCCAGAGGTGCATCCGTACGGCAAACTCGACTGCAGTCTTCCACCTCCACTTTATCGTTGCGCTCATGACACTCAGCTTCAAGTGTGCAAGGTGAGGGTGTACTCACGGTTCACTGTACCTATTTATTGACATATCCTGATATCTAGTCTGTCTAACTGGAAAGAATCCGTCAACCTCGCTGCCCTACACAGAGAACACCTGAGCCAAGATGCCAACTCACCATCTGTGCGAACTCTGCAGTACTGGTACGCCGGTGGTAGCAAGCTCATATCGCTTGCCGCAGGAGGTGAGATTCTACTAGTAGCGGCGACCGTGACGAGAGACTGATGATGTGCTGACGACTTCAAGGATCATTCTACATGCTGCTCTGGCTGGCCTACACTGATCTACGAACGCCATTCATTGAGGCAGACGGCAATATAGCGTACGATCTCGCAAATATACTTCGTAACCCGAATAGCGGTGAGTGTACAGACTTTTGTTGTTCCATATAGTACTGAACATTGCCAATCACAGAGAGCTCTGCAGGACGACTTGTCCAGAGCACCATCATACCAACGCTGGCGTTTCTCAGCCAACAATGCCCCGTCAAACTCGGTGAATTTTTCTCGACGAATTTGCTCTCAGAGCTGGCGATCTCTGCAGAGACCCTGTGCAGCGATCTGAGCACATCTGATCGTCTCTTCGACGCTCTGCCCTCAAAGTATGTTTCGGTGCATGACTCAGATACTCAATGCTGACATAAGAGAATGCAGTTCATTCCGAGCTCTTCCTCGCTCTTCCCTTGCCTGGGCCGCTTTTCAGTCACTAGAGCAGCCAGCGTTCAAGTTGACAGTGCCTCTCCTGACGACGCAGGTCACATGCGTCACTTCACTGTTTGACCCTCAGCAAGCCACCAATCGACAGTGTGTAGCGTCGTCGGACAGACAGAAGAACTCGAGATGGACGGAAATTCAAAGAGAATTCGCTAAGGACGCAGTAGAACCGTCAACTGTCGACGGGTTAAGGAGGCTGGTAAGTTGCATCCTACGTACCGCAGGGGTCGTTCTAACAGCCCTGATTCTGTAGTTACGGGAAGCGTATGTCAATGGCGTACGCGTAGGGCCTGGATACATACGCATCAACCCTGGCCTCTACGAGTAGGAGACACAATACTCAGGAGTTCGGGGAGGCTGACGATTGTTCCAATAGCAACGTACTCACCGTACACTCTTGCCACGGGGACATTGTTGCCAGCATATGCAAGTCTATGGAGCAAAGCATGCGAGATCGTCTCATCGATCGCTTGGCCAATTGTTTTGAGCCCAACGCTCTGAAGGTAATTGATACCGCTCAGGAGCGCGGTGACCATGTCTTCCAGGCACTTCATTTCTCCTGGTACAACCGTCATTGCACGACTGTAAGTGCTCTATAAATCTTGGATCTTCCTCAATGACAGTTCACATACGTCTGTAGGGACACGACGCTCCGACTGACGTACCTCCTATGAACTTGAAGAGGACTGGTGGTTTGAAGACAAACTACCATCAAATGATACCGTACCCCTCCAAGGACATGGTGAACTCGACGAACGTCTCAATCTACCAGTCCGTGAAGAAAATCCTAGGTCCAGTGTTCGAGTGGCTGGATATGAAGGTGAATGAATTGCCTCGTTTGTATCTCCCACAGAGAATTTGATGCCCTTATTAGTTCAAGGCGATGATCCCGGATGTATACGAGCGACTAGACGCATACGCGTCTATACTGCCTGGCAACAACCAGGCAGTCTCTGCGCCGTTTCTGGGCTTGGTCATCAACCTCAACGTCTCAACTGCGGCTCACAGGGATAGCAAGGATGACAGCATGTGCTTAGTCCTTGCGATCGGTGATTTTGAAGGCGGAGAACTAGTCCTCTATGAACCTGGTTTGACCATTCCTTTGCGTAACGGCGACTTTGTTGTATTCCCTTCTTGTGATCTGACTCACTTCAACCTACACTTCAAGGGTCGTAGAGCCTCTATTGTACTCCATACTGACCGGGAAATGGCCAAATGGCACAATGGGCGCAACGGATGGTCTAGTAACCGTAATTTTATTTGACGTACTCTCCGACCTATTTTCCCTACAATTGTTCTTCTGTAACCCTACTGGTCCATTCATGATGTTCGCAGCAGTCATCACAAGCTGAAATAACACGTTCAGGAAGCTGATAATTGCTTGGACTTGCTCAACGGCCTCGATGGGACTTTGCTGATTAAGCTGCGCGTGTCCCAAGTTGCTTCTATCACTGCGAAGAGGGAGGCCGCGGAACTTCGATAAGCTCGGCGGCCTTCGGGTTCAACACATCTCCGCCCTCCTAGCGTACGCTTGGCACACTCTCAGTCTTGTACACCCATCTGCCCTGCGTTGTTGCTGTTGAAAATGGCCTCACGCACCCGCTCAGCCGCTCGCCAGGAGGCCCCTGGCACCAGTAACAGCGCTCGCGCGAACACAGGCGCCACGCAGATGAACCGTGCGAATGCTGCGGAGGACAGGGGAGCTCCCTCCGACAGTGATGTTCCCGATGAGGACCTCTCTGACGCTGCCTTACACAAGAGAATCGCTGAGCTGACCAAGATGGCCGAGTTGAAGCGCAAGAGGAAGGCAACGACAAAAGCCTCGCTGGCCAAAGAACAGCGTGTGGAAAGTAAGTCGTGTATTTGTTGCAATCGAGGACTCTGATAATGTTGCATGATAGAGATCCGTAAGAGGAAGTTAGAGGCCATGGACGCTGAGCAGCGTGACACCAGCGAAGAGCCCCCCAAGCCCAAGAAGAAGAAGAAGGCTAAAAAAGCTGAAGACGACGACGTGCTTGAAGGTACGAAGAACAATGAAGGCCGATCTGACGAGGGGAGTGGCCGTGACGATGTCCAGGAGCCGATGGACGTGGAGGTCGTTGAAGAGGAGGAGGACACGACTGTCCTATCTAAGGAGAGGAGCAGAGGAAAGAAGAGCACTATGTCGGCTGTAGAGCCGTCCCAGCGTGCGTGCTACATACGCGTTCAGGAACTGACACTGAGTGCGTTCTGTAGCTCAACCCAAGCCCAAGCCCAAGCCCAAGCCCGCCTTCAAAGGGCGAAAGCAGAACTTGGATCAGGACGAAGCCGCTTTTGTCCAGATGCTCGGTGAGGGGATAGCCTTATGTATCCGTAAATGCCAATGGCATATTGTGATCCTTACAACGGTGTAGGGCACGACACTGCGCCGAAGGGCAAAGGGCAGGTCAAGACCAAGGCTGTTCAGTTGACTGAGGAACATAGCGACGACACAGGTGCGCAGCCTGCTCAGAAACCAAAGAAGAATTCGCAGCCCGCTTCTTCAAGTTCGGCGGACGCGACCAAGAAACCGGTGTCCACTGTGTCGACTCGGACAACATCTTCACCTCCCAAGGTACGGTTAGAGCCCTATGTGTTGATACCTCCATGGGTACTGTCATACACCGTTTGTTGCAGCCCATTCTCACATTGCCCTCTGTGTAGCCTCGACCTACCACGAGCACGTCTCCAGTCTCCAAGAAGGCTCAAGACAAAGATGCTGGGAAGGTGAAAGGTTCGGTGACCACGGCCAAGAAGGACATGCGTCCTAGCGGCAGCAGCAACAAGAAGCGCGACACCGAAGACTCTGACGGTACGGAAAGCGGTGAAGACGATGATGGAAGCAACGGCGACGATGAGGACGAGGAAGAGGGAGAGGAAGATGACGAGGACGAGGACGAGGACGAGGACGAGGACGAGGACGGGGACGAGGACAAGGATGGTGACGAGTTTGTTGATGACGGAGTAGAGGTACGTGGTTTATCCTTTCGAACGCTGTCCCCACTGACTGTGTAGACCGTGGCGGAGTCGAAGAGCACTGGGAAGCAACGGGTGAAGAGGCGTAGGCGCCAGACACGCGCCAAGGTGACACAGCTCCCCAGGGACATCAAGGCCCTCGTCTCTGCGGCGCAGAACTGCCTCCGTCTGCGCATTGCTCTCAAGAACGCTTGGACGTCTGAGCCATCAGTCAGCAGCGGCCGTCTTCCTGAGAGGGACGACCTCATCAAGAGTAGTCTGCAGGATGCCTATGAACTGGGCAGGGCAGGGGCTCGTGACAAGTCCATAAGGACCGCCTTCCAAGTGCTGAAGGGGAACAAGGGGAACAAGGACACTAAGGAGACTGACAAGCTGCGCAAGAATGTCTACACAGTGGTGAGCGTTTGTTTCTGTCTGTCATGAAGAGTCGCGAGTGCCTGACTTCCATTAGGTCTGGGCGGCTGCAGCGCAGTTCCGAAACGAGCTGAAGAGGAAGGCCAAAACTGTTACCTCTCAGATGTACGAGCTCGACAGCCTGTCTTCTCAGCAGAAGAGGAACCTGGCGACATGGTTGATCACCACTCACCCGACGACCGTCGTTGGTGGCTTGCGTAACATCCCTAACTTTGTCTTCGGTGGCATGACGATTGCCTTAGATGCGCGCAAGCATTTTGATGCCGAGGTGAGAGTGCGAGTTCATTGCAGAGTACACCTTAATGATCTGGGTGACAGAAGAGCGACTTTAAGCGCGGGGAGGTGTTCCTCCACCCGGCTATTTCAGAGCTGATTTACCAGCACTGGGGCCTTGGAGCTCGAGCGGACGCGAACCTGCATGCGGCCACGGAAGAGTTCAGTGAGGTGCCGAACAACCTGATCGCTGTGGTGTGCAACGCTGTGAGTCCAGACCGTCATTCGCATGGCTATCAGAGCTCAATCCACAATGGGGTCTCACGGATTCGTGACGCACAGATCGAGTCCGCCCTCATGGAGTTTGCCAAGCCAGGTGCAAAGAACTTCTTCACGAACAAGCAGTATGCTGCCAAGTACGTTCATCACATATGTCAGAACATCGAGGCTTATCTTTCTTCTTACAGATGGGACGGCATCATGGCAATCTTGGAGTTCATGGAGGCTCAGTACAATCCGTCCTACGTGAATATGAAGCGTGTCGTGTGGAAGTCCATCATGTAAGCTGTGTGCAGTTGCTTTGCAATCAATCCCTCAATGCACTGACTATCTCAGATCGCGGCTCGAAGACACGGACGATGTGGACGAGGTGGGCGTGCATACCGGTTTCCTCGACGCGGCCCTTGAGGAGCAAGATATCGTGGTTTTGGGAGGGAGCAATGCAACGCCGCATGGCTCGCCTGCTGGAAAGCCTTCGAGCACAAGGAAGGCTCCTACTGTCTCGGCAACCAAGCCATCCAGTTCGTCGAGCCCTGAGAAAGGCGGTCAGGAGGGCGACGACAACGTCATCAGTAGAGAGGGCCCTTCTGTGCGCAGCAGCCACAATGCCCAGGCAGATGATGACGTGGCTGCAGAGGACGTCAGCGAGAAGGACGGAAGTGGGGAAGATGAGATCGAGCACGACGAGGTAGACGAGAGGGAGGACAGAGCCGGGGATGCTAAGGAACGTGAAGGTACGCATGTCCGTCATCTCATCACAGAGGATGATCCATAATCTAGTGTCAAATTTCATCCTGACAAGGCGCGGCTCGTGAGGACCAAACAGGGACAGTCTGATAGAGGACTCCTGGCTACGTTGTCATGGTCTATGCTTCAAGGTAAGTTGAGCAAGGACTTGATTGTAACCGGAGGTCTGAGCTCAGTTATGGTCTGCCCCATCTAGATACCCATACTGGCCATGACGTTGCTGAGTCGCTGAACTCTGGGGAAGAATCGTGTGTTGCGCATGTTCGATGTACGATAGTGTGCCGTCTCTCGCTCTCCATCTCGCTCTGTCTCCTGCTCTCCTTCGCCATTGTCTCTGAAGTCACGTCACACATATTAACATCGTCTACGGTTGTCGGTCTACGGTTGTCGGGCGGCAGAGCTGCTTCATTGCTATGCGTTTCCAGTCGTGTATTATCAATAGTATGAATGGACGGCAGTTTATTGTGCATGATGCTGAAGAGCACCAAGGAAGCCAAAGACACCACGCATTGAAGTACAATTAAGAGAAAAAAGAACACAATGTTTGAGTGCTTAATTAGAAGGAACGAAGTAGCAATAGTGAAAGGGGGCAGAACAATAAGGGTACTTTTTTGTTCTCATTTAAGTAAACGTGTACTTAAGTAAGACAAAATAAGAAATCGACTTACCTTAAGGCTCTTGTGGCACATAGTGACACATAATGTCACTTTTGGCTCTCCACAAGACCACTGAAGACACGAACGTTTTTCCTGATGAAGGTCGTACTACCGCAGGAACGAAGGATTCGAGCGCTACGGGAAAGCCACGACCGTATTGGACACCGAGGTATCCACGCAACGATAGTCGCAGTCACAGAGCGTTTCTGGTGGCCCGACCACAAGTCTGACGTAGCGTGGTACGTTCGCACCTGCGATCTATGCCAGAAGCGTCAGCTACGGCAGATCCTCATCCCACCGACGGTACCTTTGCCAGCGGGAATCTTCGTGAAAGCGTTCGGCGACACGATGTTCATGCCTCTATCAGGAGGTTTCAAGCTCATAGCGTCGGCCCGATGCTCGGCCATAGCGTACGCAGAAGGACGAATGCTCCGGCGCGAGACGGCCCAGTCACTAGGCGATTGGATGTACCAGGACCTGCTATGTCGCTGGGGCATGCTCGTCGAAGTCGTCACGGACAACAGGACCTCCATCTGCGTGGTCAAGGCCTCGACGCGAGCGGCGGCCACCTCGAACGCCTGGCGGACGCGTGCTTGGGTGCCGAGGGCGATCGCCTGGGTCCGCGCAGCTTCTGGGATGGACCTGAAGTCCCCGAAGAGCTCGCGCACGCGACCCTGGAAGCTCGCGAGGCTTCCGCCGCCGAGATTTCCATCCTCGAGGCGGGGGCGTTTGTTCGGACGGGTGAGCGCAACCTCGAGCGGCTCCTCTTTCTCCTTTCGGCCCCCTAGGCACCCGAGTCAGACACCGGAACCAACGAGCACACGGAAAGTACTTACGACCGCTACGCAACAGCTTGTGCTGTCCGTTGAACGTCGAGCCACCGAAGTAGCACCCCTGTTGCTGGGAGTGGCATAGGTCGCACTTGAGGTCGTGCGGCTCGACGAAGACGCACTCACGGACTTCAGAGAAGCCGTTCGCACATCGATCGCACTAGAGGAAGGCACGAAAGCGGTTAGTAATTCGAAAGCAGGCACTGTTGGACTCACCACCGGGTCCGCACGCCAGAAGGCGTACGCGCGCTCAGCGCGAGCACGCTGGACGCCCTGGAGGTGCGACAGGTCGACTCGAACGGTCGAGTCGACGTCGGCCTCGGACTGGTCATCGGCCTTGCGTTTCTTCCCCTTGTCCTTCGAGGGGGCGGGTCCGGGTCCAGCGCCAACCGAGGCGTCGTCGTCGGCGTTGGCAGCAGCTTGCGCGCGGGCCTCCCGAGCAAGCTCGAGCTCGCGGTCAGCGAGGGCGCGGTCTTCGGCCGCCTTCGCAGCGCGTTCGCGCTCTTCCTGCACACGACGCGCCTCCGCACGTTCGCGAGCCAGGCGGAGTTCCTCTTGTTGATCGTGGTCCTTCAAAGCGGCGTCGAGGGCTTCGAAGTCGGGGACGAGGGTCATGGCGTCGCGGGCGTCTGCTGGGGACGTGGTGACGGCGACGCGCACGGAGTCGCGCAAAGCGCGCGCTGCCGTCTCATCGAGCGGGACGCCACGCGCACGGCGCCGGTACCGAGTCTGCACAAGCAAGTTAGCGAATAGCGGGTAATACGATCGAGGCAAGGGGCTTACCCAGGCGTCGAAGCAATCCTCGAGGAAGGCGACGACCTCGGCCGCCGCAGTGGGGACTCCACGATTTTGGAGGAAAGTCTTCAAGACCACTAGCGGGTCCTCGGTGGCGGCTGTCGACGGAGCGCGGGAGTCGGCGGGTACGGACATGACGAGGCAGTATCGAGGATGGAGAGCGCCAGGGTCGAGCACGAAGGAGGAAAGAGCGGCAAGGACGGTGCGGTCAGCGGTGCCAGGTATATATCCTGCCAGGGCTTGTGGGTCCACCTACCGGTCTGGGCTATGAAGCACACGGGGACATCACCATCGACACTTCCATCACAACTGTCGAGCACGGTTCGGCTCGGCGCGACTGCTGGCCAATCATCAATTCCTTCTCCATCAGACCGTGCCAGCCCTTTATTCTGATTCGCTGGGGACTCGCGCGGCTGTGCCGGACTGCTAGAAGGACCGCCGCGGAGGCAAATGGGGCATCGCGGGATCGGAAGGAACGGCGTGAGCGCGAATACGTGACCATCGCGGCGTGATCGAGCCTGGCCGAGGCCACTGCGCGGACGTCGGACGAGGTTCGTGCAACTCGAGCGTGGACCGAGGGCGGCCCAGATTTCAGTCAGGGGGAGATGATACGCTCCCATCTGGACTACACCCCGATTCGTGGGGTATCGAGCTCACGCGCGCAGTTCACCGACTTAGACATTGCTCGACATTGGCCAGCACGCTACGACTACACTAAGAAGACTCTAGCGGAAGTCCCGTCCCACGAAGGCTCCAGTGCTACGACCACGGCCTCGGAAACCTCCCCTACGACCGACCGTGTCTCGAACAGGCTCGCTGAAGTTAATGCCTCGCTCGTGCCCTCCCAGCTCGGCGACGCTCGTAGAGAGCGACCCGAGGATCCTACGAATCTCCTGCTGGTCCTCGTTCAGGCGGTGGACGGCGTTAGCCAAGTGATTGAAGCTGTCGGGCAAGCGGCGATACTCCGGCACATACAGTGGGTCGAGTTGGTAGGAGACCGGAGCCAGAGGCTCGTCAACAGCCTCGCGATGCAGGACGGACTCCTCGGACCAGGCGATGGTCGGATAGGGCGCGCCCAACGAGTCGTGAGGCAGCTTGTAGCGCTGGAAGATCTCGTCGATGTAGTTCATGACCTCGACGACGTCGTTGAAGGAGTACGGCGATGGAACGGAGTTCGGGTCATCGGTGACCGCCTTGCAGTAGGACTCGAAGAGACCACGCTGGAAAAGTCGGTGAGGATCTATCACTGGCCGACGAAGGCGACAGAAGACCTACGAGCATCCAACGAACGCAGTTGGCCCACGACAGCCATTCGCCCCGAGATACGGGTAGGAGACGTGGCTCTACGGCGGCCTCACCCTTGATGACTTCGATCAAGCGGTAGTAGCGGGCGATGTGAGCCTCCGCGGTCGGTTCGACGCGTATGTTGGGCATGGTGGTGTTGGGAAAGAATCTGCAAGACAGCCTCGGGCGTATCGTCGCGGTGCTACGGCTAGCCAAGTACCGTTCGGGCGGTTACCCGGAGCTAATCACGTTCAACAGGGCCCGAAGTCTTACGCCATCCTGGTGCATTCTGTGTGTGCTCGCCGGCCCAGTCGATAGCCGGTATGCTGGCCTCTACGATTGGGCAGCGCTCGCATCGTTCGACTTGGATCATTTATATGCACGTGTTTTCCTGTTTGTTTAGGTGTCGCTCTATCCTGTATATACTGCGGGGCGAGCGCCCTCGAATACCAGATACCCTTACCCTCTCAACTTGTCCGTTCGTCGTACGTCCGTCAGCAGTCAGTCCGTACGCCAGGAGTCAGTCAGTACGATCGTCAGTCCGTCAGGGTTCGTCAACGCCCCGAGTGGTGTCTCTACATCTTGTCCTGCCATCGCTTGCCTCGTCTAGTCCCTCGTCTCGTCGTCAAGTCCTCGATTCGCTCGGTTCGTGACCGTGGTCTACTCGTCTCGAAGTGTCCGCTACTTTGTCGTAGAAGCAGATCGGGCCTGCGCGAAGCCTTGCCGACCTCGCCCCTTCCACTATCGACCATCGTACCATCTCGGTACACCCTCCTAGCCACTAGGTCTCGCATATCGTTGCTCGCCCTTCGTCGGGTGTGTTGTGTGTGGCCTTTGTGGTGCTTTCGGTCACATCAGCGCGCGTGCTGGTCACCGGACTGCGGGCCTCGGACTACCAGGGAAGTGTGTGCGGCAAGCCTGGACAGTCGGGACCGGGGAGGCGTGTAAGGTATGACAGCAGATGAAAGGAGAAGGGGCGAACGTACCAGAGAGAAGCGGGGTACTAGGACACGTCTTGCGGGAAGGGCAGCGGGTATCTCCGCGCGTTGGACCTGGGAGGATGCGTCAGATTAGCAGGGAAACGGCGGAGATGAAGGGACGGACTGGAAGGGAGATTGTGTTGACCAATAGAGTTGATCGGTGGCGATGTGGGCGAGGACGTCGTTGTGACAGAAGGAAATGATGAGGTAGGATTTGAAAAGGGCGAGGAGGGACACCGTCACGGTGACGAGCATGGCGATGTTAAGGACGCCGCACCAGCTGAGGGTCGTACACCAGGCGCGGCGCTCGCCGTAGGTCGGGTCGAAGAGAAAGCTGTCCTCGTCGGGCTCAGAGTGTCTGTCGACGTCGGCGTCGTACGCGTAGGGGATGAGGCCGACGGAGGCGGCGGGATACTGGCTGTCGTAGGAGAGGGAGGGTGAGGCAGTAAGTAGGAGGGAGAGTGGGAGCGCCTGACGTGGCGGGCATCGGGGCACGTGCTCTCCTCCGGTCGAGACCCGGGCGTTAACGACTTAGCGATTGAGAGCTACTGTCGTCTCGTCATCAACGTCTCTCTGAGCCGGGCCCACCAAAGGTGAGTGTTGTCTCTCTGCGAGCTCATTGACGAAGAGATATATATAGGTAGGACCGGTGCCATGCATGTGTACTGAAGGTCTCGTCGCGGTCGTGCACCACGCCCCTCCGAGTCGCCCCGCGCAGGCGCACAAATACCCACCCGACCTCTCCTCTCGAACGCCTACCTGCGCAATCGCACACCCGGCGCGCTCGCATGCACGCACGCGGCACGCCTGCCTGCTGCCCGGTCGCGTCTAAAAGGCGAGCAAAGTCGCACCCAAGCAATCGAGCTGCCCGCGCAGGCGACACGCACGGCAACCACAAACGGGTGCGGCAAATGCCCAGCACACAAGCACGGCTGGCGAGCGGACACCACGCGCGCAAGGTCAGGAGTGAGCGAATGACAGGGACGGGTGGGGGCGAGGCCGAGAGCGTGCAACCAGGTGAGTAGAGAGATGAGCAGATAGGAGGCCCGGGGCAGGCCAGCAGGTGAGTGGCCCGGCGGGCAACTGGTCAACCTGCCCGCACACGACGACCAGCAGCGAGCAGGGAAAATGCCCCACACACAGCAGTGGCCGACGAGCGGATGCTACGCGCGCAACACAGGCCGCACACACCCAAGATACGCACGGTGACCCGGCGACCGGCAGCGGGCAGGGCCTACCGCCCATTCATCTATCTACCCACTCGCTCCTCGCACTTGCAATTGCCCGCACGTCCACCCCCTGCTTGCCTGCGTGATTGCGCGCGTCCTCGCCCGCTCACCCGCCGTCTGCCACTCTCCTCGTCCGCTCACCCGCTGTCCGCCGCTCTCCTCGCCTGCTTGACCCGTCGCAAAATCCCGCACCCGCGCCAAACTGCGAGACCCGCGGATGACCCGTACCCGCCGGGCGGGTACCTGACCCCCGCGGATACAGGTATGGGTAAGCCTCCAGTACATTAGATGAGCAAGAACGTCCTCGATGAATGTAATGTGTTCTAACTAATTAACTAGTATCAAAGCCTGCATAGCTTCTACCTTGTATTAGTACTGCTATGTCCGTCTGTCAGAATACAATGCTTGTTTCTGTTCTGTATGTGAACCTGGCTCCTGACGCAGTGAATGACATCAATGATGCGAACATTACTTGAACATTACTTGGTGTACAGAAGCGATTCGTATCATACATAAGATTTTGCATTAGTATTGAGAATGTCACGAATGACTGTTATAATGCATAGTAATCCTAAGTATTCGCAGTAATATTGTGAATGTTGCGGCGTCTCTGCTAATTCCGAGGGGGAGATTTTCCTGATGTCGTTATTTCCGAGTGAGCTTGGGATGTCAATTGCGAGAGAGCGAGAGAAGGGAATGAGCGAGGGTGTGGGGCGCAGCCCGCAGGGCTGCCCGACTCGAAGAGTGTGCCTGGACCTGAGGGGCAACGGGTGAGCCGCGAGGGCGGGTGGGTTGACACCGCAGCCCTGCGTATCCGTTGCCTCTGCTGGGCCGCAGGGTAGACACGTCAAGCCAAAGAAATGCACACATTGAGTTTGTCGTGGCGTGTGCTGCGTGAAGAGGGTGTGGAGGGTGGGGAAAACGAGAGCTATTCGAAGCGCGTAGCGGCCGCGGGGCCTTCGAGAGCGGTCGTCCGAGTGGGCGCGCAGAGGAGAGCGATGCGCGCCTAAATCTCCTCCTGCGTGCGTAGACTCACTTCTACGCGACGCTCGTGCCTCGCTTCGCTTAGAGTCACATTAAGTCGACTGGCACTCAAGTAAACCATGCTTAGTTGGTCAGTCAGTACTAGTCATTATAAATATATTACTTCAGTCGCTAATGATGCTAAGTGTTGTTGACGTTGACGTTGACGGCTTCTCACGGAACATCGCAATCATTTCCTCTTTTGGCAAGTTCGTGGCTTCGTCAGGCAGTGCGCCGACTAACAACTGGCGTTCAATGAATCAATCGTCCATCCAGACGATTCTGCATCAGTTCACTTCATGTCATGTAGGCCTCAGACACTATACTTAAGAGACGTTTCGCGATGCAATGATGTATCTTCCTTGACTTCGAACCGCCATTTCCCCCGGTTCTACTCTAAGGGCCCACCTACCTGACAGTTCTGAAGCCTGTGACATGCATATCATAACACTGGGTGGTCAAGGATTCGATACAATGTACGAAGACACACGAGTCGGTAAGTCAGTTTTGTCTCGTCAGGCGATCGCGCGATGTGTCACATTGTGTGTCGGTCCGACAGTCCTTAGACCCATTGCGGACACTCAAGGCTGAGCGCTGAATATTGAATTCCGGTACAGTACTACGCACCTTCTTGTGAATCATCAAACAAGAACAATCCCTCTTGGAGTTCAATTACACAATGACATACTTGGTCTCCAGGACCCAGTGACAATGCGGTGGCCGGTCAACCGGTCACGTACGGCTCAGCGCTCCGCATGCGCAGTGCACACGGCGACGCGAGCCTGCAGCTGTGCAGCTTGCCTGCAGTTCCTCCTCCTCATCCAGCATGTTCGCTTCGCCGGTGCTATTTCTGCTCTCTACATCGCTGCGGAGCTTTCTTTGGTCTATGGGCATCGAATGCGTGCGCTCTATGGCTAATCTGGGAACTCTATACTTAGGAGAACTGGCCTCATGTCGAGAGCAGCGAAGAACAATCGCGCATGGTGTCCATCGCCGGTGGCCTGGTGTCTTGTTTGTGACAATCTCCTAGCAGACCTGACAAGGAGCAGGCCAATGTCAGTGCAGTCAGGTCTTTGCCAATGTCTACCGCTCGGCGTCAAGTGTGCGGACCGGAAGGAGGGATCATGCGTCGGTGACCGGCGCACGTTCTGATCAACCCAGCCATATCGGTCGACGTCCTTGGTCATGGCGACACCTGCTCGACTGGCTTCTCTTGCTTCCTCTTCGCCGTGCGACCGAGGCTCCTGTCTGCCCACGCTCTCAAGAGCCTCTCCTCGCTGTTCCCAGGAGACCTCCACGCACCTCCCCCCTCATATACCCGCCCTCGACATAGTCTCTCCTCATCCTCACGACCCCCAGTACTCTCTCTTTCACAACTATGGTCACCATTGAGAAAGGCTTTGAGCGGCTCAAGAACTCGCGCAGCGTCCAGAGCTTCAGGGAGCTGCGTTCGCGCCCTCCGCGCCCGCTCAAGAAGTACATCGAAATCTCGCTCGCGGCATGCTTCCTCTTCTTCTCCGCATTCCTTCTTTACCTCCTCGTCGCACTCGGTACACCCATCATCAAGGAGATCTTCATCTTCCGCATCAAGTTCACCCAGGAAGACGGCACCGTTCCTTCTACGACCGCGACAGACCTCCGCTTCGGCGTATGGGGCGTCTGCGCGTACAGCGAGCTCCCCGGCTTCGTTGAGTGCTATGGCCCGACGCTGGGGTACACCATTCCTGATAGCATCCTCAACATCACCGGCTATCCTGCGCTCGTCGAGGATGTCGACAAGGTGCTCACCGGCATCCTCGTCCTCCACCCCATCACAGCCGGGCTCGCATTCGCGGTCATGTTCACCTCGCTCTTCCTCGAGTCCCACGCGATGTGCATCATCTCACTCGTGCTGTCGATCATCACCATCCTTGCTGGCTCGCTCGTCTTCGCGATTGACCTTGCACTCGGCATTATTGGGCGCATCAAGATCTCTGCGCTCTCGAATTACGCGTATGCCGTCAGCTGGGGTCCTGGGGTATGGATGATCCTCGCAGCGGTCATCTGCCTGTTCGCGGGCATGATTCTGTTCAGCGTCACGGTGTGCGAGTGCTGCGGAGTGCGGGAGTATGATGAGAAGGACGAGGAAGTGGAGACTCTGGCCGAGGCGTAGCGCGGAGGTGAGCATGTCCCGTACATTTGACTGCGCGAGCCTCGATGAATCTCCGCTACGCAGACTTCCTACGCCCTTTGGTGACGCCCACAACTTCTCTGATGCCAATCTGCGACTCTCCAGATCCAACCCAGAGCTCGCCTCGCGAGTCCGATGTTTCACGACCGTCACGACCGAATCACGACCCGCGATGAACCCTCACGAACCCGTCACGAACCGTCTTGACCCCCGCTGGGCTGGGGCTGCCGTCCAATATCTGAACGCAGTCGCGCCCGGCCGATTCCTCAGCTCGACATTGTGCTCTTTCCGTGCTTTGTGTGCTTTGGCTTTCTGACGATGCCTCGGTAGTGTAGGACAGTATAGGTGCGACCGTATGTCCCGAGTGCACGGTCTCGTCGAAGGCTATGTGTCGCTCTGAGGACACGAGTTCTTCTCGTCCGGCGCCGTCGTTTGCAATATACTGATGGTTTGGTTGATTGCGACGCTGGATTCGTGTGCGATGGAGAAGCGCGCGGGGTCAGTTTGACCTGCCAAATTCCAATGTCATCAGGCCCAGTCCTTGCGGTACGGAACGGAGTACGTGCGCTCATTCAGCAGTTCGAAGCAACGAATCATGGGAAACGGCGCGATATGGACGTTTCCAAATCATGTGCGCGCTGTTCAGCTAGCCAGGCTATTGGACGCAAGCCATCGCAGATCTCAACGTCGCGTGTCGAAGCAACTGTGCCAAACGTCTTCCGCGCAAGTCGGGAATCCAACTCGAGACTGGAATGATCACGGCGCGGTGAGCATCAAGCTTCAAGGACCGTCGTGTTACAGAAAGAGGGGACTCATTTGTCGTTTGCACTAGCAACCCGCTGAAGCTGAGCGCCGATGGGCCTCTCAGTCCTGGAGGTGCAAACCAAACGCTAACCCCAAGTGAGCCCCCTTGGACATGGCACTGTGTGGTATGTCAGCCACGACGCCGCATTGGCTGGACCCGGTTATTGTGCTTGCAAATTTTGGACCGGAGCTGGCCATACACTTTCTCCCTCGCACACGGATATGAATGCGAAACCACACAGGTAGCGCTTCTCTTGATTCGGCTTCGCCGCGTTAGTTCGTCTACGCATCGCACCGTAATGGCCTAGCATCCAAACTGCAGGACCCGAGACAACCGGGTGATTGCGACTGGACTCCTGCCATGCTTGAGGAGGATGGAAGAAGGAGAAGTATTCAGTTGCCAGCGCGAGTGCGCCGTGGTACAGAGGTCTTGGCATGTCCGATGTACATGAGTTGCAGGAAGACGCACAGGCAGTATGTGGCCCTGCCACGTAGTTTTAAGGTGTATCCTCATTGAAAGGCTTTCAGGTCATGATCAGACACTAACGTACATTGCCCACAGACCGGCAGGATGATCCCGTACTCTAAGCATGCATGACATGATTGGTTCCGCGTGACGTCGGTTAGAGGAGGCGCACTTCTCAGTACAGTACGTCTTGCGTCCTCCTCGCCTGTATATTCCATGCTGAGGATGATTGAACGAGGCTACCTTCTCATCGCGCATCTCTTCGACGACACAGGACTAAGTCTGCCACATTAAACATCCTACTCGCAGTATAACATGCTGAGTTGGTGAATAGTAGGGCGCTTTATCCCTCTGTTTGCCGACGATCAATCACAGGACATGCTCGTGTCGACATTCTCAGAGAAGCATGTTTCTCGGAGTTATGTTGCGGCCCTTGTGGGCGTAGTCCGTCAGCGGTCTGTAGTCAGCCCAGTGATACATATACTCCCAGTCCCACGTCGGATCGTAGTGTCACTCCCAGGCTCTCGTGTCCCAAGTACGCTTCGAACTTCGCTACCTCGTCGGCGAGCACGCAGGAGATCATGGCGAATGCAGTCGAGATTGCAGGTGCCATTATCGGTGTCGTAGTGTTGACCGCCATCGCCCGATGGAGATTTGATCCGGTGAGTCTATCAGTACAGATGTCTGAGAATGAGGATGCTCTGACTTACCATGCGGCCACGTTCAGCTGTACTCCATCCCGACTATCGGGCCCTCCTTTCCTCTTCTCTCGTACATTGGTGCGTATCGCTATTGCAAGAATGCCCGCGAGGTTCTGCAAGAAGGTTATGCAAAGGTCAGTCCTGTCACGAATGATCAGACTCTTCCGGAGCTTATGTCTCTACACATCTCCGCAGCACAAGATCTTCAAAGTCGCCATGCTCGACCAGTGGGTCGTTATTGTGAGCGGCGCAGAGATGAACGATGAACTCCGAAAGATCCCGGATTCGCATGCGACCTTCCACGAGGCCGCAGAAGAGGTATGTTCACCCGACCTAATATCATGCATGATGTACCCACCTTCTTGTCCCGCAGCTTGTACAAACTCGCTATACCTTGTCAGACAGTGCCGTCGACCACCCGATCCACATCCCTGCCATTCGTGGTCCCTTGACCAAGAACCTGGCCGTCGTTTTCGGCGACGTTGTGGACGAAGTCAATGCTGCATTCAGTGAAACTATCGGGAGCAAGCTGAAAGATGATGGTCAGTTCATTATGCATGCATTGGCCTGACACTTACATGTATTATCTTCTGCAGAATGGACCGGTGTGAACGTGCTGATGTCCATGGCGGTCATCATCTCTCGCGCGAGCAACCGCGTCTTTGTCGGTCTTCCTCTCTGTAAGCTCGCCTTTGAGCACAGATTCATGCTACGGCAAGCTAATTCTACAATGCTTATCAACAGGCAGGAATGAAGACTACCTGCACATTGTCCGCCAATTCACCTTCGACGTATCGAAGGGACGTTTCATTCTCAGCTTGTCTCCGAGGTTCCTGAAACCTTTCGTGGGCCGGTTCATTCCCTGGGCGCGACGCGCGATGCGGAATGGGTCGGTGTACCTCAGGCCTATGATCGAGGAACGTCAGAGGAAGCTGAAAGAAATGGGCGATGAGTGGACGGACAAGCCTGTGAGTTACCGTTGCTCCAAACCGCGGTGGTTTCGCGAATCTGAGACCTTTTGCAAGAACGACTACATGATGTGGATGATCGATGAAGCCAACCGGCAAGGCGAGTCCACCCAAGTGATCCTCGAAGGTATTATGGTCTCCAACTTTGCTGCCATCCACACCTCCAGCAGCGTGCGTCATACTCTTACGCTATCGTGCGTCTGTCAGTGCTTGTTGACGTCCGCGCACCGCAGAGCATCACACAGGCGCTATACCACCTCGCAGAGAGTCCGGAGTACGCTGATCTGTTGCGCGAGGAAGTCGAGAGCGTAGTATCGGAACACGGTTGGACGAAGGTCGCGATGAACAAGATGTGGAAGCTTGACAGCTTCATGCGCGAGTCGCAGCGGATCAATGGTATTACGCACAGTGAGTGTCTCACTTACCCTCCCTGTGCATCGTATTAACGAACACGCCACGCGGGGGTAGTTTCGGTCATGCGGAAGACATTGCAAGACACGACGCTGTCCGACGGGACGTTCATCCCAGCCGGCACCGTCGTCGCGGGCGCGTCAAGCGCGACGCACCGTGACGCGCGCAACTACGAGAACCCGGAAATCTTCGATCCTTTCCGCTTCGCAGACATGCGCACGGAGGACGGCGCGAGCATCAAGCATCAGTTCGTCACCACCTCGCCCGAGTACGTCGCGTTCGGGCACGGGAAGCACGCTTGGTACGTAGCACTACTCTCCGTTCGTTCCAGTGTAGTTGCTGACAGCGGGCTCACCGATGAACTAGCCCTGGCCGTTTCTTCGCCGTGAACGAGCTGAAGGTCATGATGGCCTACATCTTGCTCCATTATGACATCAAATTCGAGGATGGACGTCCGAGGCCGGAGAATTCTTCACGCTGGCACAGCGTCGTGCCTCAGAACAAGGAGGTGTTGTTCCGGAAGCGTCAGGTCTCAGCTGCTTGAGGGCCCCGTCGTCGTCGCACTAACCTCATGTCCTTTGGTGTTGTATGTTACGAACAACTGAATGAGCTTGGAAAGTATCGTTTATGTTGGCGGTCCTGGAGTTCGTACCCGACTGTTTTGATCGATTGTGTGAATGAATCCATCTCCGTGGCTCGAAGAAAACCTGCAGCACAGATGATACATATGAATAGCTGTGGACACCGATGTCAAGGGTGAGAGCTTCAAGTTAGCCAGTGGATGAGGGTCACGTGAAGAGCGTTACTACCGACCTCGAGGTTCTCGGGCTCGAGTCGTCCGTGACGCCCGTTACCCCGCCTCCTCCACAGTCGCTCCTCGCGCAAACACTTGATGTGAGAGGTTGCTGAAGGTATAGTCCCACCTTGAGTTACGTCGTGTTTGTGTCAGGGTTGACGGTATCCGACGCAGGCGCAAGTCGCCAGTGCCAGTTACCGATTCCGGTCCGGCAAACTTCAGCTGTCTCGACTCCTGCAGCTTGACGCCATGGCGGAGCCATCAAGAACGTCGTATTCGTTGACATTGGTCCCTCAGGAGGGATTCATGTCTGCGTCACTTGTCACTCCTGCTTCTCCGCCATTCGACCGGATAGATGCGGACTTTATATTGCGCACCGCGGACAATGTCGACTTCCGCGTCCACAAGCTCACGATGCGCATGGCGTCCGAGATATTCGAGGAAATGTTTAGTCTTGGGTATGCCGCTACATCCGACGACGACGCAGATGGCATCCCTGTCGTGCGGGTCACCGAACATTCTCAAATCATAGATGCGCTACTCCGGATTATATACCCAACCCAGGACCCCGTGCTAGATACCCCTACGACTGCATGCGAAGTAATGCGCGCATCACTCAAGTACGAGATCGAGGTGGCCATGTCATTTGCGAAGAAGGCGCTCCTGGACCCCAAGGTGGCAAGCAAGGACCCGCTCACGGTCTACGCCGCCGCATGCCAGATGCGGATGCCTAACCTCGCCCTCGAGGCGGCCAAGCTCAGCCTCCGCCACGAACAGATATTCCTCACTGCGACCGCACCAGCAGGGCTGGACAGCCTTCCTGCCACAATCCTCTTTGCGCTCATGCAGTATCGCGAAAAGTGCAAGGCCATCGTTCAGCGCTTCGTACAGGACGATCGGGTCTGGAAGGGCTGGCGCGAATTCCGGTACTTCCTCTGCGAGATCTGTGACCCGCGACCCATTAATGACGACGGACTTCCTCGCGAAGGCGCGGTCATACTCAACGTCGAGCATCTCCGGGTCGTGCTCCGCGACCTGCTGCGTAGCATGCCTGGACCTGTGCCGGACATCAGCGAAGTCATGCTCTCGTCGATGCTGCTCATGGCTGGTTCACGCGAGATCACGAAGTGCGAGTCGTGCCGCATGTCTATCGTTAGAGATGTGCGCGAATTCCACGCGGAGATCTTGTCAGAGGTTCAGCGCTCTGTGTCAATGGTAAGTGTGCCTCTTCCTCAAAGGTACCGACACATGCTCACGGAGTGCCGCATGAAGATCAAGCTCGAGCTTGTTTTGTAGGAACCCAACACTCGTTTGCTCAGCCTACTACTGCCCCGCACTTCATCGGCGAATATGCTTCGCTTTCCTAACATCACGATACCCGCTATCTACACCCGACAATCGTAGCCCAGAAGTACCGGCGTGTAGCCATCTATACTTATGCGTTCTCGTATAGTTGCTCGGTTCGTGCTCGTCTGCACCTGATGTATACCTTCCACTGCCACAACTAATGTGAGTTATCAGCCTTTCTGAGTCTTTCGATGTCTGAGTGCATCGGCTTATTCGTATTTAGGCTAAGTATAGTATCTGCAACCCGAAAGTCTCAAGCTCAGAATCCAACGACATCATGATTTCACCGGGTTGTTAACTCAACGTGCGACGGCCCAGGAATCGGTACAAGGAGCAATTCGAAGGTATGCTGATATTTCAGCCACATCTTCGGCAGTGAATGATTGTACATTCTCTCGTGCCCTGCATCATATTTGATAGATGTGCAGGACCCTTGCTGGCAGGGAGCTGGAGGAGTGAACTCTGTTTGCGCACTCGCAGGCTTGAGCGCTTATGCTTGAGCGTATTCACAAAGGCTATTGATATATGTTGGTTAGCGTTGACAATGGCCGACGAGACCGGTGACGCATTGCGACTAGCATCTCCTCTCCACGCCGAGTATGGTGGACTAGAACGTAGAAGCAGCCCTCCGACACAACCTACGCCACACATGTCCACGATGACGCCCCCTGGACTATCTTGAAATGAGACTGCGCCTACTGTGAGTAGCTTTCATTGCCAATGCAGTACCCTGAATGGTCGACGGACAGACCCATATGAACTCATACGAGCTGAAATTCGTTCGCGGACTGCCATTTGTGCTATTCCAGCCGACGCGACCGACGTCTTGTGGGTACCGTCCGTCAGCTGCCTGTAGTCGACGCCATCTGGCTACTACTTATACCGCGTTCTACTTGTCACTCCCCAGGCTTCACTTTCGCTCTGTTTTGCATTCGAGGCCGTCTTGCCTTCTCGACCATCGTCGCGATACGATGGAGACCCTAGGTGCTATCATTGGTGTCTTCGTATTGACGATCCTTCTGAAATGGAGGTTCGATCCGGTGCGTATCGATGCGCATGTCAAATGGGAACACAACACTGATACTGGCCCTCGAATTGTTTGAAGCTCTACTCCATCCCGGCGATCGGGCCATCCTTTCCTGTGCTGTCATACATAGGTGCTTACCGGTATTGCACGAATACTCGTGCAGTCCTTGAAGAAGGCTATTCCAAGGTTGGTTGCCGTGCAAATTTCTAGGTCTGAGCTTACCCTTGGTTACGTTCGAAGTATAATGTCTTTAAAGTTGCGATGCTCGACCAGTGGCTCGTCGTCGTGAGTGGTGCCGACTTGAATGAAGAGCTATCCAAGGTCCCGGAGTCGTATGCGACCTCTCACAAGGCAGCTCAAGACGTGCGTCCACCCACCCCTCATTCCATTTGTTTCGATGCATCATTGATCCTGAACATTGGACAGCTTTCTCAACTACGATACACCTTCTCTGAGAGTGTCGCTGACCAACCCATTCATGTCACTACCATTCGCGGCCCTTTAACAAAGAACCTGGGTATTATCTTCGATGATGTCGTAGACGAGGTCCATGCTGCATTTGCTGACACCATCGGGAGCAAGATGCAGGGGGATGGTTGGTCGACGTTTTTCTTCCCATGGTTATTATGACGCTGACAGGTATCTGAGATCAGATTGGATTAGCATAGCCCCTATGACGGTTATGTCGGTCATTATCTCTCGCGCCAGCAATCGTGTTTTTGTCGGTCTTCCCTTGTGTAAGTCCGCCTATCCACGCGGCGACAAAAGGGGTCACACGGAAAGCTAACGTTACGCTGCATGAAAATAGGTCGGAACGAAGATTACCTGAACATTGTTCGCGGGTTCACCTTTGATGCGTTGAATGCACGCTTCATCCTTAGTCTGTTCCCCAAATCAATGAAGGGTATTATTGGCCCGTTCATCCCCTGGGCACGCAGAGCAACTCGGAAGGCATCCGTGTACATCCGGCCCATCATTGAAGATCGGATTAACAAGCTGAGGGAACTGGGCGAGAAATGGGCGGACAAACCGGTAAGCCGTTCGCCACCCGACCACTGGATCCTCACTGACTGAGAGCTACTGGTTCCTAGAAGGACTATATTACGTGGGCAATGGAAGAGGCTGAACGAGAGGGCCAGCCTACCCAAGTTGTTATCGAAAGCCTCATGTTCGCGAACTTTGCTGCTATACACACATCCAGCAAGGTGCGCATCTTCCTTGTTGTCATCTGTCCCGGAAAGGGGTGGGTTATTGACGACCGACGCGTTACAGAGCATGACACAAGCGCTGTATCACCTCGCAGAGTGCCCCGTACTTGCTGCGCCTTTGCGTGAGGAGGTCGAGGAAGTGATCAGGGATCACGGCTGGACCAAGGTTGCGATGAGCAAGATGTGGAAGCTCGACAGCTTCATGCGCGAGTCGCAGCGCTTCAACGGCATCACCCATAGTGAGGGTCCACGTCCATCTCCTAGTCCGTCATGCTGATTGCTCGCAGTCGCTATCATGCGGAAGACGTCGCAGGACACGACCCTCTCCGACGGGACGGTCATACCCGCCGAGACCCTTGTCGCGGGCGCGTCGACGGCGACACATCACGATGCGCGCAACTACGAGAATCCCACAGTGTTCGACCCGTTCCGCTTCGCGAATATGCGCGCGGAGGACGATGCGCACATCAAGCATCAGTTCGTCAGCACCTCACCAGGATATGTAGCCTTCGGGCATGGGAAATACGCTTGGTATGCAGCGCCTCAGTGATTCATCAATTCGGGGTAGTGTGTCGCTGACTGAGGGACCTTGTCGTATCAGCCCGGGCCGATTCTTCGCGGTAAACGAGCTGAAGGTTATGATGGCGTATATTTTGCTACACTACGACGTCAAGTTCAAGCCTGGGCAGGAGAGGCCAGAGAACTCGTCGCGCTGGCATGTCGTCGTCCCGGGACATGCGGATGTGCTCTTCAAAAAGCGACTACCGGTGCCTGCTTGACGAACGTTAAGTATTGGTTGATATGGTGTAGTGTGTTCCCTTGTGTATTATGACGCTGTATTTGAGCTGTCGAGTGAGCTTCTTGAAGATACTGGCTCTGGTATGCATAGCCCGCGACCTAGGTTCTGGATCCCAGGACATATCTCACTTGTCTCAGAAAGGGTAAGCCGCGTTCGCTCAGGTTCAGATGCTGTCGCTGGCGCGCATCGGCTTGTGACCCGCTTGTCTCCACAGGCTCTCTTCCTGTCAGTGACTCGCACTCGAACACGACTCCCGCTCACATTACCGTATACGAACCCCGTACATTACTTCATCTACATACTACTCTACCCCGTAGACACACCCCCGACAGGGGCACCGGTACCCGCACCTCGCGGACCAGGGCCCGCCGCGTCTTAGCACCGTTTGTGTTTGCTTGTTGCAGCTTATAAATTCTGAATTCATCATCATCATCCTGTCAGTGACTCTAGCTCAGCCCACAACCTTGACGTACGTTGCACATTATCTCAACCTCAATGAAGTCAATGCTCACTTACACAAGTCTCCCGGGCAGGCAGATGTCGAAGGCCTTGCTGAGTGCCTGCCGGAAAGCACTGCGAGTTGCTCGATAACTTTTGATAACTCCATGAAGCGATACATGTGCATGAACAGCTACTTTACAGTAAGGCAGTCTTGATGATCTCTCGCCTCTCCTCATGCCCTTCGAGCGATATTTCCCCTACCGTCAGCTCCGAGCCTGCTACATCACGCAGGCCGTCATTTGCGGACGCCGGCAGCACTATCTCGGCGAAGTAGGCTTCAAGCTCGCCATAACCAGTCGCACCCAACGGGGCGATGGTCCCGACTATGCCGTCCGGGCGCACGACGACCAGGCCGCCCTCCGCCGGGTCGATCGAATATTTCGCATATGCATCCCCCGTCACGTCGTACGCTGAACTGCCCAATGGCTGCTCGCCCAGCGCCTCGGTGGACTGCAGCGCACCCTCCCCACGAGAGATCGTCAAGAACGCGAACACGGGCGCACGCGTCCGGGTGAACGCGTCGCGGGCATCGAGTGCCTGCTTGAGCGCCAGGTATCTACCCGCGCATATTGCGTTCAGTGCCGCACCTGCGAGCATGTCCTCCAACGCGCCGGCAAAGACAAGGATCCAGAACCGCCCGGAGTAGGCCATCAGTTCGTAGAGCCTCCGCGGGAACGCAGCACCTGGGAGGACGAGCGCGACATCCGGCGCCCGACGGCCCACAAGCACAGCTGCGGGCACCGTGCTTGCGGCGCCGACGCGGCGATTCAGCATGTTCTCGGTGTACGAGATGCCGAGGCCGACGGTGAAGGATGCGTTCTCAGTGAAAACCTGGTTGAGGTATGAGTTGACGTCGGCGCCGGGCGGCGCGCTGAGGTGGCTGGGGATCTTGCCGGAGATGAGCGACGCGATATCGCGGTCGAGCTGGATGAGGTGCTGCGCGGACGCGCGGCGCTCGGCGTCGTACGTGTCCAGCACGCTCTCAGGTAGCCACCCTTTGAGTACCCCTGCGAGCTTCCATGCGAGGTTCGTCGCGTCGTGGATGCCGGTGTTCATTCCCTAGAGACAGTGTGTCGTGGTAATCGTCAGCTGCGGTACCTGCGACATAGTGAGGGCTCACTGACCTGGGCTGCACCGGAGGAGTGCGTGTGCGCCGCGTCGCCCGCCAGGAAGATCGGCCCGTCCTTGAACTTGTCCGCCACACGCTGCCCGATCGCGTACACCGTCCACCAGTCAAGCTCAACGAAATCCAACGTGAACGGCCGAACGGCTTTCTTGGCTTCCGCCATGATAGCTTCAGCGGTCGGTGACTCTTCATTCTGACAGAGATGCGGGGGGCAGACGAAGCCGATGCGAGTGCGCCCGTTATCTGTTGGCGTCCAGAGGACGTTGCCGTGCTCGATAGACTCAATCGAGACGCCTGCTCTCCTACTGTGCGGCATGTCCGTGCGCACCACCGCGTCCATCCGCACCCAGCGATGGCCGGAGTTTGTCCCGGGGAACGAGATTCGACTAATGGAACGGACGGTGGAACGTCCTCCATCGGCTCCTACTAGGTGCTTGCTGTTATACGGGTGTTACTGCGAGTACGTTGACCATTCGGAGTGTATCACTGACCAGCGAACATGATAGGTTTTTTGACCCTCCTGGATGGTCGCGAGTACGGGGTACGCTGCGGTTGAATCAATGGTGTAGTCGACGAGCTTCGCGGGGACTTGAAGGGCAGTTGAATCCATCGACTGTATGGCCTCTCTGAGAGCGGATTCGATGTGCTTCTGTCTGATACTGAAGCTGTTGCAGGGTAAGAGGCAGCAAAGACGACGAGACAAGGCCAAGCATACCTAAATTCAAAGAAGGTATTTCCCGCGATGGCGTCGCGCACGAAGGACCATCCCCGCGCTGGAACTTCCTTGCCGTCCTTGAACGTGGTCGAGTCTCTGCGAGCGGTACCGGTTAAAGAAAACCGGCTTCCAGGCTAACATGGCATGCATACTTGACCATGAATCCTATGTCTGCAATCGCAGAGTAGACCCCGATTAGGTCAAGGAGCTCGACAGAGCGAGCGTAGAGCATGCATGCCCTTCCATACAAGGCTTGCTGTGTTTTATCGTACTGTTCTGTTGTCTCCGATCATCTAGCCATACCATTGGGGCCATGGAGAAAGGGTGCGCGCACCAACTGTGAGTGTAACGATTCCGGTCTTGAGCAGCATGTACGTTATGACGAGTGATGTAGGACCGCCGCCGACAAGTAGGACATCTACCAAACGGGGTGGAGCATTAGGAGAGGACATCGCGGACGCGGTGTTCAACACTGCAGGCTAGCACTCAGTCGTAGCACAGGACAGCGTGATATAACAAGGAATGTCACTGACAGCTGGTGCCGTGCTGTATAGACGTGGCTGGGAGGGGCGTGCTCGTAGAGGCTGCAGAAGGTACGAGTAGGCTTCGTCCACTCGCGAGTATGTGAGAGCGGGGCCCGCTGGCCGCTGTTACATACATCTCCGAAGATCAGTTGTCAGCCGAAATCGCCGTAGGGCGGTGACCTATGCTCAGCTGGGTCAGTAGGCCATCAAAGCTGTACACAAACGTATGCTGGGACAAACGTAGGATAGAAGTCGCGAAAGAGTAAGAAAACCGTGACAGATGACCTGCTGTCTCCAGGTCAGTCCGGGCACCTTTCGACGGCTCAGCTGGAGACGCCCGCAATCCCTTGCTCACTAGCGGAAGGCTCTCCCAGGTCGAAAGATTTCGTAATCAACCCATGGTCAACCCACCAACGGACTCATTACCAACGTGGGCTCATTATCAATCACTAGTATTGGCTGCCTGGAGGTTGTGAAAAAACGGCGGCGAAGGATGGGCAGAATCCTGCTGTGAACGATGCGCGGAACCATATCAATGGCTCTGGATCCGGCATCCGGTACTCATTTCGATCGCTTCTGTTCAATACCAAAGTAAGACGTGAGCATGAAGTGGTCTGACGACCCCAACTTTCGCTTCGTTTCCTTTTCCTTTTATAGTCGGGACCTAGGTATTGGCGGTAAGGGTTGTCCAGATAGGGCTTTGACAAGCTCGGAAGCTAAGCACCCAAAATGACTCAACATACGGCCAGCCGTATTGATGCATACAACGGCGACTTACCCAGCTCATCAGGCGCCTCTTGAACGACCTACGTGCCGTAGTCTGAGCGCCACGCACAGCGGACGTCAGAGATTCAGAAGCGGTACTCACAAGGTGGCCAGCGCCCGCGACGCGGACGTTGCTAGCGTTCTCGGCCCTCCAGACCGTTTCCTGTGTCATTTCCGTCCCGCCGGTCCTAACGCGCACGTCAACGAGAGTGTCTGAGGCATAGACTAGGCGATAGCTCACGTCACATTCGACTTGGCGCTCATGATCCAGTGGAGGCCGAGCCCGGAAGGGATGTCTTTCAGACCCGTCCACGTCTCGTAGAATACGTTCCACTCGCAGTAGACGACCGCCTCGTCGAACGGCCGGGTCTTCAGGCGGACAGCACCCGGGGCGTCGCCGCACTGTTCGATGAGCCCGTGCTCGATAAACACATCCACGACATCGGGGTGCCAGGTCCTCGAGGATCGCGACTGCAAGATGTCGCTCTTTGCGTGCGCCCTGCATGGCCGGATATCTGTAAGGCACGACTCCTGCACTACTCCACTCGCGACGCACCTCGATGGCCACCGTCTCGGCTTGCCAAGCGCACCCCGGAGCAGGAGATCGAGTCCCTTTCCCACAGTAAACGTCGGGGGAGTAATCACGGGTTCGACGAGAATAAGTCGTTGGAAGAGCCCTGGTTGTTCTATGGCCACCCGAGTGCTGAGAAGGCGATGAGTGTCTCCTTATTAGCATCACAGTGGGTCACTATGAGACGATCGAGTCACTTACATCGTGGTTCCTCCATACGAGTGTCCAATCCCGATGACCTGGCGCCGCTCAGGTCGTGTCCCGATGTATGCCAAGCGGGGAGGGAGAGGTACAGAAGAACAGTGCACAGGTAGGTAGTGGAGGAGGAAATTGCATATGTCGCGACACTGATCCTGCCAGTCGACTCGACCTATCCTCAGTGTCGTGTCATAACGGCACAGAGAGCGAATACGTACAGACGTCCCGCAGCTCTCTGTCGTTCAGAACGCCCGAATCACCATGCTGCACCGACTCAAACGACCACACCTCGTCAATAAGCAGCGACGCATCCTGTTGTGCGTGGGAGAACAGGCGGACCAAGGTGGGCTCCCAGATCTGAGATGTGTACGAGATCAATGTTGCTCTGAGTCTCAGGCGTCAGTGGTGAGACTAACCTGACGAGGAAAGCCCGTCGCGTGGGTGAGGAACAGCGTCATCCCGCGGTTGCGCAGGTCGATCGGAGGATCTTGGCGGACATACCGGTCGACGCAGTTCCACAGCGCCGCCTGCGACCCTCCCTTGTACTGTCTCTGTGCCGGCCCAGTCTCGAATTGCACCTTCGCGTCGATGAGGGCGTGCGCCAGGGCCTTTGCGTCGACGCGCTCGCTTCTTGTTGCATCCTCTCGCAGGGGAGAGGTATAAGGGAGCGACCGCGGGCTCGCTGCGGGGATCAAGTGAGACGTCCTCCTGTAATTCGCCACGTTCGCTGGTCCGGGGAGGTTGTGGTCGAGTGCAGTGGAGTATGCCTGAGGTGGGACGAGGGGCAGAAGCGGAGGCACTGGGATCCCGTCGCTGGTAGGTTGGCCGCCGTATCTTGGGTAGCAGAGGGGCGGACTGACGGACATGGTGTTCGACGACGAATGGCACTTAGTGGACAGGTAAGATTATCATAGCATTGAACACTTTCCTTCGCATCTTACATACTGAGTTTATGGTACGTGCGCGCTCTCGATATACCAAAGGTTTGCGTTTGGGCGGCCCTCAGAGTCACAGCTTCTCCCAGAAACTTCGCCATGCGGGCCACTTTCAGCTGGAAGGTCTCGATATTATCAGGCATTGAGGTACCGGAATCTGGCAGAAGAAGGCGTGAAGCTCAGAGTTCTGATTCTGACCCTGCGGTCAACGTAACTCCGTAATCCACCGCAGGAAGGGAACGATACAAGCTGAGTGTCAGTGTGAGCGGAGAGTTCGACGGCTGGGTACATAGTGGGACTGTGACGGATTGCTTGACGCACACACTTCAGGTAGGAGTGCTCCTTAGTGTGGACGTCGGTACCGCTTTGCGATGTTTGGTGATATAAGGACCGGGGGCCAGCGTACTATCAGAGATGAACGATGAACCATATGAGAAGACGTGCACTGTGTTACTAGTAGGGCGGCGCATACTTAGGGATGCGACGCCATGAATAATTTCGCATGCTCTTCAAAGATAGAAGTCAGCTCAGAATTTACACGCAAAAATCAGCCGTTTGCTCACCGCTTCCAGGCGTCCAAGTCGTTGTAGGCCGCTATCCCACCTACGTCACGGTGTTGCGAGACCGCCGAGACGCACATACATACATTACTGAGGACCAAGGCCTCGCACTGCAGAGCAACAGGATGCCTTCAGTTGTCTAAATCCTGGGATCGGCCGGTGCTATGGGGTCTAATGAAGTATATACGACCTGAGACAAGCCTGAGATGAGTCGATGAAGACGCCAGCGGCGACTCGAGGAGGAGGAGGAGGTCCTGGTTGAGGCCTCCTTGCACGTGACTCTTCAAATTCGGACAGTGCCGTTAAGGATTGAAATATTGAAATTGATCCCGTCCGAGTCGCATCGTCGTCTTGTTCGTGTTAACTTGGCAGAATTTTCTCGCAAGACATACGTGCACACTGCATTCCGACCCACCAATTTGTGAAGGGCAGCGCCTGGCGCGTTTGATGATCTGATATTCGCCAAATGCGCCTCGCGACACAGGGCAATGTTTGTTATGTTGGGAGCCCTTAGAGCCTTAATCTACCTCACGTGTGTACTCAATTGACGGCCATTCACTCCTTGCTCTTTGTCTACAGCGCTTCCATGTCTCCAGAAATGAGTCAAAACTCGAGGCTCATGCCCGAATCTATGATCTTCGCCGTGAAAACAGGCGACAAGGACGACTTTGATGAATGCGCCTCGTTCTTCAGTGACAACTATGGCATATGGGGCCCTCATGTGCCTTTCGCAAAACCTGGTCAGTGCCTTCTATGTAGTATCACGCAAAGCTGATGGAGAGTTATAGGGAACTGGGTTAGAATGGGCGCTGCGAAGCTCAAGAACCAGCTGATACCAGATGACCCGGTCAACACGGTCCTCGCTACATGTCGTGTTGGCGGGAAACTCGTCGGTCACGTATTCTCCACCACATGGAAGTATACGACTGGTACATAAGCCAACTCGTGTCTCCTCATAAAAATGTAAGTATCACAATGACTCTTCTCTGCCAACGCCAGCGAGCCATGATGCACAGAGAAAAGCGACGGTAGGCTGGATCACCCAGCTGGTCGTTGAGAAGACGTACCGAAGACGCGGCATTGCAACTGCCCTCTTGCAACGTCGGATCCGTTCCAGAACGTTGGCGTCCTCGGTGTTGCTTCGTCGCACCCAGCCACTTGTGCTGCGCTCGCAAAAATCACGGGTACGTTATCGTTTGAGGCCATCTTCTCCCCCGCTGAGCGAGTATGAACTAGCCGCACCCATCGGTGCGCTTGACCTTGATTTCGTTCGCAGCCGCGCTCGGGAAATACTCTCCCAAACGCCTGTCAGCTATCTTCGAGGTGCAGAGCTCCATGGTTCGCTGTTCGGGGGTGACCATCTTCCTGGAGCCGTATGTAGCATCTTCACCAAGTTCTATGTCGACCACGGAGAACCACTCGGCGTGCTGCAGACATTCAATGAGGCCAACAATTGATGTCTCGGGGAGTTGCACGAGGGACTCGAATCTTTGGTCGTTGCACCGAGACGCAAATAGCTACGCTGAAATCAGGCTAGAAGGAGTATAGTACCAGCCTCACGAAGGGCCATCTTTGGAAGGCTGCACTAGTACCTTGATTCTCACGACACTCTGAGAAAATGCGGTTGCCTGCCGAGGCCTCAGCGACTAAACGGTACATAACAAATGTACCAGCCATTTCCTATACCGGGCAGTGTCGTCAAGTTTACAAACTCTATACGCCACTATTTGCTTGTACTCGATCTTGCGTGTCGCCTGGACACCTGCGGTCAAAGCCTTACTGACAACACCGACAAACCGAGTACTATGTAATGGAACGTTAACCCACCGTCATGACCCTTAACGTTTCTGACCGACTCCGAATCAGAAAAGGCTTATTCACAACGCGCATAGAACGTGGGCGGTCCATCAAATTTCGCTCTACTGCTGTCAGCTCGATTCCAAATACTTCGGCCAGCCCTGCACACGTTTTTGGAGTCCACTGGAACCAGCCACTTCGCACCTAAATTCGCTGAGTTAATGACCACCAGAGCGTCATACGCTACTTGAATTTGACCTATCGTACAGCTTCAAGTTGTGATGCGCATTTGCAGATGATACGAGCAGCTAAGTACAGCACATCCTACTTCGAGACCATCGACCAAGTCGGCGAGTAGTACTCCACTAGACGTAAGGCGGATGTTCCGCATGGACTGTGGTCGCTGGCACTGTGTCTGATAAACTCCTGGATTTTCCAGCCTCGTTGACCATCAGCTATAGTTAGCGAGGGGTCTGCCGCATAGGCTACATGATGTTGCCTGCCCGAGAGGAGAAGAAGACAGTCACTGGTCGAGATACATGACGGAGACCTCCGTACATGGCCATAGGACGAGTCGCTGTAGTCGCCCGTCGAAGGTATATAAATGACTTGGTTGTGGGACTCTACCCCATCACCGAAGCAACCCTTCGACGACCTGCAAGTGCGCCAACGGAACTTCGGTCAGTAATTACAACTATACAACATGCAACCGTGCTCACTGACCTTTCCTACTCGGACGTGCAGTAGAACACCAAGCTAAGCATCCGCCATGCGCTTCGCCGGGAATATCGTCTCCGCCGTCATCTTGTCGCTCGTGTTCAGTGCCAAACGAACCAAGGCCGTGATTTGCGACGAAATGCTCTTGGCTGAGTGCACCACAATTGACGATGTATGTTGCGAGGATTACCTGGGATTTGTGCCCTTGACGTGCCAGGGGACCAGTTTTGCCGGCGAGCCGTTCTCGGTGGGTGTCTCTTTGGTCTTTACAGCGTTCGCTGACCTTGTGTTTCGGCCTTGGCATCTTACAATCAACCAGGCATGCCTTCCTGACACCTCTGCCATTTGAAGGGCCGTCAATGGTATCAGCTACCCGGTAAGCCCAGATCTTCTGCCCTATCATTTCTCCTCTCTCATATGCACCAAGATCAATCGCCTGACTGTGTACGCACGCTCACTGCTGGATTGTATCGTCGGCTCGGATAAACACGATTGCATCCCATCATCACTATTCTCTCTTACTCCTCGACGTCGACCTCGTCGTATATTCTGGCGCCCGTGACGACTGTTTTGATGATGCCGGCCTCCTGTAACGCAGCGAAAAAGTCGAATAAAACCAGATCCTGCAGTGAACGAGTATCAGCGTGACGTGATGGAAATGAATTGATATTCATGGCGGGCTTACACAGCCTTTGGCAGCTATGAAGCTGAGGGTCACCGGGAGATACTCAATGACTCCCGTGATCGTCGAGTTATACGCGACCTCGCCGACTACGGTGACCAGCGGTATTATAGTCAGCTATCAGTTGTGCCATTCAGAGCCGATCCATACCTGGTACCACCATATCCGGTGTTTCAGCCAGGACAGCTACTCGTCCCGCAGAGAAGCCAAACGGTGTACCCGGTGGACTGGTGATGGCGAAAGTGATGAGGATATGAGGACAACGAACACGTTTCGCGACTCACCCTACATATGCATTCCGGTAATTCGTGTAACCGGAGCTTTGAGGATAAAGTAGAATGCTCTCTGAACACGACGTCGAATCCCCGCCAACCACCACCTCGCTCGCAAACCAATCCATGAACGTCGTCTTGTTAGCAATACCTTCTGTATATGCATCTTCGGGTAATGACAAGCCATACTCCCACCGGGTAAGTGGTGCGGGATCAATGAAGGGTCTACGACCACCGTTGGCCGCGGCGTAGTCAGCCATGAAAGGCTTAGCAAGGAGTTTAATCTGATCCATCGTGATCAATGTCGGGTACGTCGTCCTCAGCATCTCTGACAGCGAACCGTGAGCCGCAAACAAGGAGCTCTGCGTCCACATGTTGGTAAGGTTCATCTCCGTACGTGTGATACCTAGGAACGCTTCTAGCTTCGAGATGAAAGCGTTGAAGACCGCACCGGCGGTGCCCGCGGAGGGAGGTTCCGCGAGGTAGCTGCTGCCGAAGAAGTCTACCGGAAAGAGTAGCTTTTTCGGGAAGCCAGGGAACTGTTAGAGGGACGCGTTAGGCTCGACTACACGAGCGAACAAGGCAAGGGAACTCACCGACGTGAAGTTCTGGTACCACCAATGGCCGGCTGTCGCCCACATGACCGCGTCCCTGGCGAAGATACCAGCGGTGTCAAGGGGTGGCGACAAGGGCATTACGTCGTCGAGAGATACAGCACCATGCGAGGGTCTGTTCCCGAAGACGCCATTGACACCAGCAGGACCTCGCATAGATCCTCCCGTATCGCTTCCGATCGCGTAGTCTAGCCACGGGTATGCTGCTTCGGCGGTGCCGGATCCCGTAGACGAGCTGCTGCCGTCTTGGTAGCCATCGCCGCGAGGATTGTACGGAGCATGCAGGTCGACCCAGTCGTCCGTCGCGACCTCTCCGTTAGCGAACTGCGAACTCTTGGTCTTCCCGACGAGCACGAGCCCACCGTCAAGGAGGCGTTGCACGGCGGGAGCGGTCTGGTTCCGCGGAGGGTACAACTCCCAGTACGCGCGGTTGCCGCAGCCAGTACGGAGACCCTCGACGTCATAGATGTCCTTGACAGCGAACCGGAGTCCAGCGAGGGGCTGCTCTGCGGTAGGTGTGAAGTACAGACGAGAAGGAACACCAATGGACTCCGTTGCCGCTCCGGGGATCTTCGCAGATAGCATGTCGTACCCACCAGAGGGATTGGGAATCGTGCCATACAAGAAGGATTGTTGCTCGTCATTGTACAGTCGATATACTGCAATAACAGTCCATTAGCATTGTTGAGAAGCCAGAGAGAGGCAAATTACCCTCGAAGATGTTGCCACTGGACAAGTCGAGAAGATAAGGCCCGGCGGGAAGCTCTTTCCTCATCGCCACATCGATTGACTGGTTCGCGGAATGCAGAAGGAATCGCATTGCGTACTGAGCCTGCATGTTCGCGGTCACAAGGGACGTGGGGGACGCGTGCGATCCGTTGTAGGCGACGTACAATCCTATCATGGATGTCAATGAAAAGCAACTCAGCGCTGGCGAATAGCGCTCTTACCGTTCAAGAAAGCCTCGCTCCAAACATCATCCTTTGCCCTCCACGATTCGAGTGTCGACTCCAGGTGGCTGTCTGCGAATTCTGTTTCGGCAGAGGGCATGACCGAGAACGGAACGAGCCGCTTCGGCGCGTCATCCACCCCAAGCTGTCTGGCAATCTCATAGAGAGCGCCAGATCCGAACTGTGATACTGGAGTAGGAGGGGCGAAATAGGGAACACCGGCCAAAGTGAAGGTTTCCCCCGTCAGCTGGAAGAGCGCCTGTTGTGCCACCGCGATCGGCGCGAGGGCCGTACACGCGAGTAACACCCACCAACACGGCATGACTCTCGATGCTGAGTCGCCGTCGAGGTCGTCAGAAACTGCAATCTCCTTTATACTCCCCGCGAGCCGTCCTATGCCACGCTGAAGCCGAGATAGTGAGCGGAACGAGTAACGCGTCCTTTATACCCTACGTGAGAATGCCAGTCAGCAGCGATCCAATCCTCGCCCTGCGTACCCGAGAAAGCACTGCCGACGGCTTTCCTACGCCTTACAGGACTGTGTGTTCCTGACGAGTCGCGTGGTTAATCCTTGATCGATGCATAGCCTGAGTATGGTCGGGCAATCTGCGTTTCCGCGAGACTCACGCCGAGTCAGATAAACCCATAGAGGCCCGCAGGTGGCTTTGTGTAGTAGCCTGTATCTTCTGTTCTGTCACCTGTGCGATAACACTGGCGCGATACCTGGCACACTATCAGCATTGTCAGTTGCAGCAAGGCAGTCCACTGACTCAGTCGATGGTCTGTCGAGTCGGTAACGCGTGCGCACATCGTCTTAGTCCCCTGCAGGCAGACTCTGAACACCCCCTCTGGAAGGCTGAGCATTGTCATTGTATAGACTTCTGCTTGAATTGCGCTGCCAAGTTGTTTGGGGTGGTCTGCAAGCTTTAGACCGAGGTCAAAAACAAGGAATACGACATACCAGAAGTCAGCGTTCATAACCTATTCTCCAACAGGTTATGAGCCCTGACTGTCGTACAAGTCGGGCCCGAGAGACGAACAAAGGTGGACCCAGCGACCTTATCCGTCCCGCCACGAGTCGATTCTAATCAATGCGCTTCAATCGACGACGTACCTGACGTGTCGCCCAGCCTGAATGATCGGTCAGAAACGACGAGATTCCTTCACTTATACGAGTACGCCTCTCTCGCAAAGTCTCTGCGTCCCAAGGCTTCCAGCTTCAATCATTCCGCCTTGGAAGACCGTCCTCCCCCTCACTCAAAGAGGTCTTCTTTAGGGTCTGTCTAGGGGAGACAAACGGTCACAAACCATTCCGAGTGAAAGCTTCGAGTCGTTGCGGCTCGGTCGTGATCGCTGTTCGCTCCGTCATTCGCGCCGTCTCTGAGCAATAACAAGAGATCCAATGAGTCAAAGTCGAGCAGCGATGCGAAGACAACGTAAAACAGTGTGCAATCATGGACAGCCGCATGGTCGATATCGGATATGGTCGGCGACGACCTGCGACAACGTCGGGCGCCCACCGGACAACGTTCGGCGTCTAAGGTCTTGTGCCCAAAATGGTAGTCCCTTTCAACGCCTAGCTTCGACGTCGTCAGACGCGGCGACTTCCTTGTCCCTCTTGTGGTATGGTGAGTCGCGACGAACTTCTGAATGGTGGTGGGAGAAGGTATATAAGCAGCGAATATTATGTGACGGAACCACGCCTGCTCGTTGACCGAACGCGCCCTCCCGCCTTCCGTGCTGGCCCTCCTCACGCCGGCAGTCTACCAGTAGACAGCGCAAACCGTGAAACTACTCCGAGCAGCCTCGCCTTCATTCATCGCTCTCCATCAAAGCGCCTTGGGCGAAACACAGAGACACCATACTATCTCAGCGGCCTCTAGAAATCAGCCATGTTCCCAAGCATCTTCCGTACCTTCACGCTCCTTTGTATCTTCACGTCTCTTGGTAAGTGTCACAAGCTGTACACGACATATCTGCGACTGACCTTATGACCGACAGTTACTGCATCCCCTGCGCCTGCACCCGTCGCAGAGCCCATTGATGCAACCATCGCGAACATAATCGCCACCAACGAGAACCTCGGGTGCTCAGGTCCCTCAGGCTGTATCGCAGTAAGTCCCGCATCAGAAAAGTGCTCGGAAAAGAGTATACTCATGTGTTTCGCGGTAGGCACAGAACAGTAGCGCGGCCGCTGCGACTTTCGCAGCTTCGGGCGCATCACACTCGATGAGCGCTCCAGGAGTTGCCAGTGCCCTCGTAGCAGCAGCAGCCGTCGCAGGCGGCCTCTCAGCTGCGGGACTTCTGTGAAAGTTCCGTCAGCATACAATTATTTTTATGAAACTCACTGAAGCTGGACGGACTTTTACATTGCCTGACTACGATCCGCACTTTATGTTGTATGTACCCTGCCCATGAACTCCGATACTAGTATCATAGTATACCAACACACAATATTGACAATCACGCACCTACCACTTTCTCTTCTTAAAACATCGTTCAATACAACGAGATGCCCATGTATGCGCTGCGTAGAATATGTGTCGGATTTCGACTCAAGCATCTCTATTGAGGTAAGCACGGCATCTTCCGGCGCGCACCGCCGGCGGTCGCGCTGGCGCAGATTTGAGACGATCCTCCTCCTCAGCCTGACCTCAGACCTGCGCTTGCCCTACTTCGAAATTCTCCGTCAAGAGACCAGAGCGGTATTTTTATCCTTTGAATACTGAAGAGAACAGTGTCGACACGCCAAGGAGGTAAGTAAGGACCACAGATTTCAAGATCGAGCCCTAATTCAAACCCCACAGCCTGGGACGTACGGACCGAGCCCGTTTGCGCTGTTGCGGCTTGTTGCGGTCTTTCCGCGGAAGCGTAATTCAACTCTGATACACGCTCTCAAACTCCTCATGCATCATGTTCTGACCATCCCGGAGCTCGTCCGCGTGATAGTTGACGAGGCTGGCTATGGCTTGTTGTGTCCGAATGCACCGACGCTCGTCGCGCTCGCGCTAACATGCCGCGGTTTTCTCGAACCAGCCTTGGACGTCCTATGGTCGAAGCAGTATCGCTTGGACAATCTTGTCAAGTGCTTACCGGAAGCTATATGGATTATTCCCAGTGGTTCCCCCAAGACTCTTGTGAGTACAGGTTTAGGCCCATGTTGCTCGCTTGGAAGCTAATCACCACTGCAACCATCGCAGACGCTCAGTGAACCTACCAGACCAACCACGCAGCAGGACTGGGACCGCTTCGACTTCTACGCTAAGCGGATCAGAGCACTCGAGTTTGACTCACTTTTCCTACATAAAACGGGAACTCGCACTCTCTCCAAGAGCCTGTTTCGCTGGCTGTTCTCGTCAAGGCCGTCCTATCATCCCCTTCCGACTCTCACCTCTCTCATCTGGCATGGTGCAGAGAGCTCCGAAATTCGTGACTATGCACATTTGCTCTTCGGAAGACAGCTCTCTAGGTTATCCATCGACACATGTTCGTCCATGGACTCCAATTCCCAAACATCTGAAGTTCCAGCGTTGCTCCATCTCCCCGAGCGTTCGCCGGACATCCAAGAATTGCGACTTACCACGAGACGGGGCTTTAGTGTGCAACCTATCACCGGCAAGTTTTTTGCATCTCTGAAGCGGCTGAAGTTCCTCACAATGGAGTCCACCATGACTGAGATACCCGACATCCTCATTGGGCTTTCCACCTTACAAAACCTTACGACAGTCTCGCTTGAGCTTTCCGGCCGGCATCGAGTCGGGACAAGTCAGAAGGATGAAGATCGTACCGGCTCAGGCGTTGTCTTCCGTACTCTCACAAAGCTAACCCTGCGGACTGCTACCATGTCCGATGCCAATGACATCCTCAAGACTTGTCGCTGTCCCCAGCTCCAACTCATAAACGTGCACGGAGGCACAGCGCAAAGCGCGGATCTGGAGGCCTTGAACACCATGATCCGGCTCATCAACAAGCACTGTGTACCTACAGTGTTAGAGGCAATCGAGATATCAGCCGGTGAAGCTGACGAGGGTACACAAGTGGTACAGCACATCACCGCGGCGTCCTTAAGGCCTCTTTACGACTTCCACCGCTTGCGCAGCCTCCACGTCATTTCTGGAGCAGATATGTATATCATCCTCGACGACGATTCAATTGAGGAGATGGCTAGGTCATGGCCTCGCATCGAGTCTCTGGCGTTATGGAGCGACGCCGCAACCCCGTGGACGACTCAAACAGCGATGACCCTGGAGGGCCTGGTACATCTCGCTCGATATTGCCCTTCGCTGGAGACGCTCCAAATCGATGTCAACACGACTGGTACCACTGTCTCGCCTCTAGCGAAGCCCGGCGGTGGCCATTACAATCGAGTTCTCCGGGAATTGCTTGCCCCTCGGTCGCACGCGTCGGGTGAGCCTGCGTACATAGCGGCTTTCCTATATGCGATATTTCCCAACCTGGAGTGCATCAACCAAGGCGAAGACACTGATCAGGGTGAGTCTTGGAGACGAGTTGAGGCGGTCATTGAGGTTCTGAGGATCGCTTCCCAGTGGGAGAAGTTAGACTGTGAGTCATAGTCCAACTCGTGGGACCACCGCTGACGGGTGGGGCGCTCTATGCAGTATCGCACACACAATAATCGCTCTACGCAATCATCACAAACCAGCCAGAAGGCCTTCTTCCCCCTCCGTCCCAATCACGCGTCCGCCGCCTTCGACCTGCTTGCACCCGACATTGTCTCGTCCCACCTCCATCAAGAACCCGTCCACCTCCTCCAGCGGTTTGCCCGGCCGCTCGCGCACGACCATATCACTCCCAACAGCCTTCAGCCACTCCAACACCGGCCGGGTGAACCACCGCCCGATCGTCCCATCCGCGCCCCTCTCGAACCACCCGAGGTGCCCGCCCTTCTTCGTCACCGCGAACGCGACGCAGCCGTTTCGACCCGCGTGCACGGGGAGCACCTGCACGATCGGGTCGTCCTCCGCGGCGATGGCGAGGAATGGCACACGCACGCGCGGGAGCGCGGCGTGCGACGACGCCCAGGCGTAGTACGCGCGTGCGCTCGGGAATGGGAACGGCGGCGACGACCCGCCGGCGATGCGGTTGAACGTCTCGTCGAATGTCTCGAGCGTGGGCGAGCGTAGTGCGAGGGTCGGGGCGACCGCCTGCGCGACCGGGTGCGAGGGCGGCGTGCTCAGGCCGGCGGCATGCTGCTTGACGATAGCTTGGAGGTTCGAGCCGAGCGCTTTGGAGTAGACGTGGCGGTGGAACCAGTTGCCTTCGAGCCTGGGTAGCTGTAGTTAGTATGCGGATTGGCTCGCGGGCGGGATTCCTTACGCTTCACTGTTCGTCACTAAGTCCCAAGGCTACATCATTCCTATGTGAGCCGTGTGTTTGCTGTAGTCGGGAGTGACCTACGCAAGCTATAACGCATGCAGCGGCAAGTCTGCAGTCTTCGCCCTCCTCGGCAACGTAACGAGTCAGCACGTTCGCACCAAGCGAAAATCCCAGACCGAGCAGGAGCGCATGCGGGTAGCGTCTGCGTATGTAGTACATTGCCGCGCGGATGTCTCCAGTATGTCCAGCGGAATATAGCTGCGGGCTTGTGACAGGGACACCCGCACCTGTCGTTTGCATTAGCTATGGCAAAACGACAGGATCGTTATGGGCTTACACCCCCGGAAGTTTACCACAATTGCGCGATATCCCAGCCCTCCATCCTCTATGGGCATGCATGCGGGAGATACCACCGCACGAACGTATGATTCATGGGAGCCTTACAGCACCAGTCTTCAACAAGCCGAAGTAAAGGTGTACAGGGCAGATACGCACCTCCCGTAAGTCCGTGAAGTACGACGATGATAGGCGTATCATCTGGGAGTTTCTGCACGCTCTCAGGCGGCGTAAAATCAAGACCACTGGTCCCTCATGAATCGCATGAGTATGAAAACCGTAGGCGTGCACTCACAGAGTCCCGCCATCTAGGGTACGTAGGAGTGTCCTGCGTGGCTCTGTGACCCGAACGTAGCACATATAACGACACTCACCTTTCATACTCTACTGTATCTACCTTAGAGAAGTCTCCGACTACGGAGTACGCAGTCTGCAGATGTCCGCTGCCAAGATCCTATGAGCATTCGTGTGCAGGTACGATTGCTAATGACATACCTGAAGAGCCACCAGATTGGTTTGAAGTGTCTGGAAATACTTGGGCACCTATGCTCTATCAACGAGCCCAACGTCTCGACCTTTGTCTCGGTATTTCCGCTCGACTGCAGCACTTCTATATCTTCCGTGGCTTTCGCACAGTACAACACTGGACGATAGTAGTCGGCATCTCGCCCTAGACTCAGCGCGACCCCCACCCCGAGTCCGACTACCACCAGAGCGAGGAGAATCGACGACAGCATCTGCAGAAGAGTCTCAACATAAGGTTTCAAACATGGTTCGACGTCGAGGCGAATGGATAAGCCTGGCGGAGGTATCACCAGCGCAAGCCGCCTTCATTGGTCAGGTCAAGGTCGTCGAGCGCGCCGTCTGGCGCTCTCACCTCTACCACGACCATCATATCCACGTTCCGGCTGGAATGTCAAGCTTTGCTGTCATCGCTACACTGGTTGAGGACTGGACTTCGGTCGTGACGTGAAGATGAAGTCGAATAACGTTAGGTCGACCTTGAATACAATATCTCTGCCCGCGGAAGTCCCGTACCGCACATCTGCATCAACCTGGACTGGAACTCGGATGAAGCCAGGATGAAGCTGCCGCCACCGCAGACGACAGGACCTAGAGCTGAAGATGGCGCAGCTTGGAGATGTGTATGGACGGATGGTCCGTCCGAGTCAGTACGTGAGTATCTCCGAGTTCTTAGTCCTCATTCACGTCAGTCTTTCCCCCTTCACGTTGTCGGCGAGGCGCAGGCGCCGTGCTCGTCTATAATTCGTGTACAATATACAGTCTTGTCTCTGGAATGAGCATGATGAAGTCTGTCTGCGTCCGACATACTGCAATTCCCATTCAGCGATGATTCAGCGATCCTATACGCGCTTCATGACAACCTGACGGTCTTATTACAGCACCATGATGGCGGGGATCTCCGCTCGCACTGGAAGTCGAACAATCCACGCCTTCGAAGGTCCAACATCCAACTCGCGGTACGTGTAGTATGCGACTTCCCGCTTTTCGCTCTCCGAGTCTCATTAAGTTCCTTGCCATTGACTAGGGCCTATGCTTTCGCCCGTTCGAAAGAGCCACGGAGGCGACAAAACCAGTACCTTTGAGGTCAGTGGCGTTGTGCTAAACGGTCGATCGCTGCCGCACTGATATTGTGCTCATCGTATCTAGGCTTTCTAGGATGCATCGTGCCTTGACCGTCGCGGAGATCGTCCATCAAGTAGTCGAGGAACTCTTTCTCCCCTGGATCTGCTATCATAAAGGCCAGACGCTGCTGCCACATGCCGTGTGTTCAGCGAACCCGCCTTGGACATCATTTGGTCTGATCAAAATGGTTTGGGCCACCTCGTCGAGTGTTTGCCGTCGGATTTGTGGACTATATCGGATGATACTACCCCGGGGACTTTGGTGAGCGGCATACCCGTCTCGCCATCGCTGCTCGTTGACTCAAATGACGTGTGACCAGACATTGAGAAGACCTCCGAGGACCATTACGCAACAGGACTGGGTGCGTTTCGACACATACGCTAGACGCGTTCGGAAACTGTCCTTTGGTCCACCTAAATCCTCCTTGCGGTCCCGCACCATGTCGGCGGATGTATTCCACTGGCTGTCCTCGTCAAGGCCCTCCCATCAACTACTCCCAAATCTGCGCCGCCTCTATTGGTCGGACGACATGCGACCCGGGTGCTATGATTATTTTCACATGTTCCTTGGCCCACGACTCTGCACGCTGCGCCTTTCAGAGCCTCCACCTCAATTCACCACCTCTCATCGTGCGATCCTTTCCGCTCTGGATCGCCTTCCTCAAATTGCACCAGGCATCGAAGTGCTGAGCGTCTGGGAAAACCAGTGTGAGGGCCTAGACCCCCGACCTATTCCCGGGCATGTTTGTACGTTATGGAGGAGACTATGGTCTTTGCGTCTGGGATTGTCCCTGACGATGACTTACGACGCGTTTGCTGGGCTGTCCGCCTTACCCATGCTCGCGGAGGCGGCCCTGTCGCTAGCTGGGCCATTCGACGCAAATTGTTCAACGCGGAACTACACCTTTCCTGCTATGCAAACGCTGGACTTAACTTCCGAGACAATGGCCGACATCCGAGCAGTCCTATCGTCGTGTCATTTCCCCGGGCTCCGGAGAATGTCCCTGACTTCGCAGTCCGGTCCCAAGGCAGACCTCCTCAATCGTGTCCTCGAAGCTATCCACGAACGTATACCGCATGCGTCGCTTGTTTATCTCAAGCTTCATGCTGGCAATACCATGGACGTTGGGGAGATAGTCAACGCGGCGTCCTTACGGTCCCTATATGACTTTCACCATCTGGTTTACTTCGATTTCGTCATGGGGATCCGCATTGCCCTCACTGACGACGACATCAAGGAAATGGCCATGTCGTGGCCTCGTATCAAGCATCTGGCGTTGTGCAGCAACGCCAGCAAGGATGCTGTCCAGCAAACATGGACGATTGACCCGCGGCCATGGACGACTAAGCCGACGCTAGAAGGTCTCGTGGACCTCGCCAGGTATTGCCCCTCGCTAGAGTTACTCGCACTCGATGCCGACACGTCTGGCGCCGAGGCCTACCTTGAGGTCCACCCTGGTGGCGGTCATTGCTGCCCAACGCTGCGTGTCATCCGGCTCGTTTCGCCTCCACTGAGCACCATCAAGCAAATCGCAGCGTTCTTATGCGCGGTCTTCCCGAGCGTGTGGTTTCTTAACGACACAGATTGCACTGAGGTAGGCGATACTTGGCAGCGAGTGCTGCGCGCAGTCGATGTGTTACGGGGTACGGTATACGAGGACGAAGACGAGGAAGACGAGGAAGACGAGGAAGACGAGGAATAGGCCTCCCGCCAAAATAGGCTTGATGTTTGCGCGCGGTACCGGAAACAATGGGTACCCGAGGTCTCCAATGCTGGGGCACAGCGTCGAATTTCGCATCCTTATTGCGATGTCTACATAGGTCTACATACTCTTGTCTACTCCACTCGAAATGCCCCAATGGTGGCGGCGCTACCCTTGCCTGCGCAAGTTTTTGAGTGCAACACCGTTATATGCACCTATGAACACGATAAACTCTGCTCAGGATCCGTGCGACCTCGAGGCCTCAATATTGAAGGCGCGAACCCTTTCCCCATGGCCCCAATGGTATGGCTAAATGATCGGAGACAACAGAACAGTACGATAAAACACAGCATGCCTTGTATGGAAGGGCATGCATGCTCTACACTCGCTCCGTCGAGCTCCTTGACCTGACTCCAGGGTCTACTCTACGATTGCAGACATAGGATTCATGGTCAAGTATGCATGCCATGTTAGCCTGGAATTCGGGTTTCTTTGACCGGTACCGCTCACAGAGGCTCGACCACGTTCAAGGACGGCAAGGAAGTTCCAGCGCGGGGATGGTCCTTTGTGCGCAACGCCATCGCTGGCAATATCTTCTTGATTTTAGGTACGTTTGGCCTTGTCCCATGTCATCGGGACTCGGAAGTGGGGCAAGCGTACGACCACCGAAGTGAGGAGAAATCAATTCAGTGCTAATCCCCACGTCCCAGTCGGTACTGCAGTACGATACAAGACGGTAATCTAATCTCCTTATTCCCTATATATCAAGGTCCACCCAAACAGTGTCTTACGAAGGTCAGTACTACAGGCGGCGTTTCAAGACCACGGGCAACGCCTCCTGTGCCATCGCGAACCGATCCTCTAGACTGTCCGACCAATGCTCGCTACTGTATCCCTCGGGGAAGTGTATGTCAAAGACTTGGAGAAGGGACACGAGCACGATTCGCATCTGCATGAGTGCCAGCGATCTGGCGATGCAGTTCGCTGGCCCCGCGGAGAACGCCATGAACGCACTCGGTGTGAGGACACCGCTCGTCGCACCGTCTTCGCTTTTCAGCCAGCGCTCCGGTCGGAATGCGTCTGGGTCGGGATAGAAGTACTGTGGGTCACGATGGTATGCGTAGGGCGGGACATAGACCGCAATCCCCTCCGCGATAAACATGCTGTGCGCACAGTTAGTTCATTGGAGCAGCTACTGGACGCAGATGATGAAACGTACTCTGGGCTAATGTAGTGGCCTCCACTGCCGGGGGCGGGTGCACGCTGTAGCGATGTCGGTATTGGAGGAAATAGACGCAAGGCTTCATTGCTATCATGTCGGTATGAATGAATCAGACTAGCACTCGTAGGCCGGAGGGACTCACATGACTGCATTGAGGTACTCAAGCTACGCAAGCTCGGCAAAATCGGCCGGTAATCCGTTATTTGCAGGAAAAATAGCGTCCACTTCGGATTGCAACCGCTCATAGCACGATGGGTGCGCGATAATCGCACACAGCACACCGCTCAGAGCGAATGCGGTTGTCTCTGAGCCTGCTATGATCGCTGCGACGGCGGCAGTAACAAGAACTGGCAAGGGAGCTGGTCCATTGTCAATGTTTTCCTCATCGTTCTGCCACGGGTCAGCGCGCATATGAGATCGCGATACCACCTGTACAGCATAGGCGGACGTGCTCACGAGATGGTACAACAGATCATCATGTAGAGGGCCGTTCTTCAACCTCCTCAAGACCTGTTGACGAGCAAACTCCCCGATGCCCTGGGTTTGCGATCGCAAGAAAGGAAGTTTCATGAGAGTCTTGAACGACCAGGGGATATGACCGGTAAGACTTGACAGACTACTCGCATGAGAGACCCACCCTCAGGCTTCTGAATAGATATGAGTCGACGTACCGTAGGCTATCCATTATGGTGCGGACCATGCCATCTTTATCACCGTTGCACAGAAAGTCGAAGGGTCCTCCGAAACTATTGTACCAATAATGATCAGTACACAGACTGCGACACCTCACATTCTTTGTAGCTCACACCAGGTCTCCCATGAGGTCAAACCTGTTCAATATCTAGTATCGTGCTCGCGCGAAGTCCGAAAGGGTACTTACGTGAAGAAGTTCAGCCATATTGACATGTCCACGGGAGTATCTGTACTGCCTTGAATGGGAGAACATTGCGTTTCGAGTGCTTCGACGAGTTGTCCCACACGTCGGATGATGGTGGGCTCATACTTCCTGACAGATGCACTCGTGAAGCCGTGACTCCACAATTGTCTTGCCTCCGCATGGATATGTTTGTCACGAGTCCCCACGAGGTCGCCTCTGGCAATTCCGGCAGCAATCTGCCCATACTTTCCGGAGATGCGTCGACCATCCCACACTACAGCCGTCGTCAACTTGCATACAGGGCTGTGAGACATGGGAACGTACTTGGGCCCTTCGGCATACCGTCTACGCCGAGGATCGAAGGGAGCATCTCCACATCCACGATGGATAGGACGTTCGGCCCTGTCAGAAAATTCATGTCATCCATACCGGTGGTATGTCAGAGCGGGACAAATGTCGCTTACCCAGGCGAACAACGCGACCGTACTTCGCATGCATTCTCCTAAAGTAGCAATGTTGCTTGCCTCGGGCAGCAACGTACACCAAGTGGAAGCTTGAAAGCTTTCCAATCAATGGTCCCGGATACTTGTAGAGTGGATGCAGCGGCGAGACCCGGTAGATAGCAATAGACAACAGCAGAGCAATGTAGAAAGACGTATAGCCCGCTAGGACGATGAGTGGTGTGGAAGATGAGAGTCTGAGGGGCGTCAGGAGGACCGGTATGGCCGGAAACAAGCCAAGTAGAACGCTGAGTGAGAGGGCGTCCGTCGGCTCGTACTTCTTGAACCAGAGGTGCGCAACCTGCGATAGATGTTCAGTGGCCACGGCAACAGTGAGCCGATTGTAGCCGACCTACCAAAGCAAAGCCCACGACGGGAAGCAGAGGACCAGGCATGCTCGTCAGCCTGAGGACGGCAAAGTATTCGAGACCCATGCCCAACGCGACACAGAGGATGGTAGCTCGGGTACTATTGTTTTATGCCGGCGGTCATAAATCCATTGGTGACATATACATATGTATTTCAACAAGGTCAACCAGTGTGATATTGGCGTCGAAATATTGACAGCAACAAGGACACCACCACAGGATCTGGGGTCTGTGAAATGAATGCGAAGGAAGCACTTGACACTCAGCTGATATCGTTCCCTTCCTGCGGTGGTTTTCGGAGTTACGTTGACCGCAGGGTCAGCATCAGAACTCTGCGCGTCACGCCTTCTTCTGCCAAATTCTGGTACCTCAATGCCCCGATAATATCGAGGCCTTCCAGCTGAAAGTGGCCCGCATGGCGAAGTTCTGGGAGAAGCTATGACTCTGAGGGCCGTACAAACGCAAACCTTATATCGAGAGCGCGCACGTACCATAGACTCGGTAAGATGCGAAGGAACGCGTTTAATGCCATGGTAATCTTGCCTGTCCACTAAGTGCCATTCGTCGTCGAACACCATGTCCGTCAGTCCGCCCCTCTGCTACCCAAGATACGGCGGCCAACCTACCAGCGACGGGATCCCTGTGCCTCCGCTTCTGCCCCTCATGCCACCTCAGGCATACTCCACTGCACTCGACCACAACCTCCCCGGACCAGCGAACGTGGCGAATTACAGGAGGACGTCTCACTTGATCCCCGCAGCGAGCCCGCGGTCGCTCCCTTATACCTCTCCCCTGCGAGAGGATGCGACAAGAAGCGAGCGCGTCGACGCAAAGGCCCTGGCGCACGCCCTCATCGACGCGAAGGTGCAATTCGAGACTGGGCCGGCACAGAGACAGTACAAGGGAGGGTCGCAGGCGGCGCTGTGGAACTGCGTCGACCGGTATGTCCGCCAAGATCCTCCGATCGACCTGCGCAACCGCGGGATGACGCTGTTCCTCACCCACGCGACGGGCTTTCCTCGTCAGGTTAGTCTCACCACTGACGCCTGAGAGCAACATTGATCTCGTACACATCTCAGATCTGGGAGCCCACCTTGGTCCGCCTGTTCTCCCACGCACAACAGGATGCGTCGCTGCTTATTGACGAGGTGTGGTCGTTTGAGTCGGTGCAGCATGGTGATTCGGGCGTTCTGAACGACAGAGAGCTGCGGGACGTCTGTACGTATTCGCTCTCTGTGCAGTTATGACACGACACTGAGGATAGGTCGAGTCGACTGGCAGGATCAGTGTCGCGACATATGCAATTTCCTCCTTCACTACCTACCGGTCCACTGTTCTTCTGCACCTCTCCCTCCCCGCTTGGCATACATCGGGACACGACCTGAGCGGCGCCAGGTCATCGGGATTGGACACTCGTATGGAGGAACTACGATGTAGGTGACTCGATCGTCTCATAGTAACCCACTGTGATGCTAACAAGGAGACACTCATCGCCTTCTCAGCACTCGGGTGGCAATAGAACAACCAGGGCTCTTCCAACGACTTATTCTCGTCGAACCCATGATCACTCCCCCGACGTTCACTCGGGGAAAGGGACTCGATCTCCTCCTCCGGGGTGCGCTGAGCAAGCGGAGTCGGTGGCCATCGAGGTGCGTCGCTCGTGGAGTAGTGCGGGAGAATCGCCTTACAGACATCCGGCCATGCAGGGCGCACGCGAAGAGCGACATCCTGCAGTCGCGATCCTCGAATACCTGGCACCTCGATGTCGTGGATGTGTTTGTCGAGCACGGGCTCATCGAGCAGTGCGGCGACGCCCCGGGTGCTGTCCGCCTGAAGACCCGGCCGTTCGACGAGGCGGTCGTCTACTGCGAGTGGAACGTGTGCTACGAGACGTGGACGGGTCTGAAAGACATCCCTTCCGGGCTCGGCCTCCACTGGATCATGAGCGCCAAGTCGAATGTGACGTGAGCTATCGCCTAGCCTATGCCTAGACACTCTCGTTGACGTGCGCGTTAGGACCGGCGGGACGGCAATGACACAGGAAACGGTCTGGAGGAGGGCCGAGAACGCCAGCAACGTCCGCGTCGGGGGCGCTGGCCACCTTGTGAGTGTCACTCCTGAACCTCTGACTCTGAGCCCGGTGTGCGTGGCGCTCAGACTATGGCACGTAGATCGTCCAAGAGGCGCCTGATGAGCTGGGTAAGTCGCCGTCGTGCGCATCATCAATACGACTGGCCGTATGTTGACTCATTTTGGGTGCTTAGCTTCCGAGCTTGTCAAAGCCCTATCTGGACAACCCTTACCGCCACTACCCAGGTCCCAACTATAAACCGAGAAGGTGAGGAAATGAAAGTTGGGATGTCGAGTTCAAACATTCGACAGCTGTAGTCTTAGCATTCTTGTCGCCAGACCACTTCATGCGCGCGTCTTACGTTCGTGTTGTACAGTAGCGATCGAAATGAGTACCGGATGCCAGATCCAGAGCCATTGATATCGTTCCGCGCATCGCTCACCTGCCGAATTCTGCCCACTCTTCGCCGCCATTTTCTCCCAGCCTCCAGGCAACCCACGTAGCTGATGAGTGCGTTGGTGGGTTGATCACGATTTCTCACCCTCCACCTCTCGCAATGAATGGCATGAGTCCATTGATGGCACGCACAAGGCCAGTTAACCACAACGCTCTCTAAGCAGCCGCAGCCGCGTACACCAAGTCTGTAGCAGAGGAGCCGACGGATATACCTGAACATAGCAGCCGCGGGGCATAACACGGGCCCCTATGTCTCCACTGGCACCAGAACATCGTCGAGATGATATCTATCGACAGTCCAGCTCGCACAACATACACCGTGCCATGCGTTTGTAGCTCTGCTGCTAAGCACCGGGCTGCAGGCCGCACTACACCCAGGGCGTGCCGCGCCGCCTCGCATTCAGGGTCCTCCCGACGCCGATCACGAACGCGCCAACGAGAATCGTGGTCTGCAATGTCGCCGTGTCAGCTCCCGGGCTTCGAGCGCGACCGCCGTCTGCAGTTGGTGACTTACGGCGCTAAAGATGATCGGGCGGTACCAGTGGTACGGCCCAGCGGTCAGGAGGGCACCGTCGATGGGCGTGCCGGTGAGGTTGCAGACGGACCCGAGGAAGAACGCGATGCCAAGCCGGGCGCTGTGGAGGATGAGCATCGGAAGTCAGGTCGCGACAGAGGACTCCGTGGGCAGCGTACCCGATCTGACTCGGGTGGGGCGACAAGGAGGCTAGCGCCGGCGACACCAAGGAGAGCACTGGGGACGCCGGCCGCAGAGGAAGCGGCGGTAAGCAGTGAGAGGCGACGCAAGCGCACCTGAGGCGTACCTGCACCCGAGAAGAAGCCATAGAGCACGGCGAACACGGCGACGCTGGCGACGCTGGAGATCCCAAAGAGCGCCAGGATGAGGATGCCCGCGCCGAAGGACACCGCGGTGAGCATGTTGAGGGGGCCGAGGTGGTCCGCGAGCATGTTGGGCATCGTGCGCCCGAACACGGAGCCTGCGTTCAGGATGGCGAGCTGTGTGGACAGTGAGTGGGTTGGCGAGTGCGTGGTTCACCAGTGAACCATACGCACGGTGTAGAACCCAAACGTCGCGTTCAATCCATGCGAGACCGCGAATAGTTGCAAGTAGAAATCTGACAAAGAATCAGCGTATGTCATCAAGTGCACCTCTTCAATGCGGACATACACGGGAAGAAGAGACCCCAAAATACCATGAAAAATCTGCAAAACTCTAGCCGAACGTAACACTGGAAAGGAGAAGACGGCGCACCCAGCGACAGAGACCATGTACGCTACATCCGTCAGTACGGCCCTCATCGAGAAGGGGCGAGGCGGTGGTGTATTTCCCTTGGCGGTGCCTGTGGAGAGACCGAGCAGCATGAGGCAGTTGGCGACGACCAGCAGGCCCAATGTGAGGTAAGCGGTCGCGCGGACGCTTGGTCCAAACCCGATTTGTCTATCGAACAACAATTGGTTCAAAAGGATCGGGTAGATGATCCCGCCGAAAGAAGAACCTGGAAGCAGGCATTGTCGGTACAGCGCGCAGTTCAGAGTTGCGGCGCGACATGCTCACCGGTGATGACTACTCCCATGGCAAGTGCACGGCGCTCTTTCCAGTAGTGAGCTTGAATTGCGACGGCAGGGACGTATAACAGTCCTGAGCCAAGGCCCATGCCAATGCCCAAGGACAAATACACTTGGTAGTAGCTGGTGACATGGGCGAGGGAGACCATGAAGAGCCTACATACAATTTGAGGATTAATTGAGCGATGTCACAGGGCCACACATGGTGACTCGATACTCACGAGAACACATAGAGGACGGAGCCAAAGACCATGGTGTGTCTGAAGTAGCCCTTGTCGAGCAGCCTGCCCGCGGGCAAGGCCAAGTTGCATTGAAGAAGAAGAGTTGCGTAGACCCGATCCAGCTGATGTTGGATGGAGTCGATGTCTTGGCCGTCGTAAGCAGGTCCTGGTAGACACCGAATGCATTTGTGTAGCCAAACATTGTGAAGAGCAGAAGCCAGCTGGAAAGATGTGGGCAGCAGGCGATGAGATTAGCCGTAGGTCTGTGGCGGGGGACATACCTTCCGGCGAGGACTAACCAGGCTTCCCTGCCTGGACGCGTCGGCGTTGCAGCCGCGTCGATTTGCATGGCCGCTGGCTTGCTCCCGGTGACTCGGAGCCCGTCCTCAATGCGTGGCATTGCGGCGTTGTCCGCTTTCGCAGCGATGATAGCGTCGGTGGACATTTCTGTTCAGGCGAGAGTGGAAGTGTCCGTGGAGGATGCGATGTATCCTGGTAGTATGCGCTACTACGCACAACGGCTTCGCAGAAACAGGCCGGCATATCGCCGCAGCAGCTACGCAACAAGGGTTCGCATCTGCGGCGTTGACGTGACAGGAACAGCGCGTGTCACAGAGTTTGAAGCCAATCGCAAGAATTCGTAGGGTGCGAGCTGGAATGGAAGTCCCTCGACCGTCGACGGAGATGGCATGCCCGCAGTGCACGGACAACAACCACCCTGCCTTTTTGGGCCCCGTCTTCTCGGATCGCGATCCGGCCCACACCATCGGGCCGGCGACACCTGTAAGGTACTCATGTGATGTGACTTACTCGCAGGGTGGCGCATCGCAAATGGATCCCTCCTCCTCTCGGAAAAGAAGGTGCAATCTCGTCGAGCCAACGCTCAACGCCTTGTCACACCAAACCGGCTCATCACTGGCAGGCTCACTAATCGAACACGAGGCTGCCCTCCATCTGCCATGTAGAGCTCGTGTCATTCCATAACTGTCATTATAATCGCAATATCGCTTCCTCGATGATTCGTGCACAAGCGCACACCAGGCAGCGTCTTTACCCTATGATGAATGGGTAGCGGACGTGGTGGAATAACCCATTCCATCTAGCCAGCCAATGCCGGCCGATGTCACCTGTGGACGGTGGTTCGCCTCCACGGCCATTGGCGGTGCATTCCGTCTCACACCGCTGGACGGTAGCGGGACGCCGGTTGGCGGCGGTGGCCGCCTATAATGATGTAGGCCGTGTATGATGGTGGTGGCTATCTACCATTACGGCATTGGGGCCAGCAGATGGTAGGCCCAGCTATTGGGATTGGCGAGCTGATGATCATCTCGGGTTCATGAGGGGTGCACTGACCTCTGCTATGTTGCCGAAGGGTATCGAATGTTCAAGATTTAGAATGGCTTTCAAAGGCGAGGATCGCCTCGGGTATATATAAGAGCGCTGTAACATTCGCGGATGACAAGGTTTGTGTACCCTCATTGCATGCACTCCGTCTCTTGTCTAGGCGTGTAACGGCCTCAGCAGGCCAATCGTCTTCCAATTTTGAAGAGATTGGCCTGTTCAGGCTGTTATATGCGAGCACCGTCTACACTCCCCTCTCGTCTCGTCTCGTCTCTTTCTCCGTCTCTGAATGAGTGGAGGGCAATACCGTCCCTGCATCCATTCAATTTTCCTGGACGTCATCCAGGAGAGAAGAGACCGGGTAAATTTAGTCACGGATGACTTGTCGAAGAATTTCTACACTTGCATGAGGCAGCCTCGCACAAGCCGTTGTGCCAATTCCAGCCGTCCGCGACAGGGACGGATGTAATCCACTCACCATCGGAGCGACTTGTTTGCAACAGACGGTGGACGGCGACTGCAGGTGGATGTGGGTTTTCGACATAGCAAACTGGGCAGGGCCCTTGTACAATAATTGCAGGCGATGGAAGTACATGTACAGTGCTACGTCAGGAACCTTCGTCACGCTGGCCCACCTCTTCCGTTCCAATAGTCGGATGCCGCTTCGGTATTGTCAAAGTTTTCAGACGGCTCCCATGTCGTGTCGTCCCAACCCGTCCATCGAATCTCATAAAGAAGCGAAGTACCTACGTATCCATGACTGACGATTGCCTCGAACTCATACTGCTCGACGCCGTTGACGGTTGCAATCGGCCCTTGGTTTTGCTGGGGTGGACCGTCCTCAAAGGCGGTGCTCTCCATAATCCATACACCTGACTGCAGGTCAGCAGAGGTGTGAAGAAGCGTCAGAAGCATACCTTGGCCTGTCGCACTGAATGTAAGGCCTTGAATCCAGGCGCCGTCGCTCAGCTGAGCCTGAAAAGCCAAATGATGAGCGGTCTTAGACGGTATCAGAGAAGCGGCTTACCATGAAACGACGCGGCTTGCGAGGGCGAAGCGAGAGGAGGCGTTCCAGGTTGCATCCGCGTTTGAGCCGGCGGGCAAGGGCGGGATCGATTGCCATGGGTCCACGTTGCGGCAAAGCCATTGGAGTCGGTGCGCGCAGTGGTGCTCGACGCCGCCTCCGACGCATTGGCTGTGCAGGCACTGCGTCGGGCTGTGCAGCCACTGCGTTCCGTCGAGGCAGAGGCGCGATGGCAATGTGTGGTCGGTCCGGAGGGGGCCAAAGATCGTCGGGGACGAGAGGCGGATTTGAACCGCTTGAGCTAGGGCCCGGGATAGGCGGATTCTCTATGTTTCGTCGTCGGAGGGGGTGGACGGTGATGGTCGGGCGGTTGGGAGGAGGTGACGCCCTCTCTGTGGAAACAGATGGAGTCGCACTGTGCTGGTCTGGGGACGCTGGTTGGTTCCCCGCGTTGCGTCGACGCAGCGGGGTGATCGCGATTGTCGGTCGGTCCGGAGGTGGCCATAGCGCCTCTGAGGGAAAAGGCGGAGGCGGTGGAAGAACGGGATTGCGTCGACGGAGAGGCGAAACGACAATGGACGGTCGATCGGCGGCCGGCCATGCGGGGGCGTCTATTGGATGGGCCGGTTGCCGATGCACTCGCCGAAGAGGCGAGATATTGATAGACGGACGAATCGCAGCGAGAGGTGGCAGCGACTCGGACGCAGCCGGGCGAGACGGTGCAGCTGCGGGACCAGCACGCCGCCTCGCTGGGGCCTCTTTAGCGATTCCGCTGCGAAGTCAGTCGAGCAGCTCACCAGACTTGGCCCGTTGCCGTTCAGTGATTGGTCGGCTGGGTGGCATAGACTGCAGCATTGAGGTCAGTGTATCGAAGTCAGTGGAACCGGACTGATGCGATAGAAGCGAAAGACTGACCGGCTTGAGCACGGCAATAGAAGCGAAAGACTGACTGAGGCGACCGGCGGGGAGATGGTTGCAATTCAAGGTCAAGTTGAAGTTGCAAGCGGATTGTCCAGGTCCTGCAAAGGTGGCGTGGGAGCTAGTCACGTGAGTAGATCTGCATAAAATGCCAAGTCCGCCTGCTCTTCTCTTCTCTTTCGTCTATGCCCTCCACCCAATTCAAAAATCCCACAATCACCTTCAACATTTCTAGCCTCTCACTTGCTCGATCACTTGCTCGACATGCCTGCTCACGCCGCCGCCCCCACTGCTCCGTCCGACGTGCCTGGCAAGGGCATCAGCAAGGAGGAGGTTTTGGACGTCGCTGGACGGATCGCCGCCGCTCTGGATGCCCCAGGGCCGGAACGGCCCGCTGCGCAGATGGCGCTCATGACTTTCATTGCACGTAATCGATCTGTCATCCAGATCTATTGACTAATGATCGACTCCAGGAGAGCTATTGGACTAAGGTGGCTGCGTCGGCCGACGACGGCACCCTCTCGGTTCCGCCTCTTATGGCGTCCGCCTATGAGCAGCTCGGCAACCAGCAAGTCGGCTTTCGCATGTCCAACATTCGCGCCGATGACCCGCTCATTGGCGAGGTTATCGACCGGGATTTCATCGTCGACGTCGACTACGGGCAACAGGCAGCCAGAGCGGTGGGATGGTGGAGACGAGGTGCGTTGGAGACGAAGGGCGCGGTCATCTGCTGACTCCATTCAGGTGCAGAGGCATCCAAAGGCGGCCCTTCGTCGGCCGCTCCAACCGCCTCTTCGTCAGCGGCGGCAGGGAGAAGCGACGCGGCCGAGGGTAAGTGCATCCGCGTTGCACCCAGACGAAGCTGACATTTCACAGAGACGATGCCGCCCTCTGCAGTAGAGAAGGGCAAGAAGCGCGTATTCGCTGCGGACGGCGTGACCGCCACCGCCTTGAAGCGAATCCGGACGGAGAAGAAAAAGCCGCCGCCGAAGTCCAAGGCGTACGTAGAAACGTCTGAAGACGACCAGCCGCTGCAAAAGGCGGTCGGCGCGGGGCCCTCCAAGGCATCCATGCAAGCAGCGGCGGCGGCGAGGGCGGCAGGCAGGGCGGCTCAGGACCGGGCAGCGGCGGCGAAGGCGGCGGCGGCGGCGGAGCGTGCGAAGGCGACTAAGCTGGCTGAAGACCAGGCGGCAGAGGCTGCAGAGGCTGCACTCGCCAAGTCGAAGATGGCCAGTGGTGGCAAGCCTGCAGAGCAAAAGACGGCGCGGCCCCAGGCAGCAGGTGAGAAAGGCGCGCAGCAAGAGACGGCAAGCCCGTCGAAGAAAAAAGCCGACCGCACCAAGGCAGGCGGAAAGACGGTCGATGGTCCCCCACCAGAGGCGGTAGAAGATGACGACGACCTCGTGGAGGTCCTCGCTACGGTGAGTGACGATCATATCTGTTGGCAGGCTGTCTGACTGCTTCAGCCTCTGCCATGCGCCTCGTGCCGCCATGCGAGGCAAAAGTGCGAGTACCCGGTCAACCCGAAGACCGGCACCACGGCGGGCCGCTGCGGCTTTTGCTCGAAGGACAAGGGCTTCTGCAGCCTCTGCCCGCGCAACTTCAAAGGACTTCCGGCCAAGAACGCAGGTGCCGGAAAGATGGCGAGCCTTTGGCGGGAATGGGTCCACAAGCGGATTCGTGCCGGCCTGCCCTACTCGGAGCTCGCCTTCTACGACGACCGCCTCAAAACCGCCGAAAACGTCCACGGCTTCCTGGTCGACCTCGACACTTGGGACGGCCAGAAGGCGCACGTAGACCCCAAGGTGCTGGCCTGGGTCGAGCAGAGACAGCAGGCGATCCGCAAGGGTAAGCGCGTCCCCGCGCTCAAACTGCCCAAGCAGAAGACGATCCTCGTCTCGGACGACGACGGCGAAAAGGCAGAGCAGGGCAAGGCCGCAGTCGCACCACCGGCAGCTCCCGCCCACGACAGTGACGTCGAGATCGTGGAGGCGACGCAGGTGGATCCGCCACAAGAGTCCGGTGCGGGCGAAGAAGAGGAGGAGGCCGAGGACGAAGAAGCGGACGAGGAAGACGACGACGACGACGAGGAAGACGCGGATGGCATGCAAGTCGACGTCGACAGCATGCAGGTAGACGGTCCCCAGGTCAGCCACTCTTTCCCCATCTACCCACCACACTGACTGGAAAGGCACCCCCGTCTTTTCTGGAATTCCAGGCACTCGACGCGCAGGACGGACCCATCGGAGAGACGGCCCCCTCGTCTCTTGAAGTCCCAGCTCCCTCCGTGAGTCACGACGAGTGCAACAAGATGCTCGAATCTCTCGCCCGCCAGCTCCAGGACGAGAGGCAGGAGCGGATGGCCCTGGCAGCCCGGCTGGAGAAGTTGGAGCGGGCTGCGGAAGAGAGGTGGCCTTTCGCCCAGCTGCAGACCCTCCAGCACGTCACGGAGCGCCTCGAAGACCTCGAGCAGAACGTGTGCGAAAAGGCGGAGGAGATCGAGAGCCTCAACCTCAATCAAAGGGAGATAAGAGGCCACATCGGCTCGGTCAGCAAAATGAGCACCAACCTCGACATTGCCAAGAACGGTGTCCAGGCCGCCATGGATGCCACCCTTCGCCGCGTCACAGACGTCGAGGAAAGGCTCCTGGGCAAGATTGACGAGCTCCACCTCAGGCTCGAGGCTCAGGTCCACCACCTCAAGGTCGAGGCTGAGGACGAACCGGTCGATCTTCAAATCGTCCCGCCGCCGTCCCCACCACGTCCGGTGCCTGAGGCTGGAGACGACCTGGTGGCTGCCATGCCGGCCCTCTCACTCCGGCGCCTTCCCCGCCGCGCGGAGGTTGTCGCTCGCCATAAGCCCCTCTCGCCAGTTCAGGAAGAGCCGGATCGGAGGGTTGGCCCCACCAGGGAGTTCCGGCTCAATCCCGTCAATCCCGCCCCACCCGTCCCGCCGCGGTTCTTCCGTTCTCCCGCCCCGCCTGCCCCCCCTGCCCCGCCCATTCCGTTTGGTACGTCCTTCCGTGCGCTGGGTCGCTACGACACTCCGGCGGCCAGCGAGACGCGATCCCCAGGGCAGATCTCGTCTGGCTCTGAGGCTGCAGACGAAGGATCGGACGTTGACATGGACGAAGGTCTTGACCCATCCGAGTGAGCCCGTGGCGCCGCCTGTATTGTAGTACCGTCGCAATCATATTGGAATGTCATGTACCGTCTTTTCTATTGCAAGCAAAGGTTCGACTCGGGTGCTTTTCAAGCAGACAGGAATTCCATTGCACAAGAAATGTCAAACTGGCTGCTTTGACAAATGTACGTGCTACTCGTGCAATTTCCCCAGGTTGATTTTCCTCTGACGCTCCCGCGCTTGCTGCCCCCCTCTGCTAAGGCGTTGAGACCGTCTAGACGGCTCCGCCAATGCTCCCATGCCTGGCTGCACTGGAATGGGTGCTGGAGGCTGAACTGGAGGCATGGGAGGCAGCGGCAGAGGTGCTGGCACCGCAAGAGGCGGTGGCGGCATTACCTCAGATGAAGTGGTCGGCGCTGAGGATTTGGCCTGCGGTTCCGTCTCATCAACGTGTCTTCGCTTCTTCATGGAGGGCGTCGCTTCTTCGCTACCGTCTCTATCTTCTGCACGTCTCTTGTGGTCGCGAGACGAACCACTCGTGCCCTGGTTCTCATTGAGGGCAGCATCTTCGCTTGGGACGGCGATCGTCTCCACGGGCAACTCCGTCTCTTCCGTCTCCACCTGAGTCCTTCCGGCTGCTTTCGTCTCTACGGTGAGCGACTCCATTTGTGGGCTTGGTGTGGTCGTCTCTTTGCGAACGTTGCCCGGTTGAGACGGCCCAGCCGCTTCGTCTGGCAGTCGATCGCGGTCTCCGTTTGTCTGTTGGATCCCCAGTCTGGTATGACCCTCGCTCGGCGCTGACACCAAAGAAAGCCCATGAGGCACCGTCTCTGACAGTTCGTGCCGAATGTTCGTCTGTTTGATCACCGATGCCCCGCTACCTTCCGCCTGCTCCGCTTCTGGCAGTTCGTGCTGAATGTTCGTCTGTTTGATCACCGATGCCCCGCTACCTTCCGCCTGCTCCGCTTCTGGCAGTTCGTGCTGAATGTTCGTCTGTTTGATCACCGATGCCCCGCTACCTTCCGCCTGCTCCGTTTCTGGCAGTTCGTGCTGAATGTTCGTCTGTTTGATCACCGATGCCCCGCTACCTTCCGCCTGCTCCGCTTCTGGCAGTCTGTGCTGAATGTTCGTCTGTTTGATCGTCGATGCCTGGTCTAGGTGCACCGAGGGCTGGAGGGATGAGCTGCCCTCGCCCTTTGAGGCACGGGCATCTGCAGCCCGGCGCAATCGCTTCAGCTTCAGAGTGGGTCTGCAAGGTATGTCTTCTCCGTCCCACATCTGGATGGGGTCGGGAGTCTGCTCCACCGATCTTGACTGAGAGACTGGCGAAGGCGGAGTCCAGTTAGGCGCAGCTGAGGCTGAAGGGCCGGAAGGTGGGTGGTCAAGGATTAATAAGCGGGAAATGGGATGGATTGCGTCGAGCAGCTGCTCCGCTGTACTGTGGAAGTCTAGCAGGGTGTTTTGCACGTAGACTGGGACATGGGCAGGCGGTGGCTCGTCTGGATCATTGGCAAATTGGCTGTTGTGAAGGTCACGCAAAGCGAGGCCTACCGCCAGGAGTGCTTGCTCGACATGCTTGAGACTGGCATGATTGTTCCGTTTCCATGGCTCGGTTTGAAGGAATTGGATAAGCCGCGACAGGCCATCCACAGTAGCATGAGGAAGTTCAGGAAGAGACGGTGATGTCCACCCCCAGTCGGCCCAGGGCGCAACAGTGATGGACGATGGCTTGAAAGCTGAGACTCCACCGCCCATGGAGGCACGGATGTATTCGGTAACGACGGCCTTGTAGCGCGAGTCGCTGGACAGAGACGCCAGGAACAGTGATCGTTTCCGTCCCCGGGAGACGTCTTTTGGACATTTGGCCGCAAAGTCGACCAGCATCTCCTGGCCGGCCTGAAAAGCCTGCTCCGGCATCTCAAGTACGCTCTCGTCACTCCCGCTGTGCTGACCGCTCTCGTCGCTTTCTTCGACCTCGCTTGATGGAACAGACTCATCCTCTGAGACCGACGGAGATTCTTCGGAAGACTCGTCTTCAATGGTGACCCGTCTCTTGCCCTTCGCCTTTGTAGACGCAGCCTTGCGGGCCTTCGCTTTAGGGGGCGGTTTGGATGTAGCTGCCGCACTCTTTTTCGGTTTCCGTTTGCGAGCCGCTTTTGATGACGCTGTTTGACAGTCAAAATGGGCAGTCGAGACGCATGCCCTGCATACCTTTGCGATCTTGCTCTTTGCTTGCGGCCTCCGTAGAAGCGGGACTTGCAGGCCCCTCTGCGTTGAACTGCAGTCTCTGGGCGTCGCGCCGTCTCTCCGCCTCCCGAGTTGGTTTCCCGTTGGTCCACTGTTGGAAATATTCGTCATACATGGCACTGGTCAGGTCGCCAGTGCGGTCGATGAAGCTGTGAAACTGGAACGCCTTCACTCCGTCGGGCCCATCCTGTCCAGTCCTCCAATGCCGGCAGAGGGCAATCATCTGCTCCCGTCTCATATGCGATGGATCGGCAAATCCGACGTCGGGCAACCACATCTCCTCACTGAGGCACGTAGCTCGAGTCTGTAGAGCTTTCCAGGGTATACGCGAAACCGTTCCATTGCTGGCAGCCACTGTGGAAACAATAAGCACCACAGATCAAGAGAAACCAGAGTCGCTTACAGTACTGCCTGGTAAGGAACTCCCTCACAATGGCGGCCCATTTCTGAACAACCCCGCTGGCGGCCAGTGAGTCGAGCTCGTCACCACTGAGCATCAGTGGCAGACCGGTCTCTTCGTCTATGGAAAGAAGCGGTCCGAAGTCCGTCTTCTTTTGGGCTTTGCTGGGTTTGCCAGCTTTCCCAGTCCCGTCCACCACCATTGCTTTTTTCTGCAGCTGGGTCGTCGACCACTCTCCGAACTCGTCCCATAGAGATGACCAGAGTTTGTTTTTCATGACACCGTCGGAGAAATTGGACGACACTCCATGCTCCCCTTGATGGTCGATTCTAGACGACAGATCAGATACCGTCTGTTCGGCATGACGCATCACCTACAATCCGACTACAGGGCCCTCGTCTGTTGTCTGTGCTGCATACATCACCACGCAATATGCACCGTTCTCAATTAGCGCCTTCCGCTCAAAGCTCCGGCACAAAACCCCCAGGGAATTGCTCAATGACCTGGCTCCGTTCAGTCTGAATGAACGTGGAGAAGCGACGAAGAAACGTACTGGGCAGGAAGAACACGGGGCGCTATCTTACATCCGTCAGCATTCACCAAGGCCCGCAGCTCCCTCCCCTTCGCTTTATACTCCTTTCGTACTTCTTCATCCTCGTCTCCCCACAGGTCCCACCACGTGCGGTTAAACCTGTTCAACGGGTCGCTAGTACCGTCTGCATAGGCCTCCCTTCGGACCTCCTCCATGTGCTCATCAAGCCACAAGTCGCACCCCCGTATCGTCCCTTTCATGACGCCTGTTTGCTTCGTCTTTTCCTTGCGTATAGAGCAACGATCCACTAGCCACTTCCGAACAGCCTGGAGGAAACATGAGCCCACCCCACGATGATTCGGCCAATGCGACCGACCGTCGTCCTAGCTTCTGGGGTGAGACCTTCCAGTTGTCCCAGCGCCACCTGCTCCAAGAGGCCCAAGGTGGCTGCAACGACTTCGTCTCGCTTCGCCCCTGCAGTCTCGCGGAATCGCTTGACGGATCCTTCCAAAATTTTGGTCTGTGCATCATCCCAGGGAGCCATTTGTGCAGAGGAGGGGGTCGAGTTGCTGGTTGCGTGCAAAGGGGGCCAGCGCACACAGCGCCAAAAGAGGGCGCTGCCGTTGCCATCACCAGGAAATGCGCATGTAATGTCTTTCCACTTAGCCGACCCGCTCCCGTTTGAGTCAGGCTCCGTGAGATGTCTGAGCTAACCCATTTTGGCCATCCGACATCAGGAAACTCAGCCGATCGGTCTTCCATTGGTCTTCGATCGCGCATGGGAACATCGGCATTCTATGACTCCCTTCACTAAGCGCGTCATTATGACTGGATCTCAGATCACACACACGATCGGAAAGGCAATCTGGCCGATCTAAAGTAGCCTCCGTGCTGAGAGAAGCTTTTGCTCTTTGCTCTCAACCACCACCGTCGTCAGAATTAGCAGTCCCATACAAGCCCATCTCAATGGAACACCTCCCAAGTATGACTGTGCACTTCATTACTTACTAGACGATCCCAACTGACAAACTGGCAGCTTCCAGATACATTGAGGTCGTCAACGCGGTGCTTCGCCGAGAGACCATGATTGCCTACCGGAGGCTGCAAGAACGAGAAGGCCAGCAGGTTTTCCCTATGCCTCCACCTAGCAAGTCTTACCTGCCGGCGCTGTTGTCTCCGTCTATTGTGGCGGATTGTGCTTATGCCGCCAATGTGATCGCTGAGGCTATTGTTTCACCCAGTTAGTACTTCATTCGTCACGCTTGTACGTCTGTCACAGCATTCTACAGTCTGGTCGGACATGGATGCTGCAAGGTATAGCGACCGTCTCAATAGGCTCCGAGACCGTATCATTCTTGACGATGTGCAATTGCACGAATTCGGACCGACGGCTGGATCTGGCAATGAGCCGCACGAGCCGCACACGTCCCCATTCGTTGTCGTTGACAAGTTTGGGAGGATCATTCTGTGGTATCTTCCCGACATATTGAGTTCTATGCAACAGGTACGTCTACTCATCGTCCGCCACTTCCTCAGATCATTCATCGAGCATCAGAAGCAAATGACCAAAGCACTGTCTACGGTGCGTCGCCAGTTCAAACAAAATGCACCACAGTCTGCTCAAAGGAAGCAAAAGCCCAGCTGGCGTCGCCTAGAAACCAATTTCCGCGAGACGCCGGCGTCTGACGGCTCGGTGCTCAATGGAACACCAACCTTTGCACCGGCATGGTACCCAGTTGGATCGAAGGTGAGCATGTCGGCGGGATTACCCTGATATAATTACTCAGTGATGCCTTGGAGACTGGTCGCGAGCCCCCCACTTCATCGGCGACCCTCACTAATGAGAACAAGGAGTGCGGCTACCAGTTTCTCGACGAGATAAAGTCAACCACGGCTCTCATCATGGCAATTGTCGGCGTCATACACCCAGCACAGTGCAAAATAGGCCTGTCCACCAACTTGCGACTTGCAGACCAGGACGAGGGACTCAAGAACGTCTTCACTCACTGGCCATCCTGCTTCTCAGCAGTGCAGGTCATCAGCAATCGCGTGAGCCCTGTGCATCTGGACGTCGGCGCATCCTACGGCTCTTTCGATGTTCTTGCGACGGTCGGAAAGTTCAGTGGTGGCCACATTCAATTCCCCACCTTGTCCATCGATGTCGACCAACGAGCAGGCAGTGTAGTCGCCTTTGCTGCACACCTTCTACCCCACTCAGTGGCGGAATTCGAAGGCGACCGTGTATCTTTTGCATGGTTCCTCAAAGACGCAGTTGGTTCCTGGGCAGGCATGGAGCCGGTCCCGTGGTGCAAGACTGAGGACGTTAACAATGTCCTTGCGACTGCATAGCTGCTCGTCTGTCGATCCAAAACCGCCTCTCCGTCACTGTATTAATTTGGTGCTCCTGCCGCGCCTCAATCGATATCCATTGCATCGCTTCTGGGCATCTGTACCGTCCGGACTATAGGAGTCATTCCTGGTAACGAAGTGAAAGAGACGTGTGCCTCGTCCCCTAGCGTACGCCAATGCGCTTGCTGACGCATGGCGTATGAGCGGTGGCCTAGACTGCCATGAACGAGGCCATTCCACCGCGCAGCATGGAAGTCAAAAGAGCGGATGGTCCGCTTCATCTCCTCTTTCACCAACATCAGTAGAAGTCGGAAATTGCTGACGAGCTCTAACGATCGGTGACGCGCTGACCAATGCTAACGCAAATTCATTAGATACCGTCAGCGCACTACGGAACTGTCACAGTGTTAACATGTAACAGGGATTGGGGTAATTCATCCGCTTTGCTGAACTCGCGCTTACGGTTTGCTGAGCATCATGTAACGACTATCTAGTATGTTATGGGTTGACACTAGCTGTCTACCGAGTGCTGTCTCTGTAACCCACACCATCCGCACCGACTACTCCGCCTCGCGCCTGCCCGTTCTTGCCGTGTCCCGGCCCTGCCCACCGCTGATGACCCGTCCGTGCCTAATCCTCCGCGCGCCCTCGCTCGTTCTTCCGTCATGCACGCGCGGTCGCCGGTCCATTTGGCGGTGACGTTTGCGTGCTGGGCATTCGCCCGGCGCGCTCGTTGTCGCCATGTGTGTCGTCGTCGCCTGCGTGTGTTCGTCGGCCGTGTTTGTGTGCTGGGCATTTGCCCAGCGCGCTCGCGGTTGGCGTGTATGCTGTCTAACGGTTGTCCACCCAGTATGTGCGCTGACCGCTTGGCGTCCATGTTTGCGTGGTAGGCATTCGCCCTCCACGCTCGCAGTCGGCGTGCATTGCGCGTGCCCCGGCCTTGCCCAACGTTGCCGTGGCCGGTCTTTTGCTCACGCGCGTGGGGTCCGTTCGTCGGCTGTGCTTGCGTGCTGGGTATTCGCCCAGTGCACTCGCAGTCGGCGTGTGTGCCGTCGCCTCTCGCTTGCCCGTGTTCCACGTGGGGGGTCCACTCATCGGTTGCGCTCCGACCGTGCTGGGTCTTTGGCCGCCGTGGTCACCGGTGCTCGACGCAGAGCTGAGAACGCACCTGGTCTCTTCATGGACGGTTGTGCTTCGTGATCTTGAAGTCGTGCGGGCGAGTGGCGGGCGAGTGGCGGCGTTCACGCAGATGATACGGGCGCATGTGACGCGTTTAAGGGTCGAGATGAGCAGCGGCCGCATCACGCGCGCGGTGGGGTTCGTTAGGTGGCAGCAAGCCCCTGAGGCCCGTGCGCGGTAAAGGGGAGGGAAACGTGGAGTGAGGGGCGCCACAGAGCGCGCAAATGGCTGTGCAGGGATTGAAGGAGCCGGCGAGTAGGTACTAGAGTGGATTCGAAGCGCGTTTGGTTTTGTATACTAGGTAGATTTGCGCGCGGATGAGCAGATGATTCCGGTACGTGGCCAGGCTTGTGTGTGTTGTAGGCGGGCAAGTGATTGTGCGGGTGAGTAAACAGACTGACAGGTGAGCAAGAGGATATGCACGCAGGTGAGTCAGGGTGGATGGACGTGCACGCCGGCGAGTCAGCCGCGAACGGACGTGCGCGCAAACGATTGCGTGGGCAGACAAGTACGTGGAGGGACAGTCGCGTAGCCGGGCTCGTGCGCGGGGCGGACGGTGTGCACAACGAGCAAAATACACAGGCTCACCTCCGAGTCTTCTTTTGACCCACTCGCGGCGACCCGCTCCTCCTCGCCCTCCTCGTCTGACGTAGTACCGAAATTGGCACGATGTTCATTTTGTTTTGGTCATCAACCCCGTCTTGACATGCACGCTGCCTTCATTCATGGTCAGCCAAGGCAGAGGTATAGGAAACGGGTGCACATACCATCTACCGTATCACTGGCGTTGGCCCGGTGGACAAGCCATCGCGAGCACAACGAGAGCGTGAACTGGCCGCCGGCGCTTCACGGGTTTAGGGCAAGCCACAGTGGCACTTGCGCGTCCTGGCCCAGGTGCTCCTTGGTGTCGTGGCATGTCCTCACTCTGAGTCTCGCCCGCTCACCCTCTGAGAGTCTTCTTGTCTTCTCAACCACTTTCCCGCTCCTCTGCCCGCTTGCTCGGAGCAGCGCAATATCACGAAGCACGCGTTCAACCTTCTGGGGGCGTTCGACGACATTGTCAGCTTAGGGGACCGGGACTCGGAGCAGCAAGAAGACGAGGCAAGCGGAGCTCCTCGATGCGCTCGGTGGGGACGCGTTGCTGTCTGAGGACATGTCGACGCCGGGTATGCCTGCGGCGTCGAACATCGCACCGCCCGCCCCGAAGAACGACCGCGGCAGCTTACCCGCGTTCATGCTGAGAGGTATGCCCGCATCGTACATGCGCTATTCCCGAACCTCATCTAGTGTACTCAGCGTGCATGTCGTCATTTGTGAGACAATCAACGTGGAAATGATTGCATCTCGCTCGCCCTGGAGCTGCCGTGAAGGCTCGAGTAGCCAACACACCGAAGCGGGCCCAACAAGGAATGCAGGGATGTCAGGAGAACGGTAGGATATCTCCAGTGAGTACCCCGTACATCTGCCTTCTCAGTACTGCGTCCTCCACTCATTCTCTCAACATGATCACGGCGCGCGTCTGTCATTACTCGACACGCTCACTTCCGTCCGAAGCATAGCACCATATCCGGCCGCAGCACTCCACCACCCAGCACCGCTGCACATCGCGTCCGCCTCCACCTCCTTCCAGCCCGCCTTCGCAGCCCAGCAGCCCTCCCCGTGCGCCCTCCATATAGCCACCAGCCACGGCAGGCGCACGCGCACCCGAGCCTGAGGAGTAGACCGCCCACCCCCTGCGCTCGCGCGGGCAGCACGAGCTGCTTGCGGACACGGAGGGAGATCCCGCGCATAGCGAGCATGGCTCGGACAACGCGCACACCACCGCTGCGCTGTCCGAGTCGATCGCCGACGCGATGACCCACGGGCCCGGCCCACACGGCGGCCTTACGCGGTCGCTCACACACGAGGAGTGTGAGTTCATCAACCGCCTCAACCGCCTCAAGTTCTTCCTTGCCACCGCCACCGCGCCCTCACGTTGGTCTGGCGACGACCCGTCTTCCACTGCAGCCGCCGCCACGGGCCTCCCGGTTGGCCACCCAAGCAGCGCACATCCTGGCATGCCTTGGACGGGCGAAGACTGCTGCACCCGCGCCTGCGGTCAAGGCAATGATGCCCGACTCCGGTGATGTTTCACGGGAGGCCGGACGCGCACGCATTCCCGAACAATGGGTACACCCCCACAGCCCCGCACGAACGCATTGCTTGAAGATCGGCGAGCCCAACTGGGTGTGAAGCACGCGCGTGAGGCGCACGCGTAGACTGCACGAAAGCTGATAACTGCGCCCGCCCGTGCTGCGGTTCTACAACCCCCGGATATCCAGCTGGGGGGCATCCCACTGCATGCGCAGCTCGGGGAACCACTGAGGAGGAAGGAGGGACACTACCCACTATGGTGAGTATCCCACTCGCTCCTTGCCCGCCTACGCTGAATCACCCGCACACATGTTCCCCAGCCCGCCCACTTGCCCGCATGATCCCTCGCACACCTGCACGATCGCACATCTGCGCTCAGCCGCACGTATGACTCACTCGCCGACCGGTTGACTCACCTGCCAACCCGCATTACCCGCATACAACCCGTACCCGCTGCGGCAGGTCTGTGCCTGGGTGGTTTGTGCAGGCTGCTTGTTAGTACATCCTAGTATATCATGTGTAGCATATTTCGAAAAATGAAACCTATTGCCAGTGCATTGAGCACGGAACCGGAGAATGAGAGCCACAGCAGTGACGCTTGCTGACGCGCTGACGGTTGTGTGAACTGTTATGGCTACGTAACGACTATCTAGCGAGGCGATCGCCACATCTTCCCAACCTTCTAAAATGCGACAGGTCTTGCTAACGAGTGATACGCTGACACTATGTAAAATCGGAATTTTAGCAACCGTTACGGCCCGTCACAGCCCTTAACCGAAATCAGAGAAGTTCTGATGAACGACACTTGCTCATCCCATCTGTCGTGCCTCGCCTTTTCCCGCAACCAGTTGACGCGATGAACTGACGAACGTCAGCAAGTGGATGCGAGCCGAGTGGAAAGACGCTTACGTTCTGCAAGCCACTCTGAATTCTCAGTGTCTCCTCCGACGTCGACCGACCATATCCACGACAGCTCTTTCTTACTCGCGTTGCGCTCCGTGTGATCGACGAGATGTGTTGCTGCATTCAAATCCTCCTTGTGCAATGGCCTGTATTTTCTCATCAGTGGGGGCAGCGTCTGCAAGAAAAGGCGAAAAGCAGATTGCCTCGCCTCGTCTGAGGGCTGCAGATGTCGAATGAGCGAGATCACGGCCATGTCCATGGGTCATCCTTACCTGAGGTACCTGCTTGCCCTTCGCTGCAGGCCCGGCTGTCTGCTTTGCGATCGCCACCGCCTCTTTCTTGGCTGTGCGGAATTCATTGAACCGCTTCTCCATCGCCTCGCCCTCTGCTGCCGTCATTACAAGCGGTATCATGTTCCTGCGAGCAAGTGTGAAGACCCGTGAGCACTCAAGGATAACCTTCTCCACATTCTGGGCTTCCTTGAATGCACGTGTTTGCGTCCGCTGGCTGTTGGCCGGCCGCACCTGGGTTACATAGACCATCGATTTGAGGCCAATTGCCATGCGAAGCCTGTGCAGAGCGTCGTTGGCTTGCCCTTCACGGAGGCGGAGCTCCTGCTCGCCAAGTCGCCGCTTGTTCATCGTTGCCAATTTCTCGTGCCCAATGGTCGAGGGCAGCCGCAGCGGAATGCTCTCTGGCTGCGTCTCATCGTCTGGATCCTCCAGGACTACCAAGTCATCCGTCACATCCGGATCCTCATCCACGTCTTCCCAGTCATCACCAGCATAGGCTCGCTCTTCTTCATCGTCCGTCTCTTCGTCATCGTTGTCAGAGTCCACACCGTCTTTCCAGAAGCTGGAGGCCTGCTTGGCAAAACTGTCGATGGCACGCTGCAGCCTGTTTCGCTTGTTGACTAATTGCAACTGCGCCGTGAGAAGCGAGTCGCTATTGACGCGCCTCGCCAATGCAGCAACGGTCAGTCTGATGCATGGTGAGGATAGTGACGCATCCTAAAGGAGGCTGCATACTGCTGCTCCTGGAGAGCCAAACCCTCCGCCAGCCAGGATGCGAGGCCAGCATTCGTCTTCGTCCTTCCTTCTTCCTGCTCTAAGAGAAGCTGAATGTCTCTTTTTCCGGGTGCTGGAGTGCCAATGAATGAGCAGATGCAGTGAGGCGGAAGCGGACGGTACCTTTGGTTCGCATAACCTCGTATGGCTCCATGACGCTCAAATCGTCACGCCTCTCCGCGCGCGCTTTTGCCTCCAGCCGCTTCCATTCGGCCAGGTGCTCGGGACTGCTCGAGAGCTCCATATGATTGAGCGTCTCCTTGCTCCGTGCCAATTCCTTTACCGCCTGTAAGAATCGCTTTGATAGCATCTTGACTGCAATGGCAGTCAATTGCCGCTTCTAGGCCTCACAGTGGCCAGACTCACCCATGCCAGTCGTCTTCCGCCAGTTTGAATCGTTCATATGGTCGTCTATCACCTCCTTCCGATGGGACGTCGACATCGCTCGGGTGCTGCCTAAAATCCGGTTCAGAGGAGCCCACAACGTCTCTATGACCTCGCCATCGACTAGGCCTGCTCCTGGAATGAAGCTTGGCGAATACTTCACCAGGCAATCCCGCTGATGCCCGTGGACGTGGAATTTGCCAATTCCCCAGTCGATTGTCGCGGATGGCCATTTCAGGAATCGCGGGCTGCTCTTGAACCGGCCCTTCACTTTCTTGCTGTATTGACAGGAGACATCGTACATGACCAGGAAACGCTTGAGTCCGTCATGATGCTGCATCGCTTGTGAGAGCGCGTAGTCCATATTCATCTGCCTGGCGAGAAATGAATTCCTGGCGCCTGAGACGGGCTTCAATCATCACCTTTCGCCTTTCTGAAAATCGACTACGGAATGCGGGATGAAACAGCCGTGTCTTCCACAGGCGACGGCGCCAATGCCCGTAGCTTCCATATCGTGGCGATCGGCGTTTGCCTGATTGACGGCTCGGTGAGCGTGGCAGTTTGATTTCTAATTGCAGTCAGCACCCAGGATACGGCTGTGCAATGGCAGCTCACCTCGCGCACGTCCACCGCCGCTTTGAGGTGCTCCTTATACCGCCCATCGGTGACCATAAACCCTTGCCCATCCGCGAGTGGGATGTCGTCCGCTGGTCGACGCATCTTCAAATGCTCCGCGCTGAAATTGCCGTCCATGACAAACGACGCCATATGCTTCCAGCTGCACGGTGGCATTAAGGCTCTAGCCGCTTCTTCGAGATCGCCACTCACGAATCAACGTCTCTTTCCCAGTCTGCTTCGAGATTGACGCCGGGGTGAGGGCAGGCTACGCAGCTCAGTGCCAGTCTTCCCGGTCCAAGTTCTTCTTCTGTATGCCCATACCCACGCCATTTGCGATATTTGAGATTGCGCCACTGTCGGCTGCAGCGGAGAAGCTCGCGATAGCGATCCTCGGAGGCGTCAGACTGCTGCCTCGTAGGATGATGGACGACGAACCGGCACTCGCTGAGGAAAGGCGGCATTGGATAGGCGACGCAACCGTTCGAAGTAGCTCTGAGCTGCCATTCCAGAAACTTTGTTGGCCAGCAGGAAATCGTCCAAGACGCGGAACGTGAAGCAAGTTCGAGGGCGGATGAAAGATCCAGGATATAGACCCATCGAGAGCAGCTGGAAGGCCTCCGGATCCGCCCCTTGGCATTTGCACATGGCGGCGCAGACTGAATGGACGCCAGTGATATCAACCACCGTCAGCTTCTGCAGCGAAGCATCATCTTCAATTGGACACCGCCAGTTCCCATGCCCAAGGTTGATGCGCAGACCAGCGGCAAGTAGTGAGCTGGCCTTGAAATAACCTGTCCTGGCAATGAGAGACGTCATCGTCAATAAGACGAGAGACTTCCGTCTAACCTTCCATTGATGGGTCGCCTCCCTGTCCGGCCCCAAATTCTGGTTCATCGACCCAGTCTTCCACTTCTTCTGACGGCGCCTCTTCACTATCCGCTTCTATGATTTCGGCGCGAACTGGAGGCGGGCCTGTTGGGACCGTTCGTCTCTCCCTCGGTTCCCACCGCTCCAGGTGGTGAAGATATTCGGCACTGTGCCGACTCAGACAGCAATCGGTGCACAGGCTTGGCCGGCCCACGCAGTCCACGCATCTCCATGGACTCCACTCCTGGCTGCACATGACACATCTTCGTCTATCTTGCGGCCCTTCCAGTTCGAGCAGGCGGGCAAGCACCTGGTCACGGACTGGCAACCATTGTCAGATAAAGTCGGCCTGAGTCTGCACTGGCATCAGCAACTGCTTCAGCCATCCCAGCCACTCACCATTCCAGATGCCTTCGTCTTTCGCCGGCTCTCTGGCCCCAACTGAATAATCTCCCCCAAGTCAGGCATGGGCTGGTCATTCCCTAGGTCCGAAATCTCTGCGGCTGCTGTTGCCCTGGATGCACCTGCAGGGGGATGCACAGCGCTCGGGGCATCCCGGACTGGAACCATCTTGTGCCTTGTTCCGGTCTTCGTCTTTTTGACAGCCATGTGCATCACCGTTGGCCTCTGCGTTGAGCCCAACGGCACCCATTTTGCACCGCGTCGTGACATGACTGTCGAGACGAGGTTGAAATCTTCATTTGAGGCACATTTAATAGGGATCGCAGGCATTCGGCAAAGGCCATGCGGTGCCCATGCGGTGCCCATGCTGTGCCCATGTGCAATCAGATTTGGTCAATCTAGCCCGTGGCAGACCGCTTCCAATGATCATGAGGCAGTCAAGCGTCGTCCAGGCCACGCGTGGACAAGAGGCGGAATGATGTGACCGCCCCATGTGGGCGCATGAGCATCAGTCGGCTGACATCCATTTGAGCATTGGGGGTGACCACGTGAATGGCTTGCAAGGACCGGCTGAATGGAATGACCAAGCCAAGGGCCTCTCGCCTGCGTCTTTTGACCGCCTATATAAAAGCGGAGGAGCCACCGCATTTATTCCCCAAGAAATGAATGAATATAAACCAAATGATACTGTGCCGACTCAGAGCGTGCCCCCATGGACGCGCTCCGCCTCCGTCTTTTCCGTGGCCGCAACCGCAGTGATGCATGCCGTCTCCGCCTTTTCGGTTCACGCCTCTTCCATCTCCAGCTCCTCCATCTCCGCCTCTTCCATGTCCGCATCCCAGCCGCTGCCAGCATCGTAGGCTTCGTAGCCGCAGCCCTCACTACCGCTGGCATTGTCTTCACCGTCCTCACTGCGGCTGGCACCGTCTTCGTCGTCATTTTCATTGACGAGGTCGCTAAGCCACTGGATGGAGCCACTGGCAAGCCTTTCGTCTCCAGATGGATCGGCGTGCTGAGACTTATTGTCGTTCACGAGGGCGACAAGCCAACGCAAGACATATTCATCTTGGACGGGAGAGGCCTGGGCGTAGAGGGTCCACGTGCGGCGCTTGCCGTCCTTCGTGATGACTTCCTTTCGGAGCACGTGCTGGCCCACCATATGTACGAGCATGACCCTATGGTCAAGGCTGTAGTGATATGTCAGTTTGTGCATGCAAGTCAATAGAACCGCCTACATATCATTTTCCTCCACTTCGTCAAAGCCCTTGAACCAGGGCTGAATGGCTTCAACTGACAATTTGAGCAGTTGGAGCAGCACGCAAAGGTTGTCGTGCCAAACGTAGAAGTCGCGGTCGCACATGGTGGGTTGGTTGTTCGTTGTTGAGATGCATGTACATAAGGTTTGTGCCGCCCCAAGGCAATTGAAACTGAGATAAATTTGACCGTACAATGGCAGACCCATTACCATAATAGCCTCAGCTTCTCTGCACGTCAGTGACGGCATCGAGATGCAACCCGAGCAACCCGCCTGATGTGTTCTGTCAAGAAGCAAAAGGTGAAGAAGCGAAAGTCTGTGGCCTGGTCTTTACGCTGCTTTGATCTCTCAAGTCGCCATGTAGATGGCGGACCGGCGCACCAGAAACACGCGGACTGCCAACAAGCGGACCAGCAATGAGCGGGCCAGCAACAAGCGTGCCAGCAACGGGGAGACCAGCAACGAGCGGGCCACCTACAAGCGGAACCCAACAAGAGCTTCATTTACATCCTATGTCGCCGAAGGTTATAGAATGTCCAATGTATGGAATGGCTTACAAAGGCGAGGTTGGCCTCGGGTAAATATAGAAAGGCTTACAAAGGCGAGGTTGGCCTCGGGTAAATATAGAAAGGCTTACAAAGGCGAGGTTGGCCTCGCGTATATATAGAAAGGCTTACAAAGGCGAGGATCGCCTCGCGTATATATAGAAAGGCTTACAAAGGCGAGGATCGTCTCGCGTATATAAGAAGGGCCGACAGATTTGCGAACGACATGCCTTGTGTGCCGTCTCTTTCCCCGCTCCCTCTCCAGGGCTGTAGCTGGCCATCCGTCTTCACATTCAATACCGAGATATGGGAACATATTGAGAGTCGATCTCTCGATATGTTTTCCATATCTCGGTACTGAACATGCAGGCACTTGGACAGTTGAAGGTGAAAGCACCGTTCAGGGAGATTTGGAACGACGTGTTGCCCTCTCCAGGGCTGTAGCTGGCCATGCGTCTTCACATTCTATGCCAAGAAATGGGAACATTTTCCCTTTCTCGGTATAGAACGTGCAGGCACTTGGACAGTTGAAGGGGAATGCACCGTTCAGGGAGATTTGGAACGACGTGTTGCCCTCTCCAGGACTGTAGCTGGCCATGCGTCTTCACATTCTATGCCGAGGAAGGGGAACATCTCGAGAGCCGATATGTTTTCCCTACCTCGGTATTGAACATGCAGGCACTTGGACAGTTGAAGGGGAATGCACTGTTCAGGGAGATTTGGAACGATGTGTTGCCCTCTTCAGGGCTGTAGCAGCGTCAATTGCCCACATGTCTTCATAATCGACGCCGATGAACGGGAACATATCGAGAGCCGATATGTTTTCCGTTCATCGGTACTGAACATGCAGGCACTTGGACAGTTGAAGGGGAATGCACCGTTCAGTGAGATTTAGAAGGACGTGTTTGGGTCTGAGCGACTCGTTTGCAGCGGACGGTGGATGGCGTCTTGAGGTGCAGGCGGGTTTGCAACGAAGCAAATGGGGCAGTCCTTTGCACGATATTTGCAGACGATAGAAATAAATGTACATTGTGCGACGCAAGAAATTGCCAAGCCCACCTCTTCCGTTTCATTAGTCGGACTGTGCTTCCGTACTGTCGAAGTCTTTAAAGCGGCTCGCACCTCAAACCGGCCGGACTCTGCCCATGCGCTTTTCGAACGGGTGGGGCCTAATCTCGTCATTGAAACCTTGGCTCCCTGAGCTGGCATAGCCGCAAAATGCGATGGGCTGAACCGATATCGTCTGTGCGAATGCGATGGGGCCAAGCAATATCGGCTGTGCTCATACAATGGGGCCAGCCGAGATCGGCCGTGCCAATGTAATAGGGCCAGCCGATATTGGCCGTACCAATACAATGGGTGCACCTGACATCAGGTGTGCAGCCATGATGGGATTGCCTGACTTATCACGTAACACAGACGGCTCCAAAGATGCTCAGACGGACTCGGATGAATTGGTTGCCTAACACACCGGCACTGTACCGGCAGAACATATTAACCAGCAAACGACGCCTGCCATTGGAGATGAATCCTTCACCGTCTGTTGAAAAGTCGTCTGTTCATGCCCAGTGGTAGAGACGGTGGCCTCCAAAGCGGGCACTGCAGCGGGAAGAGACGGAGGTACCTAATGACGAGGCTGATGCAGTGCATGTCGATGCATCCGGGGGTATAAGCGAAATGCTTGAAATGTACCATTGAGTTCCATACCGCCTCTAAACTGGACGTCCATCTGTAAAAGACGGGACGGTGTCTCGAAGAGTGGACCTCTGGTACCAAAAGACGAGATACCATACTTAAAAGGCGAGACTGCTCTCCATGGAGAAGAGACGACATACATGGGACTTCCTTGGACGGCCACCGAAGGGTGATGGGCCCAGTGTGATGACAGGACGCAAGATAGCGGATGTCCACTGGCCAGTCGTGTCAGCAAGATGTGAGGTGAATGGCACAGATGACTGGCCAACGGACATCCGCTGAGGCATCATGCTACACAGATTCACCCCCAGAACCTGGGCCTAACGTTTGGTCGTCGGCTACACCGACTCTGCGCCCGCCCATCCTTTTTGGCAGGTCTTGACACCGGAAGCCTCCCAACCGATCGTCTGCTGGCCAATGGATCGCACTATCAAACGGGGCTCCCTCCCATGGCTCCACACCCGCCTGGCCGAGGCCAAGCCCATAGGTCAGGCCAACCCTGCACCCGCCTATGTCATTTCAGACCCGCCACGGTATCACTCCTACTATGCCTGGCCGAGCCCAAGCCCATAGGTCAGGCCAACCCTGCGCCCACCTGTCTCTCGTCAACTAGACGCCCACCTGACGCATCAGCCGGGCATCGGCTGGCCAATCCATACAGGCTCAGTGCGCATAAGCACCACCGCTACCATAGCCCGTCCCGAGCCGGCCAAGCCCATGAGCATCGGCCCCACCAACCATCCGTCCACCCATCTCGTTTCAGACATCAGGATTTCGTGCAATTCCTCTGAGGGCCCTGTCAGGGGCTTCATAAGCGCTCAGAATGCTTCAGATCGCATCAGAACGGCTCATTTGGCCAGACCTCAAGGTGTCGAACTTTTGTGAATTGTTGTTGTCAGATAGAATTCTCAGATATCTTCAGAAAGTCTCAGAGTGGTCCAGACACCTTCAGACACTCAGACTGCCTCAGCCTCTCAGTCACATCAGACATCATAACAGTATCAAATATATTTTCGGTACTGCATACAACATTTCGACAGGTATCATATATTGATCAAACCATCAACAACAGCGTTACAGCAGACTCAGGGTATATACGAGGGGTGTACAAACCGCTGCGTGTACGTCGAGAGCGCTCGCTTACCGCTGTACTAGCTGGGCCCACCATGCTCGTCATCCATCGCGTTCGCGATCGTGTGCGGGGGCTCGTCCATTGGGAGCGTGCTATGGAAATCGAAGGTTCGACTCCGGGATGGCACCCACGGGCAGGGCGGGCTCGGGTGTCTCGCGCTTGACATTGGCGGCGTAGCGCGGGGACGGCGGGCGGGCGTACGAATGGTGACATGTGCTGCTGGGGGGCGGCGAGCGGCCGGTGTCGTACTCCTCAGGGTCTGAATATGGTGCAGAGTGCGCAAGCAGGCAGGGTGCCGATGAGTAGCTGTTTATTGAGCCTGGGGAGTAGACTGGCTCGGGCGAGCGCGATGGCGAGGCCGAGAGGGGCGGCGAGTGCGCTGAGCCAGAGGGATGCTGAATCAGCCGCGCGACAGCATCACGCCAGCAGGAGGTAAGGTGGTTCCGGTAGTGCCGACGCATGTTCGAGGTGACGTTGAGCCTAGTGCGGTTGCACCCCGGATAGCTGCACACAAACACTGCGGCGCAACACTCTTTCAGCATCGAGATGCGTCTAGACGTCATCGAGAAGGATACGTACCCTTCGCGCCAGTGTGGGTCACGGTGTTGACGTGAATATTCAGGCTGCTCGGCCGGTTGAAGTGCTTGTTGCAGCGCGGGCCTGGTCGTCGGGTCAGGTCGAGGTGACACACGGAGGGCACTCACTGAGATTTTCAGCTCCTCCGGCCGCCCTTCCTTCGGAATTGCAAGCCGCGAATCCTTCGTGGGTCTCCAGTTCTGGCATCACTGGGGTTTGTTGCGGCTGCGTGCCACGCGATCTGGGGCGCGCAGCGGGCGCCCGGGCCAGCTGTCCCTTGTAGACTCGGACAGGCACACCTTGTATTTCACATAGGTCAAAGGCGAGAAAGCAAGGGCGCAGCGAGGATAAGAAACGAGGAGGAAGAGGCTGGGGTGTGCGCGAGAGAATGGGTAGCAAGAGCGAGTGGAACAAGCGCCAGCGTGTGTGGCGTGTCGTGGCAGAGCGCTTAGCACTTCGACCGCGACGCACAGCCCCTCCACGTCAACAGTCAACCGCCTCAACAACTTGAACAAGTTCCCCCTCAACGACAGACGTTCGACGCTGCGACGTTGAACTCCCGCGTCTCTGCACTCACTGTACATGATGGACAAGGGTGATATGTAGTAGGGATAGCATTGGTGAGTGCAACTTGTCCTCTGCGCGCGCGCATGCTTTCCCGTCCGTCTGCCCATCCACCGCCGCGGCTACCCCCTCACTCCGACGCCCATCCGCCTACGTTCTCGCGGTTTGCATATGGCCCTGCGGCGCCGTACTCCTCCATCCGCGAGTTCCCCTGCTCGAGGCGATGCACGTTCTGGGCATCCCGACGACGTGCGTGTTTGCGCTCATGCAGCTCCCTGCGCCCCGTGCAGCGTGCACGCAGGAACGGTAGGCTCATGGACAACTTGTGTACCCTCCCTCAGGCTTTTGCTACCCACGCCCCTCCAACCTACCCTGCAGTGCCTCCGCCTCCGCCGGCCGACAGCGAGAGCACGCGCGAGCGCGGTTCCGCCGCCGCTGCACTCAACGCAGGCTCCGACGTCTTGCTATGCAGCCACGCGGACTCGGATGCTCTCGCCGCCCTGCTGTTGAGCAAGCTCTCCGCGATCGCCTGCGCCTGCGCACACCAGGCAGCGTCTCTACCCTATGACCTTGGGGTAGCTGACATGGCAGAATAGCCTATGGCTTAGGGCCAGCTGATGCCGGCCGACGTGACCTGTGGGCGCTATACCCGCTGCTCAGATGAGCGTAGGCGGCGATGCTAGTGGACAGGTGGTGGTTGTCGCCACTTGCATTGCGCCTGCAGATGTTAGCTGAAAGGCTATACTCATGGCAAATAGGTGAAGTTGTGGGTGAGTATAAGGACAAGAGTGGGAGAGTCGAAATGCGGAAAAGCAAAATAAGCGGAACAGCAAAGAAGCGGAACAGCAAAGAAGCGGAAAAGCGGAAAGTGTATAACAGTCGAAGAGTGGAAGAGCAAACAAGCGGACAAATGAGAAAGCGGAATCAGTGGAAATGTAGAATAAGCGGAGATGCAGAATAAGCGAAAATGCAGAATAAGCGGAGGTGCAGGATAAGCGGAGGTGCACAATAAGCGAAAATGTAGAATAAGCGAAAATGCAGAATAAGCGGAGATGCAGAATAAGCGAAAATGTGGAATAAGCGGAGGTGTAGAATAAGCGGAGGTGCAGAATAAGCGGAAATGCGGAATAAGCGGAGATGCAGAATAAGCGAAAATGCGGAATAAGCGAAAATGCGGAATAAGCGGAGGTGTAGAAAAAGCGGAGGTGCAGAATAAGCGAAAATGTAGAATAAGCGAAAATGCAGAATAAGCGGAGGTGTAGAATAAGCGAAAATGTAGAAAAAGCGGAGGTGCAGAAAATGCAGGATAAGCGAAAATGCGGAATAAGCGGAGGTATAGAATAAGCGGAGGTGCAGAATAAGCAAAAATGTAGAATAAGCGAAAATGCAGAATAAGCGGAGGTGTAGAAAAAGCGGAGGTGCAGAAAATGTAGAATAAGCAAAAACGCGGAATAAGCGGGCGGAATGAGCGGGCGGAATAAGTGAAAACTGTTCAACTTCACCTATCCTTTTGCTTGCTTGCGATGTTGCCTATGTGTTGTTTGCTTATTCTGCATTTCCGCTTATTCTGCACCTCCGCTTTTTCTACACCTCCGCTTATTCTGCATTTTCGCTTATTCTACATTTTCGCTTATTGTGCACCTCCGCTTATCCTGCACCTCCGCTTATTCTGCATTTTCGCTTATTCTACATTTTCGCTTATTCTGCACCTCCGCTTATTCTATACCTCCGCTTATTCCGCATTTTCGCTTATCCTGCATTTTCTGCACCTCCGCTTTTTCTACATTTTCGCTTATTCTACACCTCCGCTTATTCTGCATTTTCGCTTATTCTACATTTTCGCTTATTCTGCACCTCCGCTTTTTCTACACCTCCGCTTATTCCGCATTTTCGCTTATCCTGCATTTTCTGCACCTCCGCTTTTTCTACACCTCCGCTTATTCTATACCTCCGCTTATTCCGCATTTTCGCTTATCCTGCATTTTCTGCACCTCCGCTTTTTCTACATTTTCGCTTATTGTACACCTCCGCTTATTCTGCATTTTCGCTTATTCTACATTTTCGCTTATTGTGCACCTCCGCTTATCCTGCACCTCCGCTTATTCTGCATTTTCGCTTATTCTACATTTTCGCTTATTCTGCACCTCCGCTTTTTCTACACCTCCGCTTTTTCTACACCTCCGCTTATTCCGCATTTTCGCTTATTCCGCATTTTCGCTTATTCCGCATTTTCGCTTATTCTGCATCTCCGCTTATTCCGCATTTCCGCTTATTCTGCACCTCCGCTTATTCTACACCTCCGCTTATTCTGCATTTTTGCTTATTCTACATTTTCGCTTATTCTGCACCTCCGCTTATTCTACATTTTTGCTTATTCTACACCTCCGCTTATTCCACCTTTCTACTTCCTTGCTGTCCCGCTGATCAACTCTTTCACTCTCTTGTCCTTTTGCCCACTTGCCAAGGTGCTTATGTGTTTTCCTCTTCTTTGCTGCTGCACTTTTCCACTTTTTTGCTTGTCCGCTTTCTTCATTCTCCTGCTCTTCTACTCACTCTTATGTTGTTTTGCTTACTGACCCTTCATCAATACCTGAACCTGCAGAGACCTGTAAGAGCTGCAGATGACCCATACCTGCTGGGTACGTGGCCCTGAATGGTGAGGCTACTAATTGGACGGCCACAGTGTGTATTACAGTACATGCCTCATGCATTGTGCAATGTACAAGAGTCAATCAAACAGGGCTGCTGCTGCTGTTCCTGGAAGAAACATGCCAGTGTTGTATCACAAACACAGACAGCTAGCATATGATGATCACACAAGGCTGGCCAGTGACAAGCAGCACACTACTTGGTGCTAGGTGATCTATTACCCTGCTGCATACACCTACTTGGCAAGACAAACAGATTGAAGGACAGACAGATCACTGACACACAGACTGGTACTGAGAAACAGATGTACAGAGACATGGATGTATCACAATGTCAGATAAATGGATTGATCAACACACAGATTGCTGACAATGTGAGAACAAGCAAAATATAATCCACAAGTGCAAGTGTCCCAGGTGTGGATGATGTCCAAAGGGCAATTGCGTGAGGTAATTACATCGAAAACATCTGTATATATACCACCTCCCCCCTATCCATCCCAACCAGGCACTATTGCATCCAAGCTTGCGAGCTTGCCACAATTGCATGCTCCAACAGACAAGTGCCAGCGGTTGTACAGAGAAGCAAGTTGCCAGCATGTAGATCACCAATAAGCAGACATATAAAGAAACAAAGTTGATGGATAAGCAGATGTCAATGGAGAAGCAGATTGAAAGACAAGTGGATCACTAACAAGCAGATGCCACAGAGAAATGAGTTGCTGACAAGCAGATTGCCAACAAGCAAACATACAAAGAAGCAAATGTACAAAATTTAAGAAGCAGACATACAACAAAGTGGACCACTAACAAGTGGATCACTGACAAGCAGACATATGTACAGAGAGATGGACATCAGAGAAGCAGATGAGTCAGACAAGCAGATTCAAAGGCAAGCAGATATACAGAGATGTGGGTCACTAACAAGTGGACCAGCATAAAAAGAAGTGAATGTACTGCAAAGAAGCAAATGTAGTACAAAGAAGTGGACATATAAAGAGGTGGATGTACAACTTGAAAGAAGCGGATGTACAAGGAGCAGACATACAAAAAAGCAAGTGTAGTACAGAGAAGCGGTCAGGTAAAGAAGCGGTCATTAGAATAAGTGGATGTACAAAGACACAGATATACAAAGAGGCAGATGTCAAAAGAAGCGGAAATGCAGAGAAGCGGACATACAGAGAAGTGGACATACAGAGAAGTGGACATACAGAGAAGCGGACATACAGAGAAGCGGACATACAAAAGGGCGGACATACAAAAGGGCGGACATACAAAGAACTGGTTGTAGTACAGAGAAGCAGACATGAAAAGAAGCAGATGTATGAAGAAGCGGATGTATGAAGAAGCGGACATGAAGAAGCGGACATGAAGAAACGGACATGAAGAAGCGGACATGAAGAAGCGAGCATGAAGAAGCGGACATGAAGAAGTGGGCATGAAGAAGCGGACATGAAGAAGCAGATGTATGAAGAAGCAGACATGTAAAGAAGCGGACATGTAAAGAAGTGGACAAAAAAGCGGACATACAAAGGAGTGGCTGTTCAAAGAAGCGGATGCCATACAAGCAGATTGAAAGAAAGCAGTCACTGAAAAGCGGGTGTACAAAGAAGTGGATTGCCGGACAAGCGGATGTACAGAGAAGCTCAGACAAGTCAGCCAATGACCATTGGCAGAACTGGCATCTGTTGACCCAAGACCAGCCTCAGTAGGCACACCAGCCGAGGTCAGCTTGCCCATGGTCATTGGCGAAGCCAATGCTCCGCCCACCCATCGTTTGGCAGCTATTATGGGTGCCCCAACTGACATTGATTCGCCCATGGTCATTGGCGAAGCCAACGGTCTGCTGGCCCATGGTCATTGGCGAAGCCAACGGTCCGCTGGCCCATGGCCAATGCCACCTGACAATAAAAGACACTCGCTCTTAAAGGCACTCGCTCTTACGTGCCCGGCCGACTACATGGCCATTGGTCAGGCCAACCATCCGACCGCCTATCCCAACAATGCACTGCAAAAAGAAACGGCACCCTGCTACCGTTTATCGCCCGGTCATCCGCCCATCACCAACCCGAGGCGCCTATTCGCCCATCCCGTTAATGAAAACGCCCCGCTCGGCCGACGTCAGCTCGCCGAATACATTGGGGTTTTTCACGCATCCGCTACCCTAACAGCATCGGCCATTCCGCTGAATGGGCTCCTTGCACATAGCCAAGAGATCGGGCACCGATGGCCAATGGCATTCCGTCGACCTCGGAATCGTTCTGAGGCGGCGGCAGAGTGATCCCGGCTTGAAGACCTTGGATAAGTACACGCTGTAGCTTGGGAACTGACGTAGTGACGCGAGTGCGGCTGCCCATCGGTAACTCATAGTAAGTGGTTCATTCCTCTAGAGTGTGGGTTTGAGTACATACGCTAGAGGTTATCGCGACATCGCGCAAGTCAGTAACGGACGCGACCATACAGCTAAGATACGATTCTCACCGCTGCTTCCAAATCCGGTGGTCGTGCCGTACATACTCTGCGCCCCGGATAAGGCCGAGTGAGCCACGAACTGCGCAACGGTTGCGGCAGCGGCATTCACATCTTGGAGAACATCTGCTGCCGCCGTCACCTCCGGGACCACACGGAACCTGTGATGGAAAGGATGTCAGCATACACATCAATCACGCTTGAGCAGGGCGAGCGCGGCGGGGAGCGACATCCTTGTCGCAATATCATTGTGGTAGGGGATGTACGTACCGTGACACAGCCGCCACGGCCGCTAGGCTGAATGTGCGCCCATCGATGATGGCTACTCTGGAATGCGTCCTGTATTCCGATAGCTCACCCCAGTGAGCCTTGACCATGTCGAGATGGCTGCGAGGGGACCGGATGCTTGACGGGCGAGACATAACGACTGCTGTCAGATGGAAGCTCCGAATTGTCAGTGATTCCTTAAGTACTGAGATGTGCGCTACGCTCGGGGTAGCGGTCTTACGGTCAGTCAATAACCAATTAACCAACTGTAGCATACATGAGCAGTCAGAAGTGCCGCATCTTGCTGTTCAAATCTCAGGCTCAGCGACTCTGTTTGCGGCTCGCTGGTAAACGCCCGCCGAGATGTGACAAAGCAGTAGCACGTTCAAGGGGTGCCGGTGAATGGCCGTGTCGGCCTTTCGACCAGAAGTAGTAGTACAGAGTCTGAAGGGAGGAGGAGGGATTTCCATTGGATCCGGAGACATGTACAACTTAAGATGCAGCAAGCTTAAGATGCGTGGTGGGCGGAGCGCCGGCTTCAAAGGACTGCGATGCCACATCAGATCGTTGTTTTTCTTTATTTGAACTTTTTCTGGATTACTTATGTTGGTAAAGGCCTCGAGGCTCGAGGAAGCACGTCACCTTGAACGTCCGCATTGCGGCTGTAGGCCACATTTTCAGTATTGCTTATCCAACGGCCAGCGTGGCCATGGGTGGTACTCAAACGACGGCCCACAGGTCGTCCCGAGGAGCTGGGTAAACACCATGGTGTACTGTACTTCTAGGCAGCCGTTTGCTAACTCAAGTACTTTGTTGCCCAGCGTACGAGTTCGTCAGATTCCCATGCAGACAACCCTTCCCAGTGGGAGAAATGGACTGTGAGGGATGGACCAACTGCTGGTACCACCGCTGACGGGTGGCACACTCTATGTTGTATGTGATCGCTCTACGCGGTCATCACAAACCAGCCAGAAGGCCTTCCTCCCCCTCCGTCCCAATCACGCGTCCGCCGCCTTCGACCTGCTTGCACCCGACATTGTCGCGTCCCACCTCCATCAGGAACCCGTCCACGTCCTTCAGCGGTCTCCCCGGCCGCTCGCGCACGACCATATCACTCCCAACAGCCTTCAGCCACTCCAACACCGGCCGGGTGAACCACCGCCCGATCGTCTTATCCGCGCCCCTCTCGAACCACCCGAGGTGCCCACCCTTCTTCGTCACCGCGAACGCGACGCAGCCGTTTCGACCCGCGTGCACGGGGAGCACCTGCACGATCGGGTCGTCCTCCGCGGCGATGGCGAGGAATGGCACACGCACGCGCGGGAGCGCGGCGTGCGACGACGCCCAGGTGTAGTACGCGCGTGCGCTCGGGAATGGGAACGGCGGCGATGACCCGCCGGCGATGCGGTTGAACGTCTCGTCGAATGTCTCGAGCGTGGGCGAGCGTAGTGCGAGGGTCGGGGCGACCGCCTGCGCGACCGGGTGCGAGGGCGGCGTGCTCAGGCCGGCGGCATGCTGCTTGACGATAGCTTGGAGGTTCGAGCCGAGCGCTTTGGAGTAGACGTGGCGGTGGAACCAGTTGCCTTCGAGCCTGGGTAGCTGCAGTTAGTACGCGGAATGGCTCGCGGGCGGAATCCCTTACGCTTCACTGTTCGTCACTAAGTCCCAGGGCTATGTCATTCCTATGTGAGCCGCGTGTTCGCTGTAGCCGGGAGTGACCTACGCAAGCTAGTACGCATGCAGCGGCAAGTCTGCAGTCTTCGCCCTCCTCGGCAACGTAACGAGTCAGCACGTTCGCGCCGAGCGAAAATCCCAGACCGAGCAGGGGCGCATGCGGGTAGCGTCTGCGTATGTAGTACATCGCCGCGCGGATGTCTCCAGTATGTCCAGCGGAATATAGCTGCGGGCTTGTGACAGGGACACCCGCACCTGTCGTTTGCATTAGCTATGGCAAAACGACAGGATCGTTATGGGCTTACACCCCCGGAAGTTTACCACAATTGCGCGATATCCCAGCCCTCCATCCTCTATGGGCATGCATGCGGGAGATACCACCGCACGAACGTATGATTCATGGGAGCCTTACAGCACCAGTCTTCAACAAGCCGAAGTAAAGGTGTACAGGGCAGATACGCACCTCCCGTAAGTCCGTGAAGTACGACGATGGTAGGCGTATCATCTGGGAGTTTCTGCACGCTCTCAGGCGGCGTAAAATCAAGACCACTGGTCCCTCATGAATCGCATGAGTATGAAAACCGTAGGCGTGCACTCACAGAGTCCCGCCATCTAGGGTACGTAGGAGTGTCCTGCGTGGCTCTGTGACCCGAACGTAGCACATATAACGACACTCACCTTTCATACTCTACTGTATCTACCTTAGAGAAGTCTCCGACTACGGAGTACGCAGTCTGCAGATGTCCGCTGCCAAGATCCTATGAGCATTCGTGTGCAGGTACGATTGCTAATGACATACCTGAAGAGCCACCAGATTGGTTTGAAGTGTCTGGAAAGACTTGGGCACCTATGCTCTATCAACGAGCCCAACGTCTCGACCTTCGTCTCGGTACTTCCGCTCGACTGCAGCACTTCTATATCTTCCGTGGCTTTCGCAAAGTACAACACTGGACGATAGTAGTCGGCATCTCGCCCTAGACTCAGCACGACCCCCACCCCGAGTCCGACTACCACCAGAGCGAGGAGTATCGACGACAGCATCTGCAGAAGAGTCTCACCATAAGGTTTCAAACATGGTTCGACGTCGAGGCGAATGGATAAGCCTGGCGGAGGTATCACCAGCGCAAGCCGCCTTCATTGGTCAGGTCAAGATCGTCGAGCGCGCCGGCTGGCGCGTCTGGCGCTCTCACCTCTTGTACCACCACGACCATATCCACGTTCCGGTTCGGATGTCAAGCTTTCCTATCATTGCTACACTGCTCGAGGACTGAATCGCAGTCACGGTGTGATGATGGAGTCTCAAACAATGTTAGGATTGGTCGAGTTTGGAATCCTGACGGTCTTCTTAAATACAGCACCATGATGGCGGGGATTTCCGCTCGCACTTGAAGTCAAATACTTACCTCAATCCACGCCTTCGAAAGTCCGCCATCCAACCCGCGGTACGAGCAGTATGCGACTTCCCGCTTCTCGCTCTCCGAGTCTAACAGAGCTCCTTTGTCTAGGGCCTATGCTTTCGCCCGTTCGAAAGAGCCACGGAGGCCACAAAACCAGTACCTTTGAGGTCAGTGGCGTTGTGCTCAATGGTCGACCGCTGCCACACTGATATCGTGCTCCTTGTATGCTCCCAGCTAGGCTTTCTAGGATGCATCGTGCCTTGACCATCGCGGAGATCGTCCATCAAGTAGTCGAGGAATTCTCTACCGCCTGGATCTGCTGTCACAAAGGCCAGACGCTGCGAGCATTAGCTGTCACATGCCGTGTGTTCAGCGAACCCGCCTTAGACATCATTTGGTCTGATCAAAATGGTTTGGGCCACCTCGTCGAGTGTTTGCCGTCGGATTTGTGGACTATATCGGATGATACTACCCCGGGGACTTTAGTGAGCGGCATACCCGTCTCGCCATCGCTGCTCGTTGACTCAAATGACGTGTGACCAGACATTGAGAAGACCTCCGAGGACCATTACGCAACAGGACTGGGTGCGTTTCGACACATACGCTAGACGCGTTCGGAAACTGTCCTTTGGTCCACCTAAATCCTCCTTGCGGTCCCGCACCATGTCGGCGGATGTATTCCACTGGCTGTCCTCGTCAAGGCCCTCCCATCAACTACTCCCAAATCTGCGCCGCCTCTATTGGTCGGACGACATGCCACCCGGGTGCTATGATTATTTTCACATGTTCCTTGGCCCACGACTCTGCACGCTGCGCATTTCAGGGCCTCCACCTCAATCCACCACCTCTCATCATGCAATCCTTTCCGCTCTGGATCGCCTTTCTCAAATTGCACCAGACATCGAAGTGCTGAGCGTCTGGGGATACCAGTGTGAGGGCCTAGACCCCCGACCTATTCCCGGGCATGTTTGTACGTTATGGAGGAGACTATGGTCTTTGCGTCTGGGGTCGTCCCTGACGATGACTTATGACGCGTTTGCTGGGCTGTCCGCCTTACCCATGCTCGCGGAGGCGGCCCTGTCGCTAGCTGGGCCATTCGACACAAAGTGTTCAACGCGGAACTACACTTTTCCTGCTATGCAAACGCTGGACTTAACTTCCGAGACAATGGCCGACATCCGAGCAGTCTTATCGTCGTGTCATTTTCCCCGGCTCCGGAGAATGTCCTTGACTTCACAGTCCGGTCCCAAGGCAGACCTCCTCAATCGTGTCCTCGAAGCTATCCACGAACGTATACCGCATGCGTCGCTTGTTTATCTCAAGCTTCATGCTGGCAATACCATGGACGTTGGGGAGATAGTCAACGCGGCGTCCTTACGGTCCCTATATGACTTACACCATCTGGTTTACTTCGATTTCGTCATGGGGATCCGCATTGCCCTCACTGACGACGACATCAAGGAAATGGCCATGTCGTGGCCTCATATCAAGCATCTGGTGTTGTGCAGCAACGCCAGCAAGGATGCTATCCAGCACACATGGACGCATGACCCGCGGGCATGGACGACTAAGCCCACGCTAGAAGGTCTCGTGCACCTCGCCAGGTATTGCCCCTCGCTAGAATTGCTCGCACTCGATGCCGACACGTCTGGCGCTGAGGCCTACCTTGAGGTCCACCCTGGTGAGGGTTATCATTCCTCACCGCTGCGAACCATCCATGTCGTTTCGCCTCCGCTGAGTGCCATCAAGGATGTCGCAGCGTTCTTATATGCGGTCTTCCCGAACGTGTGGTTTATCAACGGCACTGATGGCACTGTGGTAGGCGATACTTGGCAGCTAGTGCTGCACAAAGTAGATGTCTTACGGGGCACGGTATATGAGGACGAAGACGAGGAAGATGAGGAAGATGAGGAATAGGGCTACGTTCAGCCGTATAGCACCTCGCGCGATCGGCATGGATCGTACATAGGATCGTCCTTTGTGACACAGAAGCCAATTCGCGTCGATGTTAACATGTCCATATTTCTGCTACTTCATTGTTCAATCACAGAGACTCGTGTAGCCTCGTACATACACGATGCGATGGTGCCTTCCTCACGGCCCCGACAAGAATACTGACACTAACTATTCCAACATTCATTGAATGTTCATGATTGGGCTGGTTCGTTACGGTTGCGTCTGTTGCAGCGCCGTAGCAGGAGACGCTTGGAGACGCATCAACCAATCAGGCCTCCATGTTCCAAATTATATGTTTTATGTAAAGCCCTTGCGTAGGGATCCGTACGAGTCTACATATCAAGCGCGTGGCGGGCGAACGAACGTCTCTGTTTTATTAAATTTACTTTTATCCTCGCTCTTCGATGTGTATAGACGACTCCACCAGCCGTTTGAACATTTGCATTGCACATACCGTCCCGGGTAGTATCTCTGATCATCTAGACCGGTATACCATACATCTGCGCGCACCTCGCGGACAAGGCGATCACTGGTCAAATCTACGGTAGAACACGTACGCGTCGACGAACTCCTCGCCCTCGCTCCCGTCCACCTTCTTTAATCGCCCCGCACGTGGTATGAGCCCTGCCTTCGTGAAACCCAGGGCTTCCCAAAGCCTGCGCGAGCACGGCATCGTCAATACATCGCGGAGCAGGCCGTGTTACGCATCACGCAGGAGCACAACTCACCTGACGCTCGCGGTGTTGTTGACATAGACAAGGTTGAACACGCTCGCCTCGTATCCAAGCCTAGGTGCATAGTAAAGGTAGGAGCGGGCGAGAACAGCGCCGACGCCACGGCCGCGCTGCGAAGGGGGGACCAAGAAGCCGGCATTGCATATCTGTGCTCTAATCAATGGCAGACCGTATTCATGCGAAGCTAGGACGTACATGAGAAGATCGCCCCGGATAGTTCGGCTTCACCTACAAGTGTTGCATGGTCAGCCGCACATGCACTCGCAGTTCGGATGTCATGATAGACTTGAACTAGATGAGGACTCACGTAGTAGCATCCGGCAACGCAATCCTCCACGTCCCGTCCCTTGAGTGCCGCTCCGATCCCGAGCTGCACGTCCTCACCATCTACCACATCCACACTCAAACTGCCCTCCCCCATCACAGCAACGAGCACGTCCGCCGCGAAGTAGTACGCCTGGAACATCTCGAGCGTGTACTCCTCACTCGCGCGGATCTCTTGCGGGTAGGTCAGTCCGCGTTCGAGCTCGTCTGCGAACACCTTGTGCAGGAGAACCAGTAAACCCGGGACGGCCCGTGCAGTGGCTAGGGTAAGATGGTGGATCGTCAAGTAGGCATTCGGTGGGGGAGCGTATTTAGAGGTTGGATTGAGTCGCCAGCGAGTGGTCGGGAGCGGCCCTGCTGTCCGAGATGGGGTGAGGATCGCGCCGTATGCTGACATGGTTCGTGCGGTCGTCAGAGATGAACTCCGACGGATACGAGAACACAAGTTTGTAGGTCAACGCTGATGGCCAATGCACACGTTCAAGCACCAGGAATGAAACTCGTCGGTCGAGTCATAATATGGCGACTACTGACGTTCCTGAACTGTATTAGCGGTCGATGTAAGTAGTCGGTCCGGTATGTCCGTAAATCCACACACCATAGAGCATGATCTCACCGGACAGGGCCAAACCACTGAAGAAATATGGCTGGTTCCGATTTTGAGAGGCGAGGAACCCCATGGTCGTAGTACAAGAAGAAGTGGGGGCACTAAACATGGATGTGCGTATCCAAGTTCAGAGTCGTGAATCAGGACTCGGGAATACTCAGCGGCAACCATTCAATCCTACGTCCAAGCTACGCCATCCTCAATACTATGGTTTGCTGTCCTGTCGTCTACGATTGCTTCTGAAATGGGGCCGGGCTTGACGCGGTGCCGCACCGCGAACGAAGATATTGTTGTTGAGTCCGACATGCATTTGGAAACTTCGCCTTTACACCGTGACTGAGATTCAGTCCTCGAGCAGTGTAGCAATGACAGGAAAGCTTGACATCCGAGCCGGAACGTGGATATGGTCGTGGTAGAGGTGAGAGCGCCAGACGCGCCAGCCGGCGCGCTCGACGACCAGTTGACCTGACCAATGAAGGCGGCTTGCGCTGGTGATACCTCCGCCAGGCTTATCCATTCGCCTCGACGTCGAACCATGTTTGAAACCTTATGTTGAGACTCTTTTGCAGATGCTGTCGTCGATACTCCTCGCTCTGGTGGTAGTCGGACTCGGGGTGGGGGTCGTGCTGAGTCTAGGGCGAAATGCCGACTACTATCGTCCAGTGTTGTACTTTGCGAAAGTCACGGAAGATATAGAAGTGCTGCAGTCGAGCGGGAGTGCCGAGACGAAGGTCGAGACGTTGGGCTCGTTGATAGAGCATAGGTGCCCAAGTCTTTCCAGACACTTCAAACCAATCTGGTGGCTCTTCAGGTATGTCACCAGCGATCGTACCTGCGCATGAATGCTCATAGGCTCTTGGCAGCGGACATCTGCAGACTGCGTACTCCGTAGTCGGAGACTTCTCTAAGGTGGATACAGTAGAGTATGAAAGGTGAGTGTCGTTTAGGTGGTACGTTCCGGTCACAGAGCCTTGCAGGACCCTCCTACGGACCCTGGATGGTGGGACTCTGTGAGTATATGTTCGCAGCTCTACTTTTCATGCGGCTCATGTGGGATAGTGGTTTAGACTTTACGCCGCCCGAGAATGTGCGGCAGCTCCCAGATAATACACCCATCATCGTAGTGCTTCATGGCCTGACGGGAGGTGCGTAGTTACATAGCCTGTAATGTCGGAGAGATGGGCCAGTATCACTGTATGAGGTCGTCTCACACTGGGCCCAAATGTTACGCCGTGACATTGTGGCAGACGACGCCCTTCTCGACGGCTCGCGCGAGAGAAGTTCTGATTTCATGTTGGGATACGTCTCAAATGAAGCACTTGCATCAGGTTTGAACTGATTCTCCGACCCCGCCTTGTCTTCTTTGGCGGTGGCTCAGGCACTGCAGTGTTCTCTACGAGGTTGCGAAGGACTGGGCTGCAGTCCGCGTCGGATGCAGTGTACTTCAGCCGCCTTCCTAGGGCGGCGAGCAGCGGGAAGGCCGTCAGTGACGACCGATGGCGGTCGAGGAGGATTGGAGGCCCCTCGAACAGACAACCGCCGCTCGCTCTGCAAGCACCCAACGCGTATCATCGGCTCGCTCATCACTCGCTACTCGCCACGCCCCACCACCGTCTTGCACACCACGATGGTATCACCTCTGCTTTGGCTTGCTGATGACTGTTGCCGCCTAGGCTCCCATGAATCATATGTGCGCGCGGTTCTGTCCCCCGCATGCATGCCTGCATCGGGTGGAGGGCTAGGATACCGCGCGGTTGTAGTGAATTTCCGCGGATGTAAGCTTGCCAACATTGCTGTCCGGTCGTTTAGCTAATGGGGAAGATAGGTGCGGGTGTCCCGGTGACAAGTACCCAGCTATACTCGGCAGGGCACACTGAAGACATCCGTGCAGCGATGTACTTCATCCGCAAACGCTACCCGGAGGCGCTCCTCCTTGGTCTGGGGTTCTCGCTCGGCGCGAGCGTACTCACTCATTACGTTGCCGAAGAGGGCGAAGACTGCAGACTTGCCGCTGCATGCGTTCTAGCTTGCGTAGGTCACTTTCGACTACAGCCAACAGACGGCTCACATACGAATGATATAGCCCTGGGACTTAGTGAAGAACAGTGAAGCGTAAGTAACGAATCCCGCCCGCCAGCCAATCCGCAAACTAACTACAGCTACCCAGGCTCGAAGGCAATTGGTTCCACCGCCACGTCTACTCCAAAGCGCTTGGCGCGAACCTCCAAGCCATTGTCAAACAGCATGCCGCCGGCCTGACCACGCTGCCCTCGCACCCCGTCGCGCAGGCGGTTGCCCCGACCCTCGCACTGCGGTCGCCCGCGCTCAAGACGTTCGACGAGACGTTCACTCGCATCGCGGGCGGGTCCTCGCCGCCCTTCCCATTCCCGAGCGCGCGCGCGTACTACATCTGGGCGTCGTCGCACACCGTGCTCCCGCGCGTACGTGTGCCATTCCTCGCCATCGCCGCGGAGGACGACCCGATCGTGCAAGTGCTCCCCGTGCACGCGGGTCGAAACGGCTGCGTCGCGTTCGCGGTGACGAAGAAGGGTGGGCACCTCGGGTGGTTCGAGAGGGGCGCGAATGGGACGATCGGGCGGTGGTTCACCCGGCCGGTGTTGGAGTGGCTGAAGGCTGTTGGGAGTGATATGGTCGTGCGTGAGCGATCTGGGAAACCGCTGAAGGAGGTGGACGGGTTCCTGATGGAGGTGGGACGCGACAATGTCGGGTGCAAGCAGGTCGAAGGCGGCGGACGCGTGATTGGGACGGAGGGGGAGGAAGGCCTTCTGGCTGGTTTGTGATGACTGCGTAGAGCGATCACTATGTAACATAGAGCGTGTCACCCGTCGCGCGTCAGCGGTCGTACCAGGAGTTAGACTATGACTCACAGTCCAATTTATCCCACTGGGAACAGTGGGAAGGGTTGTTCGCATAGCAATCTGACGAACTCGTACGCTGGGCAACGAAGTATATACGGTTACCACACGGCTGCCTAAATGTACAGCACACGAGGGTAATTTACCCAGCTCGTCGGGCCTCTTTGACGACCTGCGGGCCGTCGTTTGAGTACTGCCCACGCTGGCCGTTGCATAAGCGGTACTCACGACGTGGCCTGCAGCTGCAACGCGGACGTTGGAGGCGTGCTCATTCCGTCTTCACACCGTCTCTTGTGTCATAACCATCTCACCGGCTTCGAAGTACATGTCAGCGAGTGTCTCGTGAAATGCCAGGCAACGACTCACGTCACATTCGACTGAACGCTCATGATCAAGGGGAGACCAAGTCCAGGAGGGATGTCCTCCAGGTCCGTCTACATCTCATACTAATAGCGCACTTCGAGTGGCCGCGCGGACGGAGTTCGGGGCACCTGTGGCGCCACACTCGACAAGTCCATGCCCGACGAACACGCCCACGACGTCGGGGTGCCAGGGCTTCGAGGACCGCGACTGTGAGTTGACACTCTTCGCATGCGCCCTACGTGGTCAGATGCGTGTGATGCAAGCATCCCTCGTAAGTAAGCTCCGAACCGGCTAGTGTGCATAGGGGGGTTGCTCGGTGCGGTTTGGAACACATCCATCACGGCATTTGACGTAGTTGCTTGCACATATTCGTACATTCGATGATAGAGGTGAGCTAGTAGAGCGAGGACACATGGAGTACAACAGCGACGCCTTGTAGGCTTATATTACATATTCTGTCTGTGTTCCTACTGAGAATGGGAGCGGCATGAGTCTCCAGTTACAACGCTTCCAATTGCGGAGTCAACTCACCACTTGGCTTCGGCCACTGGGACGCAATCCGCAGGACGTGGACCATCTCCTCCACCGGTCTCCAAGACTCCCCTAACCGAGTTTCATCGCCCATGTTGATCCGCTGCAGGTTGGGGAAGATTGCGAACAGGAAGGCCGCTATCTTCGCGGGGCTACCCAGCGCAGACGACTGCCCGAACGCGATCTTCTGAAGCGTACGATTGCAGTGCCCGCCTCCGGGCCTCGCGTGCGACGAAATGTCCGTACTGGTTGTATTCACGTCGATAGTGAACTTCGAGAGCAAAGGACAATACCTCGCGACATGGGCTACGCCTTCGAGCGTTGTTGCGGTGGGAGTTCGCCAGGGGTACTCGGCTATGCTTTTCAGCTCCAGCTGTTGGAGCTGGGGCCACGCCATTGCCATCTCCTTTAGAGTATCGTCGTCGAGGGTGATACACATCTCCGTCAAGAATTCCACTCGCTGTAAATTGTGGAAGTCACAGAATCGCCTGAACGATGCTACGGTGATGGGCTGCTGTCCTTCTTCGCGTGGGTCCGACTCCTCGCCAGTGATGAATCTGAGTGTCGTCAGCGTTGCATGTGAACAACGTTCGTGGACCAGCTGGAGCGTACGGTCGACGCCGGTGCTCGCATCCATTGGTATGCTGAAGCGCGAGACCAGGATTATCTGTTTGAGTCGAGGAAAGCGGCACATCGATAAGATTGTGGTGAGATAGGTCTTTGGCGCGACAGGTCCTCCCAAAATTCGAACACAATATCCCACACTTGAGCCTGCTGACCAGGTGGGACTTGTGAATTGTGTACGACCACAATATCCACCTCCCTGAGGTGCGGCATAACCGAGAGCTTCGCCAGTACGTCAAAATTCACTGGCAAGGTCGCTCCCAACCTAAGTGTCGTCAGCTTCTGCAGCGGCGTAAAGAATTCGATATGTATAGGCATGCTGAAGCCAACATCGGGCATAAGGACTTGCAACACCTGTATATTAGGTGCACGTTGGTGGAGCTGGAGCAATGCGGGGGAGATGGTATGTGAGGATATGAAGCCATAACGCCCTGAACCAATCACCAGGATGGAGAGCCTTGGTCCGTAAAGCATGGCTATGGCATCATAGTACGTGTCCGCCATGTCCTTCGTCCATCGCAGGACAGACAACTTCGGAAGCAGCTGGTGTGTTGGCCTTGAGGAGAACAACCAGCGAAACAGTTTCTCTGAAATCACTCGGGAGAGGGGGTGATCATGCCGGAGGCTCCGAACCCGCCGTGCGTAGAAGTCGAACCGTTCCCAATCCTGAGGGGTCGTTGGCCTTGTAGGCTCCCGGAGAGTCTGGATGCGTGGAAGAAGGGCAAGTCAACTAGCTAATGAGCAGGCCAGCTACGTACTCACCAGAGTCGTGCCCGAGCCTGAGACCCGCCACAGGTCTCTTGGCAAACATTTGACGAGGTTGATTAGTTCATATTGCAAGGACCATACGAGGTCCATAGCGGGTTCGTAGAAGGCGCGGCATGTGAGCGCCAACTTCAGCTGAGTCCCTCTATGGGCAGCTTCGTACAGTATCTTGTGGACGAGCTCCGGGATCGTTAGGGCTCGATGCATCCTATGTAGAATCCTTGAGCGACACTTGCTATGACATTAACCTGGGAGTTAGAACATGTCTAACCTCGTTCAGTCGTCCAACTCAACTAGATTCACAAGTAGGGCATTCTAGATCTGAAGTGGGAGGAAACAACAATTTCTGAGGCTAAGATATAGTCGCCGTTGACAAGTCGTCGAGAGACGATCACGTGGTAGTTCAACGCGCAGTGCGCACCATCCTACGTAGAATATTTTGGCTGCACTTCAGCCCGGCGACCACTGGCAGTGTGGCTCGAGTGTATACGAGGGTCACTGTATATTATTATGATGCTCGCACGACACGCAAACGTCAGCGAGCAAGTTTGTGTGCAGAATGATGGCGCTCTGCTCGCAGTCTCCAGCCGTTCGGCGAGTCCGTGGCTTCGCTTCGAACCACGCGGATAGTAGCTACGACCGAGCTTGGTTGACACCAGCGAAGACACTTCATCCAGTGTCATGTACAGGTAAAACAGGCAAACATCTCAATGGAGGGTGTACTGAGGAAGTTGGTCGACCCCTTCGTCTAACACCGCATGACAGGCTGCGACTGCGACAACGTCACGTCAGTACATTTTAGCATTGTTACACAACAAGCCACACCTAGTACATCACTTCAGAATCGTAACCATCGACGTCACGCCCGCAATCCTATGCACGGAATCAGCAATGGGTGCGCAGGAGATAGCTAGTAGCACAGCTCACCAGTACTCTTTTCCCACTGAGACACGATCCATATACCTCTAAGCACCACCTCCACCGCTTTCCAAGGAGAATTCTCAAAACCAGGAGGAACAGCAATCTGTCGCAGGTTGGGGAAGATCGCGTGTAAAAAAGCGCCTATTTCCGCGCAGTCGCTGAGCATGGGGAATCGGGGTATTGTAATCCGTCGCAACGCGTAATTGCAGAAACCACCACCAGGCTTGACGCGAGCAGACACAGTGGCCCCAGCCGTGTCCACGTCGATCGCCAACTCCTGTAGCGAGGGGCAGTAGCGAGCGAGATGTGCGAGGCCGTCCAGCGTCGTCGCCGTCTGGGTCGGGGTGGCCCAGGGGTCTTCGACCGCAGTCATCAGTTGTAGACATTCGAGCAGCGGCCACGACATGGACATCTCCTTGACGGCCTCGTCGTCGAGGACGATGAACACCTGAGCGGTGACTAGTTTGAAGGTGCGGAGATGGTGGAAGTGGCATAGGGGCCTCAGAGACGCTGCGGTCAAAGTATAAATTACGTGCTCGTCGGGATTTGCGCTTTTGCCAATATCTATATGGATGTCATGTAGCACGGCATGGTTGCAGCATTGGCAGATGAGCTGCAATACACTGTGAAGGGGTTCAACGTTGGACGCGGACCGCGTTCGCAGGACTATCTGCCCGAGCTGAGGAAACCGGCAGCGGGAGAGGATTGCACTGGCAGCAGTCATGGGCATGATGAGGACTAGTTTCTTGAGAGCGTCAAAAGCGAGTGTTTGAGCAGTGCGCAGTCCTACAGCCTGGCTAGCAATGAGCACTTTGTCATCAAAGAATGAGAGGTTGATTTCCAGTTGTGAGAGAGCCCGTAAGGTCGACAGTTCAGCAAAGGCGTCAAGCGTCAAAGGCAAGCATAGGTTCACTGCTCTTAGCTTCTTGAGCGACGCCAAGACCCCGGCCGGGAGAGCTTCACAGTCGTGTGGCCCAAGGAAGCGCAGCGTCTCGATGTCTGGTGAACACTGTGGAAGCTGGAGCAACGCGAAAGGCGCGGTCTGGGAGGCCGCTGATTCAGCTTCCCAGACTTCGAGGCGGAGCGCAATAAGCCGTGGACCGAAGAGCACGTACAGAGAGTCGTGGTACTCGGAAGAGTCGCTGGCCACCCAGCAGATGTCTGAGAGATTAGGAAGCAATAATTGCGAAGGCCGCGACGAGGTCAGCCAGTGAAAGAGGTCGTTCGACAGAGCAAGAGAGAACTCTGGAGAGAACTCGAGCTTCCGGACCCGCCGCGCGTAAAAGTCGAAGCGTTCCCAGTCCTGTGGCCCTGTGGGCCTCGTCGGTGACTTAAGTTCCTAGAAAATTATGCACAAAATTCAATGAATAGGAAGCGACGCCCGCTCACCATTATTCTGCCTGGGCCAATCCCCGAGTACCTCCATAGATCACTTGGTAGAAGTTTCACGAGGTCACTGAGGTCCTCCGGACAGGTCCATAGGGTATCTAAGGCGTGCTCGTGGAGTGCACGGCATGCAAGTGCTAGTGTTAGGAGTGATTGTTTGCTGCGAATCTTGATGAGTATAAGGCGAAAGAGCTCCGGGATAAGCAGGGCTTGATGCATTGCGACTCGGACCACGGCTGAAGGAGGAAGGAGGAGGAGGAGGAGGAGGAGGAGGAAGCCTGAGGAAGTCCCGCCGCCGCCGCTGCCATAGTACAAGCGCCTGCGCCACTACCGGTACGGCGGGTAGTACCGCCGTAATTTGTATCTTTCTGGACACTTGGCCTCGTTGTTCTTTCCCCGCCAATACAACAGGCAGCATTATCCTACACATGAAAGCGAATCGACCTCAACTTCAACAAATGTCGGACTCGGGCGGCAGCCCTTGAATACCAGCGACGGTACGAACTTGAGTAGCAAGATCTTAAGAGCGGACTGTCGACCCGGAACCATGACCGAGTAAAGTGTCGACGTCCTACCGTCATCAAGACTCCCGCGTTCTCATCGCATGAGAGTCACCACGAGCGTTGCGCGTACGATATGACACTGAGGTCACCACACCCTATTGGGCCAATCACTGTTCCTGCCGTCGCCGGAGCATAATATCATGACATCGCACTAGTTATAGGTATATTATACCAGATGCATCGTTCCGGTACGCACAGGTGAAGTCACGGCGTTTGCGTGAACATTCCTGTACAGGTCACCGTCAGCTACGATAGCTCGACACGGACTCAGACTCACAGGTATGCTTCTCCCATCTTGAGGCGAATTGTAGCACCTCAAGTACCTCCACCACCGGCCTCCAAGTTTCGCCTCTCACCTCTCCATCGATATAGTTGATCTCCCACAGGTTGGGGAAGATTGCGTGCAAGAAGGCTGCTATCTTCGCGCAGTTACCGAGCGCGGGCGATTGATTGAATTCGACCGCGAGGAGTGCCCGGTTGCAGAAACCACCGCCGGGCTTGACGTTGGCTGAGACGATGGTGTCGGCCGTTTGGATGTCGATGGACAGCTCGTTGAGCAAGGGACAGAACCGAGCGAGATGCGCGAGGCCCTCCAGTGTTGTTGCGGTCGGAATCGCCCACGGGTGCGTCACCAAGTTCCTGAGAGTCAGATCTTCAAGTCGAGGCCACGACATGGCCATCTTCTTGACGCTTTCGTCGTTAAGAATGATGCACAGCTCCCATGTCATAATCACGCAGCAACATAGACGGCGGAAATCGCAGAGGCATTCCAGAGACACTGCGGTGATGGCTTCTCTACCCACTTCGTGAGGAAGTGCGTGCTCTCCGCTCTCTATCCAAATCGTGTCCAAGTGTGTGTGGTTACAGTGTTCGTGGATGAGTTGAAATGTTCTATCGAGGGATGTGGAGGCCGTGACGGACTGCGTTGTCACGTCTATCCTCTGGAGCCGAGGAAAGCGACAGGCGGACAGGAGTGCATTTGCAGCGGTGATGGGCATGCCGAGGGTCAAGTGTTCCAGAGCGCAAAAAGTCAGGCCCGGGGCGGTACGTTCCTCCGCTGTTTGCCCAACAATGGCTCGTGAGTGGCGGTCGATGTCGAGTTCCAAGTCCACGAGATTCGGTAAGGATGAAAGCTCAACGAAGACGTGAAACATCACCGACGCATGTAAGCGCAACTTCTTCAGCCGTTTCAACGATGCGAATATCCCACCAGGGATAGGCTCCCCATTTCGAGGCATGGTTACGGTTAACGTCCGGATGTTCGGCGACCGTTGAGGGAGGTGAAGCAATGTCGTGGAGACATTACCGGGAACCGGGCGCTCAGACCAGCGTTGGACATCCAGTTTGGCAAGCCGTGGACAAAAGAGCGTGTACACAGAGTCGTGGACTTCGGCCGGAACATCTGACGCACAACTCAGAAACGACAGATTGGGGAGCAGTTGATGATGAGGCCTTGATGAGACGAGCCAGCGAAACAGCTTCCCCGAGAGGACCCGAGATTTAATCCATCGGGTTGTAGCACGGAGGTAGAGTCCGCGTACTCTTCGAGCGTAAAGGTCGAAGCGCTCCCAGTCAACTTCTGTGGTAGGCCTCACGGGTGAACGGAGCCTCTAGAGGCGTTCGAATCAGCCAAATTGATAGCCTAGAGCAGCAAGATGCTCACAAGGATCTTCGGGTTCTCTTTTGAAACTCTCCATAGGTCTGTGGGTAGAACTTCAACAAGATTGGCCAAGCCGTCGGGCGAAGCCCATAAGCAGTCCAAGGCAGGCTCCTTAAAAGCACGGCACGTAAGCGCCAGTGCCAGGAGCAACCGTCCCTCGTCGGCATCGATTTCCCCGAATATTAGGTGAAGGAGTTCCGGGATGGTCAGGATTCTATGCATGGTGGTGTACGATGTGCTTGATTGAATCACCGATGACCTTCAAGGACAACAGGCAAGTATGCAGCCTCGGCAGCCTAAAAAGGCACCATAGTTAGCTATACTTGACTTCACTCTAAATTTGACAGTGGTGCTTACGACGTCGTCAACTTGAGCCGGAGACGGGTACCGGTCGTTCCGCGTGCGATGTGCTGGATACAGTATCTTGTGATTCGGCCTTCTGCATATGCTGGGAACACTGACAGAGGCTACGGCTCCGATATAGGTGGAGGAAGCTGGACGAAGATTCGGAGGACGCAGCTCTTACAGCGTCCTGGTGTTGGTATGTACGGTGTCAACTGTCAAGCGGTTCGTCCTAGTCTGACATCAACACCGACAGTCTAAGGAGTAGTCATACATATTCATTCCATCCAATAGCAGCAGTGGTCACTTACCGAGACTACAGCAGTTGTCAGGACCAAGCTGGTGACCACTCAACGAGCGAGTCTTTGAGGAGGAGGACTCCGAGGAGAAGGCGAAGTGCTGAGCGCTGAGCGCTGAGCCGTAGGCGCCTAAGTTGTTACTACCATCATTCGCTCTTCAGCTGCGCTCGACACTCGCGTTAATCTTCGAACAACCCTCGTCCCTGTACAGTGTACAAAGCAAGATACCAGAACAGTGCGGAGTTCGTTGTGGTCAGTACCACTACTTTGGGTCGGAGACGGATACAGAGCTGAACGCGAGGTTGCACTCGTGCGCTACCCATGGCAGCGGCCGGCGACTTGACGAATGGAAACACACCCGACGATGCACCGAGCTCTGACCATCCAGGAGCTCGTCCGCTTGATCGCTGGTGAAGTTTACGGCAAACATGCGTTACGCGCGCTGGCGCTCACATGTCGCGCATTCCACGAACCCGCCTTGGATGGCCTGTGGTTCTTTCCGGACGATGGATTGGTCAACCTTGTCAAGGTATTGCCAACAGACCTATGGGAAGTCGCGGGGATGTCTGAGACTGGACAGGAGACACTGGTGCGCGATGTTTTGTGCTACATAGGCCTTCATTGGTCAAGCTGACTATTGTCCGTGCTGCACCTAGACGGTCAGGGAGCCTACGAGGCCGACCACGCAACTTGACTGGAAGCGCTTCGACTTCTACGCACATCGAATCCGAGAACTTCGTGTCATTACAAATCTCGACAAATCGGAACTGCCTCGCACTCTCTCGGCGAACCTATTCCGTTGGCTTGTCTCTGCGCGGCATCCCCATCGCCTGCTGCCTAACCTGCAATCCCTGATATGGAAGGCGGAAGGAGAATCCGGATACGATGACTCTGCGTACATGCTTGTTGGACCACACCTCGTGAAACTGAACCTAGACTTCCGTGACTCCTGCGAAGTGTCCGACGAACATCCTCCCACTGTATTGCTTCGCTGTGCTCAGCGTTGCCCAGACATACGTAACATGTGTTTCGCTGCACCTCCACTGGCAGACGAAGAGCCTATCCAGGGTGGGGTCTTCGCTCCGTTCAAGATGCTGACGACACTCAAACTACGCTCGCCTCTGACACATGATGTTCTCGTCGACTTATCCACTTTACCAAATCTCGCCTACCTTCAAGTGGATCTCACTTTTACGTCGGACATCGAGGATGAGATCATTCTTCCTGGCAGAGTGGCAGTGTCATTTTCCTCTCCTAACCTGACTTTCCGCACACTGGTGTCCCTGGATCTCAACATGCCCGTGGATGTCGCTAACACGGTGATCTCCCCGTACCGCTTTCCTCAACTTCAAAATTTACACCTGAAAGCGGACCGCGCCACCAACACGGAGACCCTCAGTGAGACTTTCGAGCTCATTCGCGAACGCTGCGATCATACCGGGTTGAACGCCATAAAGATCGATGGTGGCGAGCATGCAGGAAGGGATGAAATGGGTGCGCAAGCCATCACCGCAGCGTCGTTGACCCGCTTGTGCGTCTTCCGTCACCTGCGTGTGCTCGAGATCTTCATCGAGGCATGCATCGTCCTCGACGACAACGCAGTCAAGGAAATGGCCAGGTCGTGGACCCAGCTAGAAGAGCTCTCCCTTGTGAGCATGGCCAAGTACCCCTGGACTACCCCGACTGCGATGACGCTGTCAGGCCTCGCACATCTCGCTCGGTACTGCCCCTCGCTGTGGCGCTTAGAAATCGATGTGGACACGGACCCAGCCACTGTTCCCGAGCCCGTCAAGCCCGGTGGCGGCTTCCGTAATCGAGTGTTGAAGCGGATCCAAGTGCCCCGGTGCCCCGCACTTGGTAACTGTGCAAAGACAGGCGCTTTCCTGCATGCGATCTTCCCCAACCTCCGGTGGATCACCGGTTCGAAAGGCTCACAAGCTCGATCTTGGGGATTAGTGCAGGAGGTTATCATTGGTATTCGGGTCGCGTCTGAGTGGGAAAAGGGTGCTGGTACGTCGTTCAATTCATCAGACGTGTTGCACTGCTAAAACGTGAGATGTTCTGTCAACTGGCAGGATCGCAAGGGGATTGAAGCTGACATTGTCATGTACGAGTCTTAAGAGTCGTGCAAGCTGCAGACTCTGTACTAGGTATGAATGCTGGTCAACACTGCGATGTCGTTGAGACTAATCTGCGGCGATGGTAGAACGAGCATTTCTGGATGAAGCTATAACAAATTCCTTGTTCTCGACTCACTCACGATGACCTAGGTACTAGAGTGACTTCATCTATGATATGCCGTGGAGAAATCCTGGCACAATTGTGTTGTTCTATGCGTCGATGACGAGCAGGTCACAGGCAGCTGATACCGTTTGCAACCAAGTCGAGGTGTACTGTCTACCCTTGCAAGTCTCATTGAATGACGTGAGAGTGGGCGAGCAAAATGCCTCATCTTATGTTAAGGCCTGCTTGCAGTATGTCGACCGATCGCGCGACCCCGCTGTGCTTGTCAATGTCAAGGCAAGACGGTCCGCGTTGACATTCTATCACGTGACCGTGTCCCGACGACTATCTTGAACTTCAATGAGTCGGTCGACGATCTCCCCTACCGACAGTCCTGGAGCCCATCGCAACCTACGCGAATCTGCATTCGGTCATATTCTCAAACGCCTGGCTGACAAGGTCTTGCGCGCGGAGCAGAGCGCTGAACAAGCGGAAGAGTTGAACACGTCTAGAGGGCCTCATTCGCGCGAAAACGGACCTCGCGTGAGGCCTGGAAGTCGAGATGTATTTGTCATAACTACGGTGAGAGGATTCTCTCTGGCACGGAGGCCTACGGAGAAATTGGGGCGAATGGAACTCGAATGAAACACCCTACGTTGGTCATGATTCACTCGTGTTCAGACATTGACCGCGTCAGAGTTTGTTTGTTTGTTTGTAAATCCCATTTATTGTCGCGTTAGGGCGAAGCCCTATGTAGACATGAGCTGCCGGGGTACTGTACTGATATAGTAGGTCAAAACGTGGGGTCGACGGGAACATTGGCTCGGTGTACCCCCGAAGAGGCCACCTTGCCGGGCGGGACGTGATTATCGTGTGAGGTGTATGTGGTATGTACAGTAGGGAGATTAGAGAGTTCGCGTTGGTATGGTGTATGTGCAGTGTAATGTGTTCTAGTAGAGTCCGTATTGAGATGAGATGAGATGGTAGGGGATATGTATAGAAGAGTGTGAAGAATGCACGCGTCGTGTTCGTTAGTCCGTCAGGTTGGGTCGTCTGTCCCGTTCGCGTTCCGCGGTAGGTCGAGTTCTCCGAAGGTGTTGGCGAAGCGGCCGGTGGCGTGGATGAAGCGGAAGAGTGGGCGGATGGTTTCGGGTTTCGATAGCAGGTGCCGGAGCGATCCTGCTCGACGACCTATTTCGCGGCGTAACCAGTCGCGCTGAGGGGTGTACTCGGGGCATTCGAGAAGGTAGTGTCGGACCGTCTCCCGGCGTTCGTCGCAGGCGGGGCACCTGTCGGTGTCTGATCGGCGTATACGGTGTAGGTGGTGGTTCAGCGGGGCGTGTCCGGTGCGCAGTTGGATGAGTAGGCTGGCGTGTCGACGGGGAAGGCCGCGTCAGAGTGGTACAGCATCAGCTATGCAGAATTCTTGTCGCGTTCTGGTTCCCGTTCACCCAGTGAACATGCACTCTCTTCAACGAGGGGTGACACGCCCGTAGACGTGTATGCTACTATGACAAGCATACAGGCAGCTCTAGCACTTAGTACTTAGTACTTGAACATCTGCCCGTCATTTTAATGTGGAGATCATTCCATTGCAGAATGTTGTGCTAACGAGACTACCAGTGTTCTTCGCCAATGCTTCCTGGTACAAGAAGAACGTCCTCGACGAGGCGAGAGGCTCGTGCGCTCATGGCAGGAATCATATTCTATGGGAGTCCGCAGATTGATCTTGCGTTCGCACGAGGCTACGACCCAGCCTGGACCCAGCCCTCGAAGAGTCGAACTCGCTAGCGATTCACGCAAGCAACACGAAGCCAGAGACGAATATGTTCCCTGGGCACAGCACGTACGCCGCCGAGAACAGACTCTGCTTGACCGTATCATCAAGGGCGCCGAGGTTGGGCAGTACTACCTCCTGCTCGGTCCCAAGGTATGCACTAAACCTATGTGCTGTTCACAACATAGTGTCAGAGCTCAAAGTTGGTCGCATAGGGTACTGGTACATAAGGGTACAATGATCCTCGACGCTATGCAGGCCGTCGAAGCCGAGGGTGTCGCGATATGTGATGCGCACCCAGACCTGGAAGTGTTCCGTCTGCGTCTTGGCAAGGCGTTGAACTACGAGTTCAATGAGGATACGCAGACCAGCTTGTTTCAAAGGCGTGGCCCTCGAGAGGGTACGTCGATCCACGACTCTTGTAAATTGACATTGATCTCACGGACTTCCAGCCGGACCATCACTGGATATAGAGCGAGGTCCGTCATTTGTGCGGCTGCCTCGAGGATTCGGCGTTCAGAGAGCACGTCGGCAGCACTCGACAAACTGGAGAAGGTCGCGCTGCGCTACGCACGACGGACGAGCAGGCCGTTCATCCTGATCTTTGCCAACATTCATTCTTCAAAAACGACGATGGCGGGAGGCAGATGCGACAACATACGGAAAGCTGGGCGGCTGCAGTTAGGTGTTTCATTGTTTTCTCATGGACGTGCTCACTCATATTGTAATAGGAATCCTGACAATGGTGTTCAGCCGGTAAGTATTGTCAATTGTATGTTTTCTCCCATGTCGCAGCGACGACTTCCGGCCTTTCCCAGTCATGCGCAAGCCCAGTGCGTGATTGTATGCGTGTGTGTGTCTGACTCCTCCGTTACTCAAGAAAGCCAGTAGGATTCAGGTCGGTGCGTAATGGGTGATACATTACGTAGCTTGTCCCTAATCGCAGCACCCGTCCAGCTTGTCACGGTCTCTGACCTGACCTTCAAGAATGCGCTCCGGGCCTCGGCACAGATGTGCCTCAATGCCAAAATTCCGACTGATGCGGAGGACCTCCACGATGCAGTATTCGTGGTGGGCAGACGGCTGTCGTACCTCTCCCGGGTGCCAAAGTGCGCGAACATGCGAACATGCGAAGCACATGCTGGCCGTCGAGAAGGCATGGCTGCTCATCCTCGTCGGGCTCATACCTGACTGTGATGACGACGTCGTGGACGAGCAGAAGTGGAGCTCGTGCTCGTGGCTTCTCCTGCGCGAGTTCGTCAAGCAGCGCCGCGAGGACGAGCGCAAGCGTACGAAGGCGCTTGCCTCCGGTCAGCTATCGCCCTAGGACCTCGACGAGCTGCCTCTCCCGAGTATTTTATTTTATACGTAAGAACTGCTCGTGTGGGGTCAACCGCGCTGTCTGCTGACCTCAGGCTATAGTACAAGTGTCGTCAGATCATGATCATTCCAGACTCTCTTGAAGGTGCGCATCATGCATGCGTGCCGTTCGCGGACTGCTAACTCAGCGTTCGTCAGACCTCGATCGCGCCAATGTCTTCGCCGTTGATGTAAGCATCTGCATGTGAACACGTCTGAGGGCGCTCTGACCCAGCTTTGCCACACCTCAGGCACATCACGACGTTATGCCTGACTCCGTCCTGCTTTTGCAGGCAGCACGGGAAGTCGTGGAAGAGGAGGGCTTCGATAATCTACTGGACAGGGTGCGGAGCTGAGTAGACGAGATCAAGAGCCTTCGTCGCACGAGGGAGTTAACGGTACGTTTTACTATTGGCCAATGTACCGGCCGCGTTTTCTCTTCCTGCCTGTGTCCAGGACGTTAATGATCCCTCTTCCAGCCTGTGTCCAGGACGTTAATGATCCCTCTTCCAGTTCAAAGACGTAAACGCGTGCGATCGTATCCGGCTTTCAATGGACAAAGGGGCGCGAGCTCGGTCAGTAGCTGATAGGTCTGCACGGTACCACGATCCCGCGATCCACTGCCCAAGACCACGTTGAACGCAATCTGCGATGCCTGGAGGACGTGCATTGGCCTAGTACGTTCGATTCCCTATCTCGTTGGGCGGTGCGTCGCAGTGTGGCCATTGTTCGGACACAATACATGCATATCAGAGGCCCAGCCCACGCCTTCCCCGCGTGAAGGGGACGGAGAGGTCTATCGTTCCTGTCACCGCGAACCAGTGAACTTCTGTTGATTGGTCCGTCGGCCACTGATAGACGCAAGAAGGTCATTTCACGGCTCGACGTTGGGAGCGCGGATACCGCTAGAAGCCTCACGCACCCGCGCGCCTCCATTGGACGAACTTTGTACTGGCAACGCAGCATTGGGTCGTCTCACGGTTGAATGCCAGGTGTAGTCGCTGCTCCACTATTTGCACGCACACCGACATCTGTTAGCGACTCTATAGCTTGCATAGGGCGGATCTTCGCTTCCTGTATCGTGGGCTGTGGGCCTGACCGTCCTGCAGCGGGATGCTGTACGCCCAGTGTATCCCACGTCGCCCGAGGAACGCTGGACCGAGTCGGGGCAGCACAGCAGCACAGCGCTCGAGATTTGGGCGCTGGGTGTTCGCCCTTGCGCTCGACAGTCACGGAGTCGACATCCGACATCCAAGAAGGATATGCCTAAGGACGCGAAACGCTGCACCCGCGTCTAGCAATGGCGAAGGTTCGGAGCTTTCCTTTCTCTAAAGCACCCGCTGCCGGGGGGTCAGCAGATCCTTTTCGCGGCTCTAGACTTGCTATTCAACGGTTCTTAGCGCGTGCTCTTGAACAACTCTGACATCGCTCTACTGGGTTTAGGTGCGGTTACTTCGCCAATAGATGTGGCGGTAAGTGGACCACTAATGATGCTGGTGTCGCGTACCTTCGTACGTACGACCAGTCTGAACAGGCCACTTGAAACAGTTTTGTGGTTATGCACATGAGAATGGAAACCCGGTACAGCTTGATAGGATGACTTCTGTGCTTCGTGGACACGTTGCTATCGTGGACACGTCGGCTTCCTGCACTAGAGGTTAACCCGGTTGACGGATGGACCGTTCTGTTTAATAGACGGCACCAAGCCGGCGGTCCGTGCCTGTCCGAGCGCACCCTCCCAGTACCAGAACGGCGGCTAGTGCAGGGCTGAACAGTGATCATCAAAACTTGAACAAGGACTGCCATTCTGATACAAAATGGTTCCTCTACACCGTACACTTATGAGCCTTTCATTGTTCGATCAATAACTGCAAGGACACAGCTATAACCGTTGCAGATGGCCACACCTATCCAGCATTGTACGCTCGAGCCACATGACCAAATGTGATGCCACCGTTCACAGGCATATCACAGACCGGAGGTGCCCAACGTCCTCGACTGCAACTGGAGTAGGACACATGTAGGTTATCAACTACACATAGCGTGGAATGGTGCAACGAATACGCATTCTGTTCAAGTGCCAGTAGGCATACTGGGAGGCGACTATAACTGCCACAAGAATGAAACCAGTGACGCTTGAGCGAGTCGCTGGGCCAAGCGCCACAGCCAAGGCAAACGACTACAGTACTAAGCCAGAGGAGGTACAAACCGCAATGATGATGGTGGCTGACAACTTGATTGTGGCGTCCGCGAAGCCCAGCCCCGACTCGGATCCTCGGGCAGGTCTACTAGTACCAGTACGGAAGCTATCTAATCGATGTCAGGAACGCGACTACTGTATAGTAGTTGCTCGGGATCGACTCGCCACCGACTTCTATGCGTAGCTCGAAGGGCACATGCGGCCGAAAGTAGGTGTATATAGATGAAGAGAGCTCGTCGTACCCCTTCACTAGTAGGCATCATATGTATAGCTGCCAGGGCCACGCAGCTAGGCCGGTCTTCGCGGATCCTAATCGCTCAGTAACTTGGGCATCCTTCACTTTGCAGATCATGATCAGGGTATGGACCTCGGCACGGGGGAAACCTGTTAATGGGGCCTATCCGCGACATTGCGAAGGGCGCCCTTCTTTCCCTCCGTGTAGTACCCCGTCTGTGAAGTTCAAGAGCACGTACCAACCGCGCGAAGGGATTCTAGCAGTCCGAGGACATGCTTGACCACCTTCGATGCACGTTCCTCTGTCGCAGATCTTGCCTTCTCCCGCGAAATGGACCGATAGGTCGCGTATGCTTGGAGTGTGAGGGAACAAGTAAGGTCCGGCTCCGACAGAACAAACAGGGTCCAAAGAGTTGCCCCGAAGGGCGAAACTCGCTCAGGAGCTGCTGTATGCCTGCCTTGTAAGCCACTCTTCTAGCACATACTTTGCCTCAGCTTGCGCGCGGTATGCTTACAGCGAGCATCTCAATGAGGAAGGACGATCTGCGACGATAAGTCAGAACGTTGGGAACAGATGGATAAATATGGGATAGGATGCACCTTGACAAACGTGGGTGACGTCAGCGTGTCGCGGACCTTTGGGCATCCCCAGTCCTGCTTTGTGCTGTCTCGATCGTCTGTACTGGCCCACGATTGGTAGGTGGTCGCGTCATCGTCCTGGCGAGCAGATGGCGCCACAAGCTCGAGGCTACTCAACTCCCGCGTTCTCGCATCATGGAACGTACGATAATATGGTACTGACTGACCACCATGTGAAGACAACAGGGCTCCAGCGAAAACGATGAACACCTGTCTATGCTTAGTGTGAGCCCGCTGACTTCGTGTGAGCTGGCGAAAACGAACCCGTACCTATACAAAGGACTGACGATGGATACCCTGCCGAGGAATCGTGCCGCTTGGACCGTGAGGTCGCAGGACGCATGAGACACAATACAGGACCTTTGTCTTGCTGTCTGAGACAAGCCGATGTCGACTGAGACGCTGTCCCTGTTTCTGGATGTGTTGAGTTGGGCTACTAGTGTTGATAGCCCCCACTGACACCCACCTATCCAGCGCCTATCATTCGCAGGCGTTCCGTAGTGGACATGCAAGAAGGCGCTTGGAGGCAAATGAACGCCACAAGCCTTACTCGGAAGGGACGCTGGGAGTCTGGAATCCCCGCGGCCCGCCTTCGCGCCGTTTCATGAAAATATCGTGTCCACCACGCGCGCACCCGGGGTTCACACACCCGCGGAGGCATGGACGCACTGCTTTACACTCAAAATCTTCAGCACAGTACATCCACTACAAATGACTAAAGATGGAGACCTACGGCGACGACGTCGAGCGTATGCACCAGGCAAAATTTAGACGTCTGAAATGAAATGGCTGCTCACGATCCGCCTGCGGGTGGAGTCGATTGTGATCTGAAGCCAATCCTAGGACAGATCTGCTTGTCGGACTCAACGGGGTCAGATGCGGCGAACGTGGGCACCCCAGACCCAGAACTGAGTCTGTCCCTGCCCCTCGGAGCACGCACAGCTTTCCGGAGCACCGCGCGAAGTTGGAGTGCGGAGCCTATGCTCCAAGACGGTTGGTCACTGCAAGACTGCACGGCACATGAGCGATACGAAGCTTCACTGTATTCGAGGATAGAAAGACTTCAAATGTGATGGAACTCACAAGTAAGTTATCGATGGACAGGGTAGCGAGGCTACTCCCGCCTTGCGCAGCACCTAGCGGAGATGCGTCTGGTCCGTGTCTCGTTTGACCCGCGGACAGAATCCCCTTGCAGTCTTGGAGACACGTCCGATGTCGTCTCCGTGGCCACCGGAGCATTCCTTCAACGCTGCACGTCGAACGACCTCGGAAGTAAGATTTGCTGCGTTGGTCAAGCTCCAAGATGGACAGCCTGAACTTATATGGCTTAGCAATTTCCGTAATCACTGACATGTCTGCTTACAGTCTGTACCTCGCTCCTAAATAACCAATGCAGCGCTCCGCTGTGGGCTTCCCGCCCCGGGTCAGTTTGGTGGCGCAGGATGGTCCGGTCGGAGGCAAATCAGTGTCACGCCGTCACGGCAAGTGACTCAGTGTGACTCTTTGAAGATTGCGGAGGCTGGGGACGAGGGTCTGGTTAGCGTGGTGGAGGAAGACGAGGAATTCGGTGTCACTTGCCAGATGGACGAGGCCTATATCGAGGGCCTGCACACACTTGACGCGGATCTATGTGACGACGTCAGAGGTACATCCCACTTGGCCAGTAATGCCGGCAACAAAGATCTATCCCTGGGGGTCATGCTGATTCGGCGACCAGGGCTCCGGGGCTTCGTCCAGCGACCTGTGTAGGAAGGATGAAGCGAAGGTCGACGATAGAATCCGGAGTCAACAAAAGAGCTATGTGTATCTGCTGAATCACGGAGGTAGCAATCGACATCACTTTTCGGAAACTTCAACAACAGAGAACGCACCGAATCCGTACGCCGTGGGTGCAAAGGCATGAGTCAATGAGGATTCGAAAAATACGAAGGAGGACAACAGGCGTCTGTTGGACGCATCATCAGAAAGTCAAAGTCAATTCTAAGATGCTGAGGACGGGGTTATGACGGAAGACTGGGCACCCTATGGCCAGCGTCGCGCCGGCATTGGTCATGAAGATAGGACTCCTGTGTCGTCAACCTTTCCCACTACATGCCCAGTAAGGAGTTGCAAAAGCAAAAGCAGGACAACGCGATATAACGCTGAGGAGAGCACTGTGTTTAAGCGCGGGCTGTATCCAGTCTGACGCCTCATTTCACCGATGCAACCCGGAGGAATGAATGCGATCGCCAGTTGCATTCGAGGTGACGAGATGGACGGAAAGACTGCCACGCACCTATCAAA